ACCTTCCAGTACTACTTTGTACTACAAAGCTTGCACAAAGCACTTCCCCGTACTACTTTGCACTACAAAGCTTGCACAAAGCACCTTCCAGTACTACTTTGTACTACAAAGCTTGCACAAAGCACTTCCCAGTACTACTTTGTACTACAAAGCTTGCACAAAGCCCTTCCCAGTACTACTTTGTACTACAAAGCTTGCACAAAGCACTTCCCAGTACTACTTTGTACTACAAAGCTTGCACAAAGCACTTCCCCGTATTACTTTGCACTACAAAGCTTGCACAAAGTCCTTCCTAGTACTACTTTGTACTGCAAAGCTTGCACAAAGCACTTCCCAGTACTACTTTGTACTACAAAGCTATTAAAGCTTGCACAAAGCACTTCCCCGTACCACTTTGCACTACAAAGCTTGCACAAAGTCCTTCCCAGTACTACTTTGTACTACAAAGCTTGCACAAAGCACTTCCCAGTACTACTTTGTACTGCACAGCTTGCACAAACCACTTCCCAGCTTGCACAAACCACTTCCCTTACACACAGTGCTTTTACACATGGCAAGCGCTTACATACACACAGAAACTTTTACACAGAGACGCTTTTACACACAGAGAAGCTTTTACACACAGCAAACTTTTATACACAAAATCTCTTACACACAGCAAGCTTTCACACACAGCAAGCGTTTACACACAGAACACTTACACACAGTGCTTTTACACATGGCAAGCGTTTACACACACAGCAAGCCTTTTAAACAGAGAAGCTTTTACACACAGAGAAGCTTTTACACACCGCAAGCTTTTACACAAAATCTTTTACACACAGCAAGCAACCACACACAGCAAGCGTTTACACACAGAACACTTACACACAATGCTTTTACACATGACACGCGTTTACACTCACAGAAACTTTATACTTTTACATAGAGACGGTTTTACACACAGAGAAGCTTTTACACACAGCAAGCTTTTACACACGAAATCTTTTACACACAGCAAGCTTTCACACACAGCAAGCGTTTACACACACAGAACACTTACAGTACACACAGTGCTTTTACACATGGCAAGTGTTTACACACACACACAAACTTTTACACACAGGAATTGCAGATCCAAAACCGGATCTCGACGCTAAAGCAGAAAAAAGACGATTTTGAAGCACATTTGAAAAGGATTTTTAAAAGGAAAATTGCTCGGGCCAAAATTGCGAAAATCTGCTGACAAATCACTATCGCAGCCTGGATGCAGCCACTCCACTACGATTTACGAGATCCAGATGCAAAAGACAATAGTATTACGCATGCAGCCGCGGCAACAAGCAACCTTGACGCAGCCATTCCAATGCGATTTGCAACCACAGCTTCAAGAAACGCAAAGAACTACGCACACAGGAACAACCACTCGTTGCAGGACACAGAGGAGGAACCAATCGCGTCCGGAACGACCGCAGCCGCACCCGCCGCACAGACGAGGTACCTTTCATCGTCGGCTGCAGCCACTTTACACGGAAAGACACAAGGTTTCGTGATCCGGCTTCCTCCCCAACACAAAGCCCATGCAACATTCATGCAGCCATTACAATGCGTTTCGCAGCATCAACTCGCAAACTTGCACGTATCTACGCACAGAACAACACCAGAACACCAGATGACAACAGTCATGCAGCCATTCCAATGCGATCTGCAACCGCAGATTCCAAAACACCCTAAAACTACGCACACACACAAGCACACCCAAAGCAGCTTAAAGCCACCGTTACAATGCGGCGAAAAAAAAGGCAAACTGACCGCAGCCGCACCCGCCGCACAGACGAGGTACCTTTCATCGTCGGCTGCAGCCACTTTACACGGAAAGACACAAGGTTTCGTGATCCGGCTTCCTCCCCAACACAAAGCCCATGCAACATTCATGCAGCCATTACAATGCGTTTCGCAGCATCAACTCGCAAACTTGCACGTATCTACGCACAGAACAACACCAGAACACCAGATGACAACAGTCATGCAGCCATTCCAATGCGATCTGCAACCGCAGATTCCAAAACACCCTAAAACTACGCACACACACAAGCACACCCAAAGCAGCTTAAAGCCACCGTTACAATGCGGCGAAAAAAAAGGCAAACTGACCGCAGCCGCACCCGCCGCACAGACGAGGTACCTTTCATCGTCGGCTGCAGCCACTTTACACGGAAAGACACAAGGTTTCGTGATCCGGCTTCCTCCCCAACACAAAGCCCATGCAACATTCATGCAGCCATTACAATGCGTTTCGCAGCATCAACTCGCAAACTTGCACGTATCTACGCACAGAACAACACCAGAACACCAGATGACGACAGTCATGCAGCCATTCCAATGCGATCTGCAACCGCAGATTCCAAAACACCCTAAAACTACGCACACACAGAATGCAGCTTGAAGCCACCGTTGCAATGCGGCAAAAAAAAAGCAAACCGACCGCAGCCGCAACCGCCGCACAAACGAGGTACCTTTCATCGCCGGCTGCAGCCACTTTACACGGAAAAACACAAGGTTTCGTGATCCGGCTTCCTCCCCAACACAAAGCCCATGCAACATTCATGCAGCCATTCCAATGCGATCTGCAACCACAGCTTCAAGATATGCAAAGAACTACGCACACAGGAACAACCACTCGTTGCAGAACACAGAGGAGGAACCAATCGCGTCCGGAACGACCGCAGCCGCAACCGCCGCACACACGAGGTACCTTTCATCGCCGGCTGCAGCCACTTTACACGGAAAAATACAAGGTTTCATGCTCCGGCTTCCTCCCCACAACAAAGCCCATTGTCCATTCATGCACCTTCCTCACCATTTCCCTTCCTCACCACTACCCCTTCTTCACACCACCCTTCATCAAGGTCAATTCTTTTGTGATGTATTGTCAATTGTTATGTAGTGTAAACTTGCACACCACCCTTCATCAAGGTCAACTCTTCTGATTTATTGTCATGTAGTGTAAACTCGCACACCACCCTTCATCAAGGTCAATTCTTTGGTGATGTATTGTTATGTAGTGTAAACTCGCACACCACCCTTCATCAGGTAAAAGTCATCCGTAACTCGGAAGTATTGCTTCCCAACTTCCTTTGATTATTATATAGAGAGAGAGAGAGGCCATGCTTCCTGGTACGAAATTAATTGATGTGCATCCATTGATTAGTCGCCCCCAACGTGTGAAGTTGGCAGACTTCCGGAGAGTTGCACTTGCCGCAGGCACTGTCGCAGACGTTGATTAACAGCAGAAAATGGCCTGTCTCCGGCATGGTTTCCTCTATCATCTGAGGCACAATCGAGCAAGCCTGAGCACGCTGTGCTTGAGATCTGCGGTGAGACCTCGACCTGGCCAGTCTCGACAGGACATTCATCTGCTCCTGGGAGAGGTACACCCAGGCGCCGCCAGCACGTCGAGCCTCAATGAAATGGGCTCTGCATCGAAGAAGCTCGTTTCTTTTGTTTTGGCGGAGCTAATAGCAGGTTTTGCATGTCTCCCAGTATCTTGGACATAGTTCAAAAATCAACGGAGAAAACTACCTCCGGTAAACATGGCTGGGAAATCCACCAAACGTGCAACTTCAATGGGAAGTCTTCAAGTCATCTGCTAGTGGTGAATTTCATATTTTATCTTCGAATTTTCGACTGAGACCCACTTTAAGCGAAGGCTTCCAGCTGGTATTCCGTAGTTCTTGCGAGTCAAAGCATGAGCATGGATGATCTCTACAGTTTCTGATTGAGATTGGTATTAACTGATTCGGCTAACTGGTGGGAATATAGTGGGTGTCCATGTGTTTCCTGTTTTCTTGCAAGTTGCGATTGGGATTGCTAAACCCCTTGAAACCACTGGCTACGGGCCTGGTCACTTGTGCCACTTTTGCTGGCTGCTTTTGGCCAACGCTGTAGCGCCCCTCTTGAACTCTTTTGGCAAGGGCAAAGATAAATTCCAAGGGTTTCCCGAGGAAAATTACAAATGGTGGGGTTCCAGATAATATGTTGTTTGCCAGAAGGCATAGGATGGAGTTTGTGGGGTGGCATCATCGCAGTACTTTCATGTTCCTCCCAATCTACGTAGGGTAGTGTAGCCCATTCCATACCAGGGTTGATCATCACCCTTCATTTTTCAATTGCCATATGGAGGTTTCCTAAAATAGGGGTACCCCCAAATCACCTAATTTGAATAGAGTTTTCCATGATAAACCATCCAGCGATAAAGGGGTACCAATCACGTAATTTTGCGTCCATCACGATACAAACCAACAGCCCTGGCGATATTTACCCAGATCCCAGATCAATGACCATTTTCTAATCATTTTCTGAAGTGCCACGTGCCAAAATCCAAAGAAAGCATTCTATTAGGGAGCATAGGCCCCCATAATCATCAACCAACCAATCAATTTCTCAGTTATCTCCCCAAATATCCCCCATTTATCTTGATGTTTTTGGGACCCTGTAAATCACTTTTTTTTTTTGGTGAAAACAAAGAATAAAACAAAACAAGCAACCGACCCAGAATTTTGAAACTACTGAAATGGCTCAAATTTGAAGAAGGGAAACTGGTGATGAACCAGTATATAGGGAACCCTTATTATCTGTAGTTTATCACCACTAATTGCAACTGGTTTGCAATGACTAATTTATTTTACATGCATACATACATATTCATACATATATTACGAGTATTAGTTGTATATCCATGTATATCCCAACTATCCCAGGAAACAAAAAACATTCTATTCCTATCTGGTTGGTGGTTTCAACCCCTCTAAAAAAAATTGAGTTCGTCAGATTGGATCATCATCAATATTGGGGAAAATAAAAGTCATGTTCCAAACCACCAACCAGGTATATAATGGATTATTACTGGATTATATGAATTAATCCACTATATACCCATCATTCTCTATTTATTCCCCATCATCCATTATATCCAAAAACCTTTATATGGAAATATGATCAATTATTCAGACCTGGCCCGCCTCCTCTGGATAGACTTGCCCGGATCCCAGATCGCCCACTCCATCCCTGCACGTTGAAGCAACAAAGTTGGGTGTTGACCCCACAGAAGGCATCGTTGCACCATCGAATATGTGGATTTGACCGTCAAAAAAGGTGATTAAACATGATTAAACCATGAACACGTGTATTTTAACTTAAAATAAACTCGCAAAATGTGGTTTTCGCCCACCAAAAAAAACGTGCCCAACTTATTTCGAGAATACACAGATGTGTTCCACCTCGAAAAAACATGTTTAACGCATAACAATTGGTGTTCGTCCACCTAAAACAACAACGCTGAATTCACTCAACCAAGGACAATAGTATCCAACTAAAGCGGAAAAGTGATCTGTAACCATGCAATGTCAGAAATTGCCCTCTGGTAAACTAACATAACTATGGAAAATCACCATTTTCAACAGGTAAATCAACTATAAATGGGCCATTTTCAATAGCAAACTGTTAGTTTACCAGAGGGTAGCCCAGAGCCAATTGGGATCAATGGTCCGTAAACATGCTTGCAGCCGGGTGGATGATTTGTCCGCCCTTTTGATCCGCAGAGGGGCTTGCGGCAGCCAATCCCAATCGATCTGAAATCCTCTCGAATGGACTTCAAACATGATCAACTGGTTGGTGGATATAATGGAATATAATGGAATATAGTGGAATATAATGGGATATAATGGGATACAATAGGCTATACATATATTATATATATGGTTGGTGGTTTCAATCAACCCGTCTGAAAAATGATGGAGTTCGTCAGTTGGGATGATGACATTCCCAACTGAATGGAAAGTCATAATCCATTCATGTTCAAAACCACCAACCAGTATAAGATTGTTGGTTATATATGGTTATATGGTTATAATCTGGGATGATGACATTCTCAATATATGGAAAATAATCCATTCAGGTTCCAAACCACAAACCACTCAAATGTTGATAGCTGCATGATAGCAACGCATTGAGGCAAGGAAATCTTCTGAGACCTCTTGAAACTGGCGAATCTCCAGTCCACTGAAATGGGAATTTGAGAGATTTTTGTCTCGCAACGTGGGATCCCCTTAGGTAGCTAAAAATGGTTTTGTTGCATAATCCATAGGTATGATAGGTGCAACTAATACCCTAATGATAGTTTATGATGGTTACTAATGATCATGGTTACTAATTTCAACTATAGGTATATAACTATCATAATTGCCCTATAATTATCCATAGTTCTCCTACTTTTTCAAGTGCAGTTCCAGTCATATAAGTGGATATGTACTATGCCATAGTTATAGAGGTGATATCCCAACTTATGGTGGTTTGACAAAAAATGCTGAAAACCCGTTTGTAACCTCAACTGCACCCAGGATTTTTTTGTTGGCGATATATCCCATTCATATTCCCGTGATATTCCCACAATGGTGATATGCCCTCACTAAGTCACTACCATAGTTTCCCAATGTGTATACATCTGGGTATTTTTTTTATCATAATTCACTACAGTAACCTGAAAGTTGGGCTATTTTGGGATGATTCCCCTTACTAACCTTTAATCCATTGAGGGAGAACAGTGACGTCGTTATAATTTACCCCGATAGACAATATATATATATTATATTTACCCAGATGTATATATATATATATAAACCATATACTCCATCATATCCCCCTGGCCCATGCCATCATGAATTCCCAGCCATCAGCCTGAAACGTTCTGAAAGACCTCGTAGCAGGTCCCAGATGATGGCAGCATTTTCCCACCTGAAACGTGGAACAGTCTCCGGTGATGAAAAAATGTCAGCAAAACGACATAAAAACACCATGTTTAGCAAGTTGCTAGAGATATGTTATGCAAATTTACGGCAAGATATTGAAGGGCTGTACCCAACAAACAACCAACTGTTTCCAAGGTTCACCCAGTGATACTTTATTGGATACGATAGATATTTTTGCACCGTATACAACTATCTACACAAAGTCTAACTTTAGAAAAGCCTATTGGCATTTTAATTTTAATAACAACCTATTTCTTGCTCTACAAAAACCAAGTGTGTACTTTCTTGAACAGCTGACCGAGATTAAAACCACCGTTGATTTTGATTCCTTAATACTTCCAAAATTGCCTCCTCAAACTGTCTCGAACCAGGTTCAAACTGACAATAATATCATCCAATATCCATTTGTTTGGTCGGAACAGGACTTCGAAGAATATGTTTCCGTTTAATGGTCAGAGATTAGAACAAAAACATACAATGTGGGGGCCCCCTAGATAGCTAAGTTGTTTTTTTAACTTCAATAACTATGGTTTATTCTAGTTATAATTATAGTTAGTGGGGTTTATGAACCAACTTAGAACTGGGGGGTCCCACATTCCCAGATGCGAACCATGGTGCTGGTATATACATGACTGGGTGATTTTGGACAACGACAACTGTTGGGATTCATATTCCAGCACTATGGTTCGCATATGGGTATATGACTGGGAATCCCCATTCTATCCATTTCTATCCCAATGATCGAGGGAGCATCCACGATGTACCTATGATTTTCCCATCTAAAGATCCATATTTTCCCCAGGTCATGCTACCATATGGGGTTGTAGAAAAAACCATGAAAACAACGGAATCCACACGGGGCCCAACGTCCGATTTCGGCCGAATCACCAGGGATGCTGGATCCACACAGAATCCTGGGACAGACAGATGGCCTGAAGTGATCAATTCGAGGGATCAGTTTTTGAAGTGATCAATTTATGGCAATATTTTATGGCAATTTTATGGCAATGTTATGGCAATTTTATGGCAATGTTATGGCAATTTTATGGCAATGTTATGGCAATTTTATGGCAATGTTATGGCAATTTTATGGCAATGTTATGGCAATGGCAATGTTATGGCAATTTTATGGCAATGTTATGGCAATTTTATGGCAATGTTATGGCAATGTTATGGCAATGTTATGGCAATGTTATGGCAATGTTATGGCAATGTTATGGCAATGTTATGGCAATGTTATGGCAATGTTATGGCAATGTTATGGCAATGTTATGGCAATTTTATGGCAATGTTATGGCAATTTTATGGCAATGTTATGGCAATTTTATGGCAATGTTATGGCAATTTTATGGCAATGTTATGGCAATTTTATGGCAATGTTATGGCAATTTTATGGCAATGTTATGGCAATTTTATGGCAATGTTATGGCAATTTTATGGCAATTTATGGCAATTTATGGCAATATGGCAATTTATGGCAATTTATGGTAATATATGGCACTTGTAAAAATTGAGGGGTTGATTTTAACTGATCTTCATGTATAAGAATTGTAATGGGAACATGGTCCTGGGGGAATTGAGGTTTTCTAACACAAACCCATATGTAGTTCATGCTATTAGATGAAATCGCGCAAATTTGCCAAACCGGTTCATCACTGGATCTGTTGGAGGTGATAACATGAAATGGTGAAATGGTTTTCCGATGATCCGCTTTTTAGGCTTCGACAATTTTTTTGGAACCCCTTTCTTGTGGAAATTCCAGAATTGAACATTGTCATTGGTGGAATTTACTGTATTCTTTGACGCGTACGGTTTTGTTTCACCACTCCGGTTGTTGTTTAATTGTCATATAATATGTCGTTCAAAATCATCTGATTTCGTGGTTAACATATCATTTCTTGGTTTATTTTGATACTAATATCCCATCATATCCCCATTTTAGGTGATCCGTTTATCCCCTTCTTTAGCATTTGTCACCTCAATCACCTTCTTGATATCTATGATCCCATCCCAAAAAAAAAACTTGAAAAACAGCTACAGAATTCGGAGTATAAAATCCATCATTCATTACCAAAAAAACATAAGTAAATCATCAAATTGAACTTTACAAACATATCAAAACCTAATCTAATAGTCTAGTTGATTTACCCAAGTATGCATGTATATATATATATACACATATTATTTACTGTAGTTTTATATATCCTGGCAAAGTAGTTCCATGATTTCATATGGTGGTTTCCTAAGTCATAGGGGTACCCCCAGTTCTCATCCATTTATAAATGGAATTTCCATCATAAACCATCCAGCTATTGGATATTTCCCCCATTTTAGGAAACCTCCAAATATAATCCCAATAGTTTGGACAATTACATATAAATACATCATACAAATCCCATATATGAATCCATTTTTTCTTTGTTGTTACCCCAATTGTTCCATCAAAATCCACCCCTTCTCCCTGGGACTGGCGACGCCTGCGTCCCCCAAACGCGGCGTAAGAAGTCGCGACTCCAGGTGGAGCGGCGGAGAAGGAACGTGCCGGTGTTCAACATGGCTGCGTCCTGGATGGATACAGAGCAACACACATTGTGCATCGTTGTTTAAATAAATAAATATTATATATTTTTATGGATGTATATTTTTTGGGTAAAAAAATGAAAAACAATAATGATATATTATAAATAATAAGCAAATATTTTTTAAAAAAAAGTGTAAATGATTAATAATGACTACCACTGCTGCCAGGCCGTGCCTTGGTCGAAATTTTGAGAGAAACAATTCGCTATAAGACATCGAAGGAATGCGTGTGACATGTAGAAGCAACGGAATGTCGCAAACTGATGGCTCGTGCAAGTCTCGGGTTGAAATTATTAGTTGTGAGCTGCCATTGCCGTGCATATTAATTCGCCTTTTGCTGGAAGGAGATAGGCTCCGATGATATCATCCAGTCAAAATGTGACCCATACATACCTATACACAACGAAGGCAGAAAATATACAAAGCAGAGAGCAAACAACAGAGAAGCAAAAAGCAGAGAAGCAAAAAAACAAACAGACCAACCCGTGATCTGAGTGTCGTGCTGGCAGGCACTACCGACAGTCTCGCAAAACGATCGTTTTCGATCAGCAAAACGTCGTCCAAGATGCGGATTTATTTCCTGAGCTAGGACTTGAGAGGAAAAGTACCCATAAATGGCAGATCAAAGGATGCAACCTCACGCTTTTCAAGAGGAAAGCAGGAAAAAACCGGAAAAGCAAAGAATGAACAGCAGAAAAGTGGGACTATTTAAAAAAAAAACACAAAACCTGATCAAACAAAAAGCCCTTCAGGAGGATGCAACCTCAAGCTACCTGCCTTGGAAGCGCTTCTTTCTGCCCACGCTTCTTTCGGCAAACAAAAGCGGCTCATAAAGGGAGTCCGGATTCCGTGACTTTTTTGTCTGTAACTCGGACATTTGCCACAGTAAAATTTTCTTTCATTATGACGATGCAATGATTAAGAATACATTATTACATATATCGATCTTAATGTATGGTATGATATTGCAAAGAATAACCTAACACGGCAACATATAAAACTACACTTTTGCATGGCATTATGTTTTCCGCTTTCCATTTAAGCCCTTCCATTTGTAGAAATCATGGCTAGGGGTGTCGGTGTCACGAAAGGCTTCCAGTAAAGCACATTGACAATGACTTATTTACGGAATGTGTATAATATATTTCTTTGTAAGTAATGTATGTAAGTAATGTATGCAAGTAATGTGATGTATGTAATGTATGTAAGTAATGTAATGTATGTAAGTAATGTATGCAAGTAATGTGATGTATGTAAGTAATGTAAGTAATGTATGCAAGTAATGTGATGTATGTAATGTATGTAAGTAATGTAATGTATGTAAGTAATGTATGCAAGTAATGTGATGTATGTAAGTAATGTAAGTAATGTATGCAAGTAATGTGATGTATGTAATGTATGTAAGTAATGTAATGTATGTAAGTAATGTATGCAAGTAATGTGATGTATGTAAGTAATGTAAGTAATGTATGTAAGTAATGTAATGTATGTAATGTATGTAAGTAATGTGAGTAATGTATGTAAGTAATGTAATGTAAGTAATGTAATGTATGAAAGTAATGTAATGTATGTAATGCATGTAAAAATGTAAGTAATGTATGAACATAGTGTATGTAAGCAATGTAATGTCTGTAATGTTTGTAAGTAATGTAAGTAATGAAAGTAATGTATGTAAGTAATGAATGAAAGTAATGTAATGTATGTAATGTATGAAAGTAATGTATGTAATGCATGTTAGTAATGTATGTAATGTATGTGTGTAAGTAATGAATGTAAGTAATGTATGTAAGTAATGTAATGTAGGTAATGTAATGTATGTAAGTAAGGTAAGTAATGTAAGTAATGCATGTAAGTAATGTATGTAATGTATGAAAGTAATGTCTGTAAGTAATGTAATGTATGTAATGTATGTAAGTAATGTATGTAAGTAATGTAATGTATGTATGTAATGCATGTAATGTGGGTAAGTAATGTATGTAAGTAATGCAATGTATGTAATGCATGTAAGTAATGTATGTAATGTAAGTCATGTCTGTAAGTAATGTATGTAAGTAATGTAATGTATGTAATGTATGTAATGTATGAAAGTAATGTATGTAAGTAATGTATGTAAGTAATGCATGTAAATAATGTATGAAAGTAATGTAATGTATGCAATGTATGTAAATAATGTAATGTATGTAATGTAATGTATGTAATGTATGTAAGTAATGTTTTGTATGTCATGTATGTAAGTAATGTAATGTATGTAAGTAAGTAAGTAATGGAAGTAATGCATGTAAGCAATGTATGTAATGTATGTAAGTAATGTAAGTAATGTATGTGAGTAATGTATGTAAGTAATGTATGAAAATAATGTAATGTATGTAACGTATGAAAGTAATGTAAGTAATGTATGTAAGTAATGTATGTAAGTAATGTATGTAAGTAATGTAATGTATGTAATGTATGTAAGTAATGTAAGTAATGTATGTAAGCAATGTAATGTAAGTAATGTAATGTATGTAAGTAAGGTCAGTAATGTAAGTAATGCATGTAAGTAATGTATGTAATGTATGTAAGTATATAATGTATGAAAGTAATGTAATGTATGTAATGTATGTAAGTAATGAAGGTAATGTATGAAAGTAGTGTATGTAAGTAATGTATATATTGTATGTAATGTATGTAAGTATATGTAAGTAATGAATGTAAGTAATGTAATGTATGTAATGTATGTAATGTATGTAATGTATGTAATGTATGTAAGTAATGCATGTAAGTAATGTATGTAAGTAATGTAAGTAATGTAAGTAGTGCATGTAAGTAATGTATGTAAGTAATGTAATGTAATGTACTGAATCACCTTGTTGCATGTAGTTCTGTTATTGAAACGCCATTCCTTCTGGTTAAATTAATCATCAGGTGGTGAATTGGTGGACTATGATCCCCATTGGCGGTTAGATCCCATTGTTGATGATTTTTTGCCAAAATTGGCATCTATTTTTGGCCACCAATTCTCCTGAAATTTCCATTGGTGACCAAAAATAGATGCTGAAACATGACGAACCATTGGGCATTTCCCATTCTGAACATATCCCAGTTCTGGCTGGGAAAACCCACTCCGTCCCCAGTCTGCAACAGACGTCCTCCGCCGCCAGAAAGTGAACGTTGTCGTCGCCCCCTCCGTAGCGCTGCAGAATGGACTCCAGGGTCACCTTGGTTCCGGAACAAACGGTGACCCGGGGAGCTGAAAAAATTGCCGTGTTTCATGGAATTGAAATGGTGATTTAATGGGATTTAATGGGATTTCATGGTGGTTTCCATGGAATATTAACTATGAAGAAATTGCTTGCCACTAGTTCCAATGTTTACGAAGTAGCTTAGAATCTGTTGTGTGAGTATCCGAGTATCCAAAGATGGAAATGAAAACGATCCTGACTGCAAAAATCCAAACATACGGATTGGAAATCTCCATGTTGAATGGGAAAATCATTGGAAATGGCAACTTTGCAAGAGCCATATTGCTGGGTGAATGTATGTCATGTGGAATTGACTTCAAGGCCAGAAACATCATAAACCATCCCTCCCATCAGTTTTGGCAGTTATGGTAGGTCACCTTGCTGTTCAATGACTGTGTTGAATGCTGTTTTGGTGGTTGCTTTATTTATGGCTGTTTAATGGGTGATTTCTTGGGTTGTCATGGCTGGTTTATGGGTGAATGGGTGTTGAATGAGACACAGAATGAAATTTCAGGATATACAATAGCAATGGCAATATTCAATATTACGGTTGACCAATGACCAATGGGATTAGATATAATGACCAATGGGATTTTCCATAGTTGTGTTAGTTTACCAGAGGGTATCCCATGTTCAGACATAGCGTGACATACTGCTAGATGGGGTATGGGTCAAAATTGTGGGACCTAAGAATGGATGGAACAATGGCCGAAACGGACCTATGGTCAGGGGCTTATTTCATTCAAGAAAGAATATCTGGTTGGTGGATTCAACCCCTCTGAAAAATATGAGTTCAAGTCAGTTGGGATTATTGTTCCCAACTGTTTATGGAAAGTCATAATCCATTCATGTTCCAGTCACCACCAACCAGATATACATCCTGCCGGCGTGGATCAGCATACCATAGGGACTTCTGTCCGACCGCAAAATGACCCAAAAAAACTCCCGTGATGCCTGCGATGTGCCGTGACCCATCCCGCTGTGAACCAGGCACCGTCATGTTCATGAAGAAGGTGTCACAATCAAACCACAACCACCAGTCCACGTCTGGCTCCTGCCAGACGAAGGTCGCAGCGACATGATGTGACATGGTCCCCCTACCGATTTGTTCATGTCCATCCATGCTATCCGGCATGACAATGGTAATAATAGTAGTCGCAAACATAGCTCTGATAACAATGACTAACAACACAATATACAACACAATAATTATACAACATAATATACAACATATTAGTATATATATAAACAAACATATTGCTATGAATAAACATATTTCGTACCATCCAAATCTGATGGCTTTTATTTTTATGAGCAGCCGGGTTTGTCGGTTAATGTTGAAATCTCCATGTTCTTTCGGCAAGCAGGAAGGTCCGAGACCATCGTACGCCAAATAAATAGACGCTGGTTTTTAACATCAATCTCACCAGGACAAAACAAACTCAAGTCTAACTTTAGATACTTTAGGGTATACAGTATACAGTAACCCATTTCCAGACAAAACCAAATCATATTGTTGGTGATACATCTCAGTATATTCCGAACAATCTGCGTTAATGATATCTCCGTAAATTTCATGGTTGATCCCCAAAAACAGCAAACGGCCATATCGAAGCCCACCTCCTCCAATAGCCGTTGCAGCAACCTCACCTGTCGACCCCGTACGATAGCTCAGTGGTGGCGAAGTTGGTTGAACTAACTGATTTGGGATCTATGCATATGCATAGTAATTATAACATCTTATAAAGTGTTATAGAAAAAGTTAGATGGATGACACGGTGACTTCTAAACTCCGTTAATTAAAAACATATCATCTCTCTCCATTTTGAACCATAGTTAAACCTAGTGCTTAGCAAAGAGAGAATTGAAAGAAAGTGGTTGGTTGATTCAATGTGGGGCCCCTGAACGGTAGCTAAGTTGGTTTATAACTAGGATAACTGGCATGTATGATGATGTATGGTAGTCATAAATCATAACTATGCTTAGATGAGTTTAGTCAATTGTACTCTCTCTAAGAGCCGGGGGCAAAATCATGTCAATCAAGTACTACTATCTGGTTATTTAACATAGCCATGGAAAATCACCATGCTATTAAAAGGTAAACCTCTATTTCTATGGGCCATCTATACCATGGCTATGTTAGTCATAGCCAGAGGCTATTCTTTTCCACATTTTTTTTTACCACCGGCTTTCAATGGTAACAGGGATTGGCCACTGGGTAACATACAATGACAACTGCGCGTTGGCTGAATAAGTGCAGCAAAATGCGCCACATGAAAGTGTGGAAGTGCATGAACACACAACACAACTATTCTCGCTTCTGAATATTATATATATATATTTGACAAATGTCGACAGTAAAGACAGAGAAATCCCACCGTCCGCACAGCCTCTATCTGCCTTTGGCTAAATTAAGATAACTATACAAACTGCCCATTCGCAACAAACTTATCTGTTGTGCCAGGTTCAGGTTCAAAATGATGCACAATACCACCTCAAAACTAGATGGTTTTAGACACTAAATGACCTGTTGGTGAGCGGTTTCAAACGCCCTAAAAGTTGAATGATGATAGGGGGTTGTACTATCCCATTACTATCCTTTATATACTCGGGATTATCATATAAGGTCCCAGTAGCCAACCATTTCTGTTTTTTTTAGATAGAAACATATTTCACGGGATGTTCGGATCGTCATCTAACGGTGAACCCCTTGAGTGGCTAAAAACCCCAATTTTCATCGGGATGGCTACTGACGAGTTATCCGTTATCAAGATCAAACTAGCGGGATGTTGGACAATCCAATGTGGGAATGCCCACGAACTCGATTTTAAATCAACCAATATGTTGGTGATATTCTGAAACAGATCTTTGGCACTGCTCAAACTTCAAACAATGCTGATAATTCCTTCGACCATGAGCAATGTTGGAAATTAGAGAGCGGGTATGCATGGGGGGTGGAGTTGTGAAAGGTCTGATGTCTGCACATGGGGACCCCTTCTGGAAAATTAATCATGGCTCAATGGTGATTTAACACTCATTAACTATGATTAACCATGATTAACCATCATTATCCATCATTTTCTATCACTAACAATCACTAAATTGCATCGCTAAACCGCATCATTATCCATCATCACCCATCATTCACCAACCCTTAGACCGCCATCAAGTCACTTTTCCCCATGCCGGAGGACGTTCCGGCGAGACTTGTTGGGTCTCCAATCGATATCCTCAGTGGGTCGCCATCTCGAATGGCAGCACATAATGCCGGTTACAAAACCTGAAATAACAATTTAGAAATTGATATGTGCATACAGGATGGGGCCCTCCAGTTCTTGCTTTATAACCCCATCGAAATATAGTTGTAAGATGTTATTTGCGTATCATACACTATGGTTTTTGTACGTAGTTATAAACCAACTTAGCTAACGAACTGAGGCCCCATCCTGTACGTACATTATTTTAAAAGAACTTTAAAGTATATTAAAGACACGTAGTAGACACGTAATAGACACATATTCATGTCAGAATGTCAACTTTCCCTGAAAATGTTCATACTTGGCTGCTCAAATGGGACCCCCTCAATTAAACAGCAATCCGGGTTTGGCATTAAAACAAACATTGCTATGGAAATCACCATGTTTAACAGGTGATCATTGAACTAAATGGGCCATAGCTTCCAGAGCTATATCATACTGGAGGGTATAAAACGCCATATCTAACCCATTATATCGCAAGATATTCTATGATATTGCAATGAAAAAACACCATTGTTCATGGATGACTTCCATTTATATACAGATTTATACTACCTATTGTGGTTAAAACAATGTCATAAACCTTCCCATGATTCATGGTCTATACCACCCACTTAATCACTTATCTCTCAAATACATGTGTCATGGTTAAATCGCAATCGTCCAATCAATCAACCACTTCCCTCCACTCCTTTCTCCAACCGCGACACGATAGCCATGCCGCAGTGCGTAGGCTCGATGGTTGGACGCTGCATAACGAGGCAGCGGATTCTCCGGTGGATAAGCGCCTCAGGAAGCGACTCAAAAATGGTGCTTTAACCAACAAAAACCATGAAACATGTGGCTTTGAGATGTTTTAGGGATGAAAAAAGGTGGTTTCAATCTGGTTTAATGGTGTTTTTTGTCACTATTAATAGCTGACCAATCTCTCCCCCCTAATCTGAAACACGCCTCCAGAAATCATAGTTGAATATGGTATTATTTACACCGTTTTGGAACCATTTTGGGGGTGGCAAAAAATGACTAGCAAATATGGGGGTTCAAGCACCAACAATTGGAAATTATTCAGTGAATATGGGGACGTCAATGACCGTCAGTTTGACCTTTCAACAGGGTTGTCTTTTTGGTAAAACACAAGGGGCTGGTTTGGTACACAAATCATAGTTTCAACATGTTTCAACTAGGCTCAACTCGACCAACAGAATGATCTCACTACACTTCAACCCTGAAAACGTCAGTTGGACAACTGATATCAATTAACACATGCACATAGTATCAATACAAGTATCATGAAATTCATCAGCATTGGTTAGATATGTTAGATGTCGGGAAGCAATGGCCCACAACATGCCATTCTGGTCATGTGCTGGCATGCGCCCTGAGCCCAGGTCATGGCGCTCAGAGGGGGGTCAATTTCGCTTGCACCTGCCATATGACCCCAGACCAACCTTCCAAGATTTGGGGCGATGAAATCAACGGTTACGGGTTTAACGACCCATTTTTCACGAAACCATGGATGTTATCCCGGGAATGCAGAGGCTTCGAAGAAAAACCTGCAACCCAATCTGGGATTTGAAAAAAAATGTCTAGCTCCAAGAGTCAAGCTTTTAGACCCATAGCCACATTTCGATAAATGACTGTACTATACCTATGTTTGATTCGTCCATCTCTGCCAGGCGGCAAACGCTGGCGATGCCAATTGCCAAGTTCGGGTCGCGGAAACCTTGAGCTTTTGGAGGGCTGCCCCGGGTCGACTGAATCGGAACATGCTGGCGTGAAGCCAACAATCAACATCAATCAACAATATTGTTCAGAAAGTTTGTTAGCAAAATAGGACACTTGTACAAATTAAATTAATTAAATCCCATTTTGTGATGAACAAAAACCACCTCTCAGCTGGTTGAACCTTTTTCTCTTGCTTCAATTCCCATCGTTGTTGCTTCAAAATCCAAATTATCGGTAAAAATTACACTTGGTGAAAATTCAATAAAAAAAAGACATGTTTTTTATAAAATACATTAAATACATATTTTAATTCCCATACTTCCATTATACAAAAATTAATAATTATACATGTTTTCGATCTTTTGTTTTGATCAGCGATCCCAATTTTTCTGGTAGCTGAAAGCTCGTTTCATCTCTGAGATCCCGACTCTGCGGCACTTCTAATTGCCTGGGGCGATTCACCCATGGTTTTTGTGTTTAGCCTCTGAGAAACTACAGGATGGGGCCCCAGCTCGATAGCTAAATTGGTGCAAATGACTATAATAACCATAGTGTATGATATGCAAGTAACTATATTTGGATGGGGTTATAAACCAACTTAAAACTGGAGGGCCCCATCCTGTATAAGAGGTTTTCTTTTAACGGTGCAATGATCAACTAAAACTGTATGTTGCTTCTATGGCAAAGTTCGCGAACGGGAACATCACCCTTTTTAATAAGTAAAAATACCTATTTACCATGGTCATGTTCAATAGCTACAGTATCTTTGTTTACCAGAGGCTACCGGTTCTTGAAAATGAAATGGAGGCTTCCTAAAATGGGGAGCCCCAAATCATTCAAGTCAGACCATGCCATGAAGAAATGTATTGAAACCCATGGTGACTCGGGGACCGCCCATGACTTAAGAAACCCCCGGGGTTAAAATATGACCCACTGACCCACTAAGGGAAGCCTTCCAGATCGATTTAGGGATGATCGTGGATTTTGATCAGGGGTTTCTGAAAACCCTTGTTGATGGCACACAACACCTTCTACAACATGATCACTTTGAATTTTCAGTTTTTGCCTTCATGTCAATGGGTTCGTATCCTATGAATACCCTCTAGTAACACTGTATCAAATACCACATATCACACATTGACAACATCACCACGCCGATGGGGTGGTAAAACCCCACATTTTTGATGGTCGCCCATCGCCCACAACAGTCCAATCAATAGTGCGGTGGTCCGTGCGCTGAGGCCCCCAGTTTTTTGTTATTTTTACCCGTTATAGTTCCCATATGCAACCCATGGTGCTGGAATATAATCCCAACATTTACCCCATTTTTATGACCCAGTTAGTTTGTAGGAAAATATACCAGCACCATGGTTCGCATATGGGGTTATATCCACTTCATCAAGCCATTTGCGAATGCACCATTCGTAATGTCCGTCAACTTCGCTAGAGGCCTCAGTTTTGTTTTTCTGCTGGACACAACTTTGAGTCGAAAGAGTAAAACAACATGACGTGCAATCACCAGAAAATTTTAAGGGCACAGCACATGTGGGAAACCCTGCCGTAAACCTAGCATTTCGGGGTTGGTGATCTAAGCACCATAAAAAAGTATATTTTTGGGTATGGTTCATGGCATTGGATTGTCGAGTATGGTCAATTTGTGTTGTAATTTTGCATATGTATTATATGCATCATATATATGCATCATATATATATATGCATCATATATATATACATTACATGTATCACGCATCACGTATGTAATTATACATATGTATATATATATTATATATATATATATTATATATATATTAAATATATATATATATATTAAATATATATATATGCGGGTAGATTAGATATTTCACTAACCTGAAATAAGGTCACTTGGGGATAGTTACCCCTACTAACCATTCCAGTGAGGCCCCAGTGAGGTTGTTTTAAATTTACTTCACGGTTCATCTTGGATCATTCTCATCCTCAAGCCAACACAAATTTCAACATGAAAAAAAAACATATTTCCATATAGTTCCCATATATGAACCACATATTCTTTCCATATATGAACCAGACCTGTTCATCCCATATATTTCCATCTATTGCCACAGAAAACTCGTCAGATTCCATGATATGCTCCATATTTTTCCCCATATATTGCAACTACACCTGGGCCAATTTCAAAAGCTCCACTGCTTCGTCGTGTCACGGGCGGCTCGAAAACATCTTGGCCAAGGTCATCTGGACCGAATGCATCTCCACGTTCAGCTCCTATGACCGGCCAAGCCAAGCGGAACTGGAAAGTGAAACCGCAAGGGTCATAGTAAAATAATGAACATAATCAAAACAAATAAGAAACATCACATTAATAGCAATATTGATAAAAATACATATATATATATATATGTACAAATATATACATATATATAATCTAATATATATATATGATATATATATATATGTTATTTTCAAACATAACATATGTCCAGTTTTTTTGGTGAGGGAAGTTGATTGATTTTTACCATACAACAAGATGGATGCATTATAGTCATCAAGGTATTTTTCTCTAGTCGCAAACCAACTTATCTAGGGGGGCCCACCTTGTATATGTACGTATGTAATATATATATATATATATATATAGTATGTAAATGTAAATATGACCATGTAAACATAGATGAACACACATATAAATATACCATATAATATGTATGTATATATATATATATAATATTGAATTTAAAGTGTCGAACGTATCTATATTGGAATATGCCAGTCCAACTTGCGAGCTCACACACAACCAAGCTACCACCCATATGTCTAGAATATGCTCCTGGGATGCTAACGAACGGTGTCTGTTTTGGCTAATGATCTACTTTCTCCCATAGAAATAATGCAACATGGTGCCATCCCCCATTTTTTTTCATGGACCCTGCTATCAGGTTGTTTTTAAAGGTGTATCTTAGTGTTGGAGAGGCTAGCTGCAGAAACTTTGTCCACCTTTGACAATCAAGCATTGAACTCTGGAATGTGCTTGCTGCCATTCGAGCAGCCATCATATACAATGTAAACAAGAAGCCACTAGCAACAAAAAACAATATAAAAAATAAAACGTCTAATATAGAATTAGATTAGAAATCATAATAGATATTTCAATATTCTATAACAAGAACTATTTATCATATATACTGCACATGAAAATCATATGTATATATATATATATATATATCACTCTTCAGTGCGTATGTATCTATTATATATATATATCACATAATGAACATAATCAAACAAATAAGAAACATAACATTAATAGCAATAAGAATCAATATATATATATATTATATATATATGGATGATGGTGCTGGCCCAACACGTCCCCCTTGTTCCACTCGACCCCCGTTCACCAACATCGACCTGTAAGCCGATGGGCCAGGCCGACGCGTCGATGTAGCTGCGGTCGTACCAGGCCCAGCCCTCTCCCGGGCCGCCACCGTTCTGGCGCAAAAAAAATGGGGAATATATGGGGTTAAATATACTGTTGATATATGGTCATATTATATGGTCATATTATATGGTTATATTATATGGTTATTATATGGTTATATTATATGGTTATTATATGGTTATTACATGGTTATTATATGGTTATTATATGGTTATTATATGGTTACTATATGGTTAATATATGGTTATTATATGGTTATTATATGGTTACTATATGGTTAGTGATGCTTAATGACTTGGATGATTTGGAAACTTGTCAGTCTGGAGAGATTTTGGCCATTGACTGACCATTGCTGGGATTCCAGCATTCAATCCACAAAAAAAGGGTGACATTACCACAATGTGAGGCCCCCAAGATATCTAAGTTGGTTTATAACTCCAATAACTATGGTTTATGGTAGGCAAATAACTATAGCTACTGGGGCTTATAAGCCAACTTATAACTGGGGTGCCTCACATTGTAACATCTATGTCTGGTTGGTGGTATACCTACCCCTCTGAAAAATGATGGAGTTAAAGTCAGTTGGGATCATGAAATTCCCAATATATGGAAAAATAAAAAAAGTTCCAAACCACCAACCAGATGGTGATGAACCAGGAAACCTAAGGATTGAAGAAAGAAACAGAGTGGTTCAACCGTTCAACCGTCAAAACGTGTCATTTCACCGAAACACATGGTCATTCAAGCATCCAAAAATGGTACCATCTGGTTATGACTAACAGTTTGCCATGGAAAATCACCATGCTATTACATAATAGGTGAACCTCTATAAATGGGCCATTTCCCATGGCTATGTTAGTCATAGCCAGAGGGTAAATCATGTGGAATTAACTAGCTCAATTTTGGCGATGGAAAGCAAAAAACATTGGAGGATCATCGAGCTCAATACAGGGATCTAACGAGGTAAAACAAAAAACATGCAAATATATTTGGATACATATGCTGTAACACTTTGTTATGCCATATGTAACATATGTAGATGCCAGAATATTCACAAGTATATCAGTGGACACTTTTTAAAACCAACATGTCATGAAGATTTACCCTCTGGTAAACTTTTACATAACTATGAAAAATCACCATTTTGAATAGGTAAATCAACGAACTAAATGGGGTATTTTCAATAGCTATGTACCAAATTACCAGAGGTTAAATATATTCAATTCTGGTTCGATGGCCACATCAATACTAACATGCAAATAGATTTGGATATATTTGGAACATAATGGGATACAAGCACCACCCCTATCAACCAACCAATACTTGGAGGGTCATCTCACTTTGTAAGTGGCTATATAACAACGGTGGTTAATATAGCTGGCTTAGAACCCCATGTTTAAGCATATGCAATAGCTGAAGTTGCACGCATGGCCGCAATCCATCATTCTGCGGTAGATCCCAATGTCAAGCACAGCAATGTGATAACGTTGTTTCCAGTAAGGGTTCGTCCCATAGGGGCCCAAAACTGGTTCATAACCTCGACTGCCGGACAAAGGTGTCTGACAAGAGGTGTTGCCATAGGCATCAGATAGTCGTTGATCTCGCAGGCCGTGTCATTCAGCCGGAAGATGTCGAGCAAGTGAGAGGTCGTCCATTCGTGTTGCTCTGGTGCTGTAGAAAACTGCAGGGCCACTGTGAATTGTGTGACCGGGAGGTCAGACATCCTGAGTGATCCAAAAGATCAAGGCGATGCAGCAGCACAAAGTCACCAGAATCCCAGTGCAGCACCCGAAGCCAAACTGTGTCTGTGCAGGTCAGGCCAGGGTCAAAGGCGAATGGAAGGCGATCAAGCCTCTCTCACGGCATCACTCTCGGCGCATGAAGATCAGATGCGGTGGCAACGAAAACTTTTGAAGTGATTAATGGGAACTTCTGACATGAAAACATGTTGACAATATGCGATGTCAAGTCATGAATCTTTTGACATGTGATGCTGAAATGTCATGTAGGAAATTTTGTCAACATGTTGAAGTTCCCATGCAGCACTTGCCGAGTCACACATGTGACTGAAACCTAAAGGTTCAAGAAACTGAAAATGTTCATGTCCTCAAATCAAAATGCGTGACATCAAATGCACCGCAGCCCCTCAAACAAATCTGTTTTCGTTTGATGATGGTTTCAGTCTCATAAAAATCTATCATGAATACTTCATGAGAGGATTCATAACATAACCATTGATCTTGAGATATGCTAACCAGTCAAACAAATCTAGAGATATGTACTTGGGAAGACTCCCAGTGGGACCCAGGTCATGTTCGCTGACAAAAAACCCAAGGAATCCCAAGGAATGTGTGTCGCTAAAATCCGCATGTTGGTCCGAGATTAAAACAACGCCAAAAAAAGTCAAAACAAGTCGTTTCACCGGTTTCCTCCTTAAATTGATGTTTGTTCGTTTGACTTCGGTATGTGTATGGCACCCATTTCTGTGAGGCTGTCAATTTCGGTCAGCATGACAGCATTTTTAGGGACGTATCACAATTTCAATCAGCAACACAGTAACAATTGTACAATTTCCATTACCCATATGCTCCATGGTGCTGGAATATTTACCAACATTTACCCCATGTTTATGACCCAGTTTTGCAGGTAAATATTCCAGCACCATGGTTCGCATATGAGTTATCATCATCATCCAAAAACTTCCGAGTTTCTCAGATTCGACGTCTGGTGATGGGTCCGAAACCCCGAAAAAAGATCCCTCCCACACCCCAGCCGCCCAGCTGCTCCTCACGGCGTGCATATTTTTCCCAGACGTGGGTCACCTCAAAGCATCGTTTTTTGATGGAAAATCCTTCAGCGACGGATTGGTTTAAGGGAACATCTTCACCGGAAACCATAGATTTTCCATGATTTTCCTAGTGAATATTGGGTTTTCCATGGGTTTTCCATGGTTTTCCTGGAAATTGTCCCACCAATCCATTGACTTCAGCGATGTTTTCCTATGGATCCCAGTTCTACTTAGGCCAGATTGGCGATGGCCGGTGAGTTTTTGTGGATACCCATTGTATCCCCGATTAAAAATCATTTACTAACTGGTTTAGTAACTTCTAGCTTCCATAGTGTCCCGTATCCCATTACACCACCTTGCTATATCCCATTGTCTCTCCACATGTTCTTGGTTTATTACCCTCTGATGATGCAACAAAGCTATCAACAATGACGTATATAGTATGTTCGATAACTTACCTCAAATGTTAATTTTCCATAACAAACTGTTTAAATCACCAGTCTGTAGCAAATTCTGTTCCCACATATTCCCAGATATTTCCCTGATTTTTACATATGTTTCATAGATTTCAATAGATTTCTAAGATATTTCCATAGTTTTCCATAGATTCCTATGTGCTTTTGGTTTCTTCTCCCCCGTCTTTTCGTGCACAAATCCCAGCGCCATGGCCGTGTCACCCACACGGTGGCCAAATGTTGGTAGCGCAGCGCCAAGTGATGCCCTGGCAGCACTCCCTCGCCGGCATCGGCCTGATGTGCAACGTTTTTCAGGGGAAAATATGGGAAGATCATGGACATGTCATGGAAATATAAGGGCAATATAAGGGCTGGTTGGTGGTATACCTACTCCTCTGAAAAATTATGGAGTTCGTCAGTTGGGATGATGACATTCCCAAGTGAATGGAAAGTCATAATCCATTCCATGGTTCCAAACCACCAACCAGCAGGGGAATATATGGGACATGGTGTATAATACCGTGGACAGAGACGGCAATATCATGGCAATATCACATAAAACATCCATGGTTCAATAAATACAAACATCCCACTATAGTCACTAAACATAGTCTGATATCATGGGTTATATCATGGCAATATCATGGGTTATATCATGGGTAATATCTGATATACGTTGGACATAGATGGAAATAGATGGCAATATCATGGCAAGATCATACCCTCCGGTAAATTGATCGTTACCGTAACTGGAACATCACCATCAAACTATTTTTATGGGTCATCTTCCATCGCCCTGTTGAATTGCCAAGGCTAGAGCCTTAATAATATCTTATACTGTACCACTTTGTTATGCCATATGTAACATATGTAGATGCCAGAATATTCACAAGTATATCAGTGGACACTTTTTTAAACCAACATGTCATGAAGATTTACCCTCTGGTGACCGTCTACATAACTATGGAAAACACAACTTTTAGTAGGTAAATCAACGAACTAAATGGGCAATTTTCCTGTTCGCAAACTGTAAGTTAGTTTACCGGAGGGTAATATCATATAGTTTACCACCATTGCTTTGGAGAATGATCCCTGCAATATCCCATATTAATATCACCATGAACACATTATCTGGTTAGAAACCGCAAATCAACTCTGGGGATGTGTAGCAGCCATTTCTCATGAAATTGGCTTTGGTTCTTCAAATTTCTTGAACATTTTAACGTATGAAGGTTTCCTGACATAGCGGCTACCTCTATGAATCATCCATGTTAGATTAGCATTTTCCATTTTCCATTAATAATAGACCATCCAGCTATGGTGGTAGCACCATGACTATGGAAACCCCCATGATCATTATGGGATTTTGGATTTTCTTGGTTCATCCAGCAATTTTTGCTTGGCGAAATCCATGGTCAGAAAATGGTGAAAAATCCCATGGGAATTTCAGGATCCAATTGATGGAGGTACTGTGCCATTTTTCAGGCCATATGAATTGTGGGGAGATTCCCTGAAATTTAGGCCTAAAAAATAGAGCAAAAATATATGGTAGGTACCTCCAATTTTAGGCTCCTGAAATGGCCATTGAAATGGGATATTGATGGTTAAATCCACTATAAATGGAGCTTTTAATGGGAAAATCAACTATAAATTGTTATAAATTGGTGATCTTCCATTGCCATGTTTGATTACCGGAGGGTCAGCCCATATTTTTGGGGAATTTCCCTTACATAGCTCAAAAAAACACAGGCCTTATATATGGTAGGTGTGCCTCCAAACTGACCAGCGCCAGAACACGGTAGATAGCTGCAACTCCTGCCACTTACGTGGAATCTTTTCTCAAGCCATGAGGCTTACGTGGCGTTGAGATTTAACGATTCTTATGGGATTTAACATGACAACTAACCATGAAACATGGAAAAAATGAATGGTGATTGATCTGGATTTCTATTGAATGGCAATATCATGGGATCATGGGATATACTGGGACGCATGTGTATGTATATATATATATTATAGAGATTTACCCTCCAGCAAAACTAACAGTTTGCAAACTGGTAAATCATCGAGCTCAGTTAGTTCTTTTTCGCTATATGACAGACGGTAGATTCAGTTCCCAATTCTTGGTGATATCAAATGGTATGTGATTCAAGCGATCACAATTCAAATTCAACCATTGGGTTAGTTGAATACATATGTGGGATATCCCAAATTGGGATTACTATTCCCAATATATTGAAAGTCATAAAATGTTTGAAGCCACCAACCAGTATATCGATCTCTCACTAACCATTATTAACCACCAGGAAAACCACCAGGAAAACCCCCAGGAAAACCACTATTAAAAGCCCATGGTTCCAGTCACCACCAACCGTCGTCGATGACTTTGGAGGCTCCCCAACGAGGCCTTGGTTAGTACCGTTGAATAAAACCCGATGGTTGATAGATCTGATAGATGTGTCCAAACTTATTTCCCGAGTCAGTGATAAACAAATATACTGTACATAATATTGTATATATATATATATATATATTCCTATGAAAATCTACATAATGTACTTGGTTACGGAATTAAAATAAATAAGCTGCTTCTTCGTTTCTATCCCTAATATATAATCCCGGTCCCTAATATTCAACGCCCCCAACTTGCCAAGCAATGGTCCAAAATAGGTTTTCCAATCCCTTACTAAACCATGGTTTCTGGGGGGTGCTTAATAATGTCCTTTTGGTAAACATAGAAAAAACGGGTTTGGGGTAAACTCGAGTAAACAAACCCATCTTTGTTCATGAACCAACCAATGGGAAAAGGACATCTTCCTGGGGTTGCTTCATATTGGTGGCAAACAATTCTCCCATCTATTTAATCGCAGGGGAAAGGGATTATTCCAAACATTCTGGTTGGTGGTTTCAACCCCTCTGAAAAATATTAGTCAGTTGGGATCATTATTCCAAGCCACCAACCACCAGCATTTCATATTAGGGAAGGGATTTCTCTAAACAGTGCGACAACAATATTCTGACCATGAGATGAACCATGAAGTTCTCCACGAATTCCATGAACAATTCTACCAGAATTTTCCAAAAAAAAATCACCACCAAAGCCAATTAAATCACCATTAAATCCCATTAAATCACCATAAAATACCATATCTTCTAACCATTCCGAACTGTTAAAGCCGTGGATCCCGTTGCCGCGCCTAAGGAACAGCTGAAACCCATCCGCGGCTCGGGAGTCAGGCTGCCGGTAGCTGCCAGAAGGGCGTCGGCCAAGAGATGCCGGGATGCCTTAGAAAAACTGCTGGGAATCGATATCTAAATTGGTGTTTTATTGGTGTTTAGTATAGATTAATTTAGATATATAACCTTAGCTAATATATCCTGAAATTGTGTTTTAATGAGGATTTTACATGGGATTTAGTACGATTTTAATATATTTTAATGGGATTTAGTAGGAATATCCCATTAATAATAATGTTTAATGGAATTATACCTTATGGGATTTATATTGGTGTTTTGTGGTGTTTAAATACAGAAATATCATCTTAATATATCCTGAAATGGTGATTGAATGGGATTTGAAGACCACACACGATGTTGATTTAACCTCTGGTAAACTAACAGTTTGCTATTGAAAATTGCCATTTATAGTTGATTTTCCCATTAAAAAATTGTGATTTTCCATAGTTTCCTGTTAGTTTACCAGAGGGTAATGGGATTTAGGGAATAAAAAATGGTGCTTGAATGGAGATTGGGGATTCCATGAGATAGAATGATGTTTTTTCATTCCCTAAATCTATTTTAATGGGACTTCAACAAAAAATAAAGATGTTTTTCATGGTATTCAAATGTGTTGGGAATTAAAAATGGAGTTTACATGGGATTATACAAGGGATTTATAATGCATTAGGGAATATCCATGTAAACTCCATAAGTTTATCCATTTATAAGGGATTATAAGTTATATGGATATTCCCAAAACTCCATTAGAGTTTACATGGGATTCCATGGGATTCCCATATTTATATCGTTTGTTTCTTTATTTCATGGGAAATGGATGGGTTCTAGTGGGATCATCTCAAAAACGTGATGGATGGTGATGAAACATTTCGCATGAGACAAAAATCCCATGAGACGAAAAACCATGACATGGGAAGCGGGATTTTATGGGGAATCATGGAGAAATCTCTCTGCAATCTGGTGAGACTTTGGAGTAGAAGTGATTCCGTGAGAAATGGATGGTGGTTTAGTGACATATCATGATGATTTGATGGGATTTTTACTTGGAATTTCCATGGGAATTCCATGGGATTTCATTGAATTATAACAGGATTCTATTTATGGGTGTTAATTGGATTAGAATGGACTTTCATGGGAATTCATGGGATTTACTAGGATTTAGTGGGATCGAACGGAATTACTACTTATAATGGGAATTCAGGGATCTTGCATGGGATTTGATGGGGTTGTACATGGGAGATAATCTATAAATTGGCCCTCAAACCAAAGCTATTCTGAATTCCAGGGAATATATACATTAGTTGACATATTGGTAGACAATTGTTCTATCTAAATGTTGATAATTACTAAGGTTGCATTGGATACTAGTAGTTTGTTCCGGGCACATGCAAGGCTGATCTTCTGTTGCACCTTGCAAGGCAAAATCATCCGGTTCTCAAAATGCCATTAAAATCAATGGTCTTTGTTCCGCAAATCAGGGGGTCATTTCCGTGTAAGCGGCTGCAGCATCTGAGATGAGCTGTTTGGCTGATCCAGTGAGGTTCGCATCAGGAATTTCCTCTGAGAACGACTGAAGTACCATGCCCAAGAGCAGTCGCTCTTCTGCCAGCCGCTTGTCCAAATTGCTCTTCGCCTTCTCCAGGGAACATTCCCATGACTCACTGCAACTGCGGTAGTCATCTGCAGTGTAACCCCCAAGAATTGTACGCATTATTGGGACTTGTTTTACCAAGTCAGAGTCAAATGCGTTTTGATGAATGAAGATTGTGGCCAAAGAGATTTGAATGCATGTTGTCTCAGGTGTTCCCAAACCCTTGACATTCAAAAAAGTCTTCAGCGCGTCGAGATGCGGTTGCATCGTAATGACTCCCCTTCCTCACATTAAAAAAGTGCGCTCGGCGTGAGCAGGGGGGCAACGTGGTGTTGCCCAGCAAAAGGGACAGACCACCAGCCCTAGCTGCCTGCACCTCAAAAAACTTTTCGGGACCTTAAAAGTGTTTTTTTTCCACCCGCATCCTTGGCAACCTAATACCACGCCAAAATGAATCGGCAAAACCCTCACCATATGAACCCGTTAAGAACTAACCCATTAAGATCATTAAGGACTTGAGGGTACCCTCATTCCCATATTTCGCACCTATAGCACTTAAGAACCCCAGGGTAGGCTGGAAAATTCCTAATCGGTTCTTATCGAACGGTTCCGCTGTAGTCGGTTTTTTCTCGGGAGTCGTTTGCTGAAACCGCTGAAATCCCTCTGACAATTTCACATCGCTATGGTATAGATGGCCCATTTAGCGCTGATTTATGATGCTAAAAATGATTATTCACCAATTGAACATGGTGATTTTCCATAGAAAACCGTGAAAATTGACAAACTGTTGCATCTTTCATCCTTAAGTCGCCACTCTTGTTAATTAAACCTCCGAAATATCCCACTTGTTGTTGGAAAAAGTGTTGTTGGAGTTATCCCCCAAAACTGGCTCACTGGAGTTACGCGTTATCCCCCAAAGCTGGTTCGTGCTTGGGTTTGACTTGATGTTTCATCATCATTTTCCCTATCAAAACATCAGTTTTGGGTTCCAAACCAGACTTGATCACTTCACCTCCCAGTTACCTAGACCCTCCTTAAATATCCATCAAAAAATGCGTGCTAACCCAATAATTTTACTACGTTTACATACGTTTAGCCCATTTTCTGGGGAGTATTGGAGGGTCTATAGGTACTATCCATGGGAATTTCAGGATCCGAAAATGGAGGTACTGTACCATTTTTCGGGCCATATTTTCTGAAATATTCCCTTAAATTTAGGCCTAAAACATAGGCCAAAAATATACGGTAAGTAGCTCCAATAAATCGGTTCCTGTTGCGCCGTTGATACCAAGCTATCCATTACGCCGCCCAAATACCACATAGTCACCCTGTTGCGCCAGGTCAAGGCCTCTGCGGAAGTATGGGCTTGGCAATGAGGATCAGAGGTACATAAAATACTGAGGCTATGGAGGGGATGGAATGGGAGTTAATGGAGTTTAATGGGAATATACTGGGATTTAAGGGGATTCACCCTCTAGTAAACTAACATAGCTAAGGAAAACCACCATGTTTAATAGGCAAAACTATGTCTATGGTTATTTTCAATAGATATGTAACAAATTACCAAATGGTAAGCAGTCCCTAGGAATCCTGCGTTGCATTTATTTCATGTCATTTGTTGATGCAGATGTTTTTTTGGCTACAGAAACCATCCGATGTGTTTTTTCATGTCATTTGCGGATGCCCTATTTTGCGGGTGGCACTTTGGGCATTATAAGGGGCCCTGTCAGGGGCTGTCACGGCAAGTCATGCTATTTAACATCAAACATCTGGATTTTTAATAGAAAATAGTAGACCCGCTACGATCTGTCGTCACGGTTTGTCATGCTTTGAAACTGGAACCGTTTAAAGAGTACCCCATCAAATGACTCTTCAAATTTGCAGCCATTTGATGGCCATCAACGGGCTACCATCAAAACGATCTCAAAATGTGAGGTTTTTACAAACGTAGTCAAACCCTTGGATCATTCGCATAATGTGCATATTTTGTGGCACGGATTCACAGGGAGTAGTAGCTGAGAATATCTTTTGGCTTTCATCTACTACTGATTATAACTGATTAAATGTCTTTTACATAATTCGATACTTGCATATAACTTATTATCATCGACCGCTGATGATTCTGACAGGTATGATATAAGTATATCTTCTGCAGCGAACATCTGTGGCTGGCAGAAAAGGGCCAACCGATATGATCTTGAGACTGGCAACGTCGCAGGCAGCTAGCACAGCATCTGCCAACCATCCCGCCCTCAGGAGGGTCACCGAAGAGCTTCCCTGAGCTGCTGATCTGAAGGCTGCTGCGATTTCGGGCATGCTCAGCTTTGGCAAGGCTGCTTCCACTGCGCCTTCGAGGCTGCTTGCCTGTCGGGCCATCAGCCTGTGCATTGGCCAGGCAGAGCACCCCAACCACTCATCGAAGGACAAGCAGGCATCGTTCTCCCTGGCGCTTCATCCTGCCGTGCTCGACATCCCACACACACTTTGTGAGAAGGCACTCCATGTGATCTGTGGACCAGGTATGCTCCTTTGTCAGCAATCAACCCTGAAATTCCCGAAACTGAAACTTCCCCCGGCAGTAACTCAAACTTCCATGAAGACTCGACGCTGGTTTCGGGTCGAGTATCGACGAGAATGGAGCTTCCAGGGTGGGGCCATGTGAGATTCTTGTATTCCAATCCAAAATCTGCCAACGCTTCAGCTCTCAGCTTCTCCAGAGCAAAGAGGAGAGGAGACTTCTCATATGGTCCGCGATGATTAAATTATATACTGATTATGTGAACATCGAATGGTACACAATGATCAAAACTTGTTTACAGCAACCCCCAAAGTAGAAACGCATTTTCAGGATGTTATAGATCGTGTATTTACCTTATATTTCCAGATTTCCAACGTGTCGATCTATTTCGCGATTGCTATATCATCTGCTATTCTGATGGCTATATGATATTATTCTCGCATACTTAGGATATAAATCTCGAATTGTACACATGGAGGAAAAAAAACGCTTGGGATCTATATAGAACAGCATAGTGGGGCTATATCATCTAATATTGTCGGGATAATGAATGCAAATAAATTACTTTACTTCGTGTGATCCCCACCATGACATTTATATATATATATATATTTTTTGTTACTGGCAAATTTTCTGGCATTCTATCTGACATTTTATCTGGCATATCTTCTGGCATTCTATCTGGCATATCTTCTGGTATTTTATCTGGCATATCTTCTGGCATTCTACCTGGCATATCTTCTGGCATATTTTCTGACATATCTTCTGGCATTCTATCTGGCATTCTATCTGGCATATCTTCTGGCATTCTATGTGACATTCCATCTGGCATATCTTCTGGCATTCTATCTGGCCGTTGGGGTCCAGCGGTGCACACTGAGCTGGGCAGGTCCCAGGTTGAGGTCCAGCGGTGCACACTGAGCTGGGCAGGTCCCAGGTTGAGGTCCAGCGGTGCACACTGAGCTGGGAAGGTCCCCGGTTGAGGTCCAGCGGTGCACACTGAGCTGGGCAGGTCCCCGGTTGAGGTCCAGCGATGCACACTGAGCTGGGCAGCTCGCAGGTTGAGGTCCAGCGGTGCGCTGGGCAGCTCGCAGGTTGAGGTCCAGCAGTGCGCACTGAGCTGGGAAGTTGGCGAACCGCTTGGCTTGGCGACGAGTTGGCAAGGTTGGCAAGGCGGAAGTGGAGGTGGAAGAGGCGGAGGCGAGGAGGAGGGCGAGGAGGACAGCTAGTCGAGGAGGAGGAGGAGGAAGAGGCGGCGGGCGGGCATGCGCTCTGATAAAATCTAACAACCCTCACCTGGCAGGTGGGGAATAAATTGGTTGGCTTACATAGACTACTATGACTGTAAATCAGTACAGGTTAGTGCTTTGGAATTGGGAATACTGCAGAGTGATCCTCCGATTCAAAACCAACAAGGCTAGTGGCAAATCGCGCAAATGATGGCTGGCAAATAGGATCCCACTTCATTGAATATGAAAATCCCCAATAAAGGGTTGAAACCCGTGCGAGCAAATCATCACCATGGTTTATCCATTACACCTCCACCTTTTTGGTGCTTTTACTCGAAAGTTACTTTTCCCAATCTCCCTCCAGCTCAAGGCTACGCGTCTCCCGCAAGAAAACTGGTGTTGCTTCCGATTGACCATAATTATACGGTTGGGGGTTATACATGTATACAATTGTATACATATGTATAGACTGCCAGTCTTCTATTTTATCTCATATGGTGCCAGAATTAATCAATAATTTGATTTGTTGGAACTGCAAAGGCTGCATCGGAAAATCCATCGGTCCTGTACAGTACAGATTCACTATTCCCTCGTTGCTGGCTCAGTGCCACGTAGCTGGCTCAATGCCTCGTTGCTGGCTCAGCGCCTCGTAGCTGGCTCAATTTTTTGAGCGAAAAAAACGAAAAACATAAAAACAAATTGAGCCAGCTACATGTCCTTGAGCCAGCTCGGTATGCCGTCATCATCCCGGCCAATACATATTATGTATTCGTTTTTTAGCTTTCACGTTCGTTCGCCAGCTCAACGTGACGTAGCTGGCTCAATTTTTTCGAGTTTTTGTTTCGGTCAAAAAAATTGAGCCAGCTCGATGCCATCGAGCTAGAGCGATGTGTTTGAGCTAGCGCGTTGTTGCTGAGGCGGTAGCTCGTTCCACTTGAGCGAGCCTGCACATTTTTCCCAATGTGTTCAATTGCCAGGTTCAGTCCCAAATGATTCGTTTAATAAAGATGGTACCCCTGTTGCAGCCCAGAAATTTAGGAGCCACGTTTTGGGCCAAATCTGCTTAGACAGCGGCACAACATTAAAGTCAAACACATGACCCCTTCTGAAATTGAGCCAGCTACATGTTTTGAGCTAACTCGAAAATGAGGAAGATTGTAGATTGTCACATTCAATTTAAAGTCCAATAAATAGTGCTCAAATACCCTTCAAATATTTCCTGTTCCGGCTCCACTCATGGCTGTTCATGTTCAACTAAACCCCAAAAAACACATAAATTTCATATACACAATGTGTTCCAGGAAACCCATCACTATCATAACACCAAGTTAGTTAAGTCTCTAAATTGATGGGTTTTTCCATGGCTTCGAATACAACGACTTCACGGCGCCTCCCATCACCGCACCCAAGATCTGTCGCCAGAAGAGCTCGGCACCTGGCCAAGGCGCCATCTCGCCATCACCTGTCGGACTCGTGAAACTCACCACGTAGGGTGTGACTAAACATGTTAACATCATATATATATACACCATATATTTATCCATATTTAACCAGGTGTTTATCATTTTATCTATCTGATGTTTCTGGTATAAATATGTATAACTGTAGGTGTTTATCATTGTTTATCTATCAACTATCAAAACTATACAAAAACAAACAAAAACTTGGTGTACCACGGTTTAGTACATCAGCTGTTTACATATCCGAATATATCTGATGTTTATGATATCTAAATGTACATGGTATCTACCTATATCTATCTGATGTTTACATACGCCAGGTCTATAAATGGTAAAGTGATTGAGCTGGCCAACAATTAGGAACCATATCTAGGCTATCAAGAGTAGGCACAAACAGGTATAAATAGGTTGAATCACATTTTTGAGGGTAAAAATCGGCAAATTTCATTGAAACATATTTGTGTGGGTAGAATCCAAATTTATCACTGATTATGCTGAAACCAAAACAATGAACCCCCAATAAACAGATCCTAGTTCGTATGAACATGGTGAGTTTACCCCCCCCAACCCCGGTTTTTCATAAGTATCAGTTTGTTCATAGACATGGTGTTTCCAAAAGAGTGACGAATTACAAACACATGGTACCCTCTGGTAATTTAACATAGTTATTGAAAATCACCATTTATAGTGAGTTTTCCCATGAAAAATGGTGATTTTCCATAGCTATGTTAGTTTACCAGAGGGTATACCCTAGTCAAAAACCAGTGGTTCCTGAAAAACCCATGAAGACCCGAGCCATCGAAAATTCCCGCTGATGATTCAATCCCGCGCTAAAAAATCCCGCATCATTATCCCACAACATCACAACATCCCATGACGGATCCATGGTGCTGGTATATTAATGCCAACATAAAGGGGGTATATTAATGGGATCCATGTTACCATATATAGCAGCACCATGGATCCTATGGGTATGAATTCAATTTTGTATATATATATCCATTTACAATGCTTAGATTGCTATAAAGATCTATAAAGACAAAGATTCTACCCAAATACAAAAGGCTTTTCTTCGAGACAGCACGACATGTTTTTGACTCTCTGGATTTCAGGGATGAACATCTTATACAGATAGAGACCTTGTCGATAAAAAGAAGGATTTATACGGGCTGATGAATTGATTTTTGAAAGTAACACCCAAAAAGATAGAAGAGCGTGGGAAACCTGAAAATATGAGGTAAATATTATCAATAATTCATTATATTTCTCAACATCCAGGAACCATTGTTCTATCTTTTTTTTGTGGTTGCTGTTGCTGTAGATAACATAAAGCTGTAGAAAAATCCAGATCTCATCTCTTTACCCTCTGGTAATTTAACATAGCTATGGAAAATCACCATTTTTAGTGGGAAAACTCACTATAAATGGCCATGTTCAATAGCTATGTTAAATTACCAGAGGGTAAATCCTGCCTTTGGCCCCGGGCGCATTCCAAGCGCCATGTGGGCACTGCAGAGCATCCGTCGCAGGCAGCGCGGGTGGCAGCGCCAGGGGAAGGGCCACAAGGTCCATGACGGCGGAACGAACATCGGCGGTAGCCCGGTGAGTTTTTTGTTCGACTTGTTTGTTTCAGTACTGTGTTGTCCAACGAATTATTGAATGAACATGGGTTTGTTTACTGAAAACCATCAACTTGTAATGGTTGGGGTGTCTTAGTAGGTCATTTCTCTCTCGTACAACGGTAAACTCACAATTTCCAAGAGCTGAGCTTCGATGCATCATGGTTCATCATGGTTAACAATCGTCATATAATCGCAATGAAATGCGATGAATCACGATTCATCATCATTCATCCTTCGCCGGTCTGATTCCGAAGCTGGTGCCGATCTGATGCCACTGACATAGCTAGAATATGGGGCTTCCCTGCTATAGCTTGGTTGTGGGTTGGTTTGTCTTCATCCATCCTAATGTTTCCTCATAAATCCTAGATAATCCAAGTCATCATAGAATAGAATCATAGTTGTCTGGTTGGTGGTATACCTACCTCTCTGAAAAATATGAAAGTCAGTTGGGATCATGAAATTCCCAATATATATATATATATATGGAAAAATAAAACATGTTCCAAACCACCAACCAGATCATAGTTATATACCAAAAAATTGCCTATCTTTGGCCAGAATGGGTCAAGCACTTGGGCTACATGAACAAGTTACGAGTACTGCCCGTAACTTCAGCGTTCATTCAAATAGATCCAGAAACCAAAGCAGTGGTCAAATGGGGGTTTCCATAGTCATGGGGGTGCCCCAAAATTGTTGGTTTATAATGGAAAAAAAAACCTATCAACATGGATGATCTAGGGGTACCATGGGGTACCCCCATTTTAGGAAACCTCCAAATGGCACTGTACCAGCATATACCAGCATGTACCGATCTTGTTCTTGGGGTCAAATCCTACGGTCCGTGTCCGACAGTGACAGCACCTTTTTAAAGATCCTGCATGGCGCCAATCATGTTGGGAGAAAACATCACATTTTTCAACACACCCAGCTCTATCATCTATAAGCATATGATATAATATATATAACTATATATATATGGGAGTTTCCATACATGGTGGTACCCCCAATGGATGGCTAAAAAACACCTCTTAAAATGGATGATTAATTGGGGTACCCCCATGACTTAGGAAACCTCCATATCTAAGATCTAAGCCACTCTAAACCAGTTGAATTGAGTTGATCTCAGATCACTGGAAACTTGTCAGCCTGGAGAGTAAGGCCGTTGACTAAGCATCATAGCTAGCTGGGAGTCCAACCATCAATCCCCATGAAGGGTTTATGACATTACTAACATCTATGATATCTCAATATATCTGATATATTCTGATATTTTCTTGATATGTTAGTACTGTTAGATATTATGAAGGGTTTATCTATCAAACCATCAGATATATTCAGATAGATGTGGAATATCTGAATATATCTGATATATCCAAGCTTTTCATCTACGATTTAAGTGAAGGCCAGTCCAAAAAAAATGCTTGCTGTTATGTGACCACCTTTCTTTAAGGTGAAGATCCCTGAAACCTTCAGGTTAGTCCAGAGTATCAGAGTTGTTTTTTATTAAGGCTCCGCAACCAGGGCAACCAGGGCTACCAGGGCGTCTAGTTGGTGGTTTCCATCCCTCTGAAAAAAAAAAAACATGAAAGTCAGATTCGATCATTATCCCAGCTATTGGGGAAATTTTAAACATGTTCCAAACCACCAACCAGTGGTTATACTAGTTAGATGGCACAAATCCACTAGAACTGTATAAAGCTAAGCAAAATTCATAAATCTGAAATTATGATAAGGCCATTTTGGGATAGTTACCCCTACTAACCATCATTTAAAGTGACGTCGCAGTGAGCTCGTTATATTTCATCCAGATTAGATCCTTGGCGGTTACTTCCCATAATTATCAGTGTTGATTGTTATCCCCGATTATGTTTTTCCGTTATGCTTAGCATTAAGCATATCAAATATTGTTGGTTGTATATAATATATGTCCTTTCTTTCCAGATTATATAATCTCCCATTGAATCCTTATCAACCCATCATTTCAACAAAAAAATGATCTCGGCCGGCATTCCGCGGTGGGTGTCACCAGTTCTGTCACCAGTTGCCCCACCACTCGGCTTCCGCGCTCTCATTGAGCTCGCCCTAGTGACCCAGTTTCTCGGGATAATCGAGCGGATTTTTTCCAGTTTTTGGAAGAGATTCTGATGATTCTAGTCCTAAGCCTGGAGATTCATGGGGATTCTTCCAACAACAGCTGGTTTTTGTCGATGGCGTCCACGAATCGTGTGCCCAAAAACCGGGTTTTAGTTGAGTTGATGGACTCTGTCATCGGGATCATCCTAAGTTGATTCAACCAGTAACCATATGCGAACCATGGTGCTGGAATATTTACCTAGAAAACTGGGTCATAAAAATGGGGTAAATGTTGGGATTCATATTCCAGCACCATGGGTTGCATATGGGGTATTTATCATACATAGTTGCGTTACTGTGGGGAAAAACACAGCTATCATCCAGTGATCATTTTGAAAGCTGGTTGCTTGAGAAGGCAACAAACCCAACAAAAAACATTAACATGTTGCACAATCCCCACTGAACCCATATTTCACAACTGCATTCACAACAAACAATCATGTGTACCCTCTGGTAATTTAACATAGCTATTGGAAATGGCCATTTATAGTGAGTTTTCCCATTAAACATGATGATTTTCCATAGTTATGTTATATTACCGGAGGGTATATTGTTCATTGATCAGATTTGTCACTTGCTTGTTTGTTGATCAATTTAACCATATTTGGTTGCTAAATCCCATTTTTTGTGTTGCATAAATTCCCAGTCTTGTCAGTTCACTGTCGTCCCTTAAGATACTGGCTGCTTTTCAATGGATTTTCCATAACGGATTATGATAATCCCACATTAATGTGAAATGGATAGTATATTACCCATAGGATCCATGGTGCTGGTATATATGCTAACATTGGGGGTATATTGATGGGATCCATGTTACCATATATAGCAGCACCATGGATCCGTCATGGGTTATAAAAGATACTGGCTGATTTTCCGAACGGATTTGCCGGAATGGATGTTTTTTGGCTCATCCCCAAGATATGACTGGTGTCTACCCGGAACTCATGAAGCAACAGGGCTCCGGGCGGCAGTGGCCCAGTGGCCCACGTTGAAGCGGATCAACCAGGAAGCAGAGGAGGTTGCTCCAGACGTCCCAGGTGGGCAGTGGATGTAAGTGGTTTAGTTATAGTGGTATGGTATCATGTATCAATAACTAATGGTTTTTAGTATCAATAACTAATGGTTATCAATACCATCAATGGTTTATACCCCGTTTCAGCCATGTAATGCCATGTACCACTGGGAATCTTCCATTGGTTAATCTGACGATTAAATGATCTATTATGTATGTGCATCAGAGTTCGCAATGGTTTATACCTTATATATCTATTATAACTGTAACCCAAATATAACCATAAATTATACCATATTATGTTTGGGGATATTCCAGTAATCTAGCCGGTGTATTCCATCTATAGTTATTAGTTATTCAGAATCCCGATGAACAAAAGGGACCCCGAGGCCAGGTTCATCGACAAAAGCGAAGTTCGAAAAGACTTGATGATCTCTCTGACAGTACCTCGCTGTATCCAAATTTTGAATCCTCTATAATTAGGTCAATTTACATCTACACATATCTACACGGGATTGGGTCAAAACCCTGGTACCTAGTGAACCCCAAAATAGCTGGTAAATGGATGTTCATCCCACTAAAAATGGTATTAATAGGTATTGACCCATACCCACACCTTATGCAGTTTTTGTCAGGTTTTTTCTGTCCATTGGTTTCACCGTTTCACCCCTGCAGAAACCCAAGAAAAACTGAGCCCAATCGGCTTGCCAGACACAACCGGTGGGGCCCCTGTTCCGCGGTCCGAAACCAATCTGGATGTCAAGTTCATGGGCTCAAACCATAGAAACAAAATGAAAATCCAAAGGAAGAGGCTCGGCTGGGTCACTTGAAAATAACATGACACCCGCAATATCTAGGGGATTCGAGGGGTATTCCATCAACTGTTGGGCAGGGGCTGGGGGGTCCAAGCCACTCCCCTCGGCTGCTGGTATTTGGCCATGGTTTTCACAAGGCAAATTGCGCGCAAGAATCCTCTGTCAAATGCCACCATAATCCACCATACACATATACGACATCTAGATCTGTCTACCTAGCTATGACCTAACCACTGCTGCCTTTTCGAAAAAAAGGCCGGCCAAATGTGCGACAGAATGTCCCTGTTGGTAAAGTCTCTACCCCCTCCATTAAAAAAACAACCATTGTTCTAATTGTACCCTCCGCATTGCGCCGCTGGTGCATTACTTTTGGTCCAAGCAACTGCTGAGCAGAGCTGTTTTGAACACAGCCAGCAACAGGGTCCAAGGTGGATTTTTCGCTGCATTGACCGGATCCTAAAAAATTAGGGGAGTGCCCTAAACAATAAATCTAGATATCGGACATCTCATAATTATTCAATGATAAACTATAGATCCCACCGATTTAAGTTAAGCCAACATCATCAATATGCCACATGATATCCCCAGCATTTATGGGCCATGGTCTCAGGTGGTAGGTGTTCACCAGAAAACCCTGCTGGCAAACGCTTCGCTGCAAACGCTTCGCAGTTCGCCCAAGGCAACAAACCGCGAAACCCCGCGATCGCGATGCATGTCCTAGCCGTTGAGTGTCAATCCATCCTTGGAGAGCGACCACCCCTGGTGAGGAAAAACATGCACCTGGGTTTGTCTGAACATAGGGGTGGGTGGAAGAAATTCTGCAGCATCTTGGATGGTTAAAGCCCTATAAATAATGGGATGTTTACCACCTATCAACTAGTGCGGGATTTTCGCTGGACCATCCACAGTAGGGTATACTCCTAAATCAACTGCTCAACTGCTCGGTAAATCATCATGTTCTATTTTTTTTCCTACAGAACATTGCCATCTTTCGAGGTCTTCATGTCCATTTTCAAATGGCTCGAACTCCACCAAATACCCCAGCTTCACCAGCAAAAGAAAAATGGTCTCATACCCTTTTTTGACCTGCCAATAGCCAATGATGCCATATGCAGCAACCCAACATAGAAATTATATATATATATTATATATATATATATTATATATATATATTATATATATTATATATATATTATATATTATATATATATATATATTGATGTTATAAATATTTATATTTATGTTACATGAACTTATGATCATCATGTAGAACATACTGGAAACACTGGTCTATCTCTTTAAAGGACTCCTAACGAAGTCATGCGCAGAAGTGTATTGCCATGATACTTATATATGTTATCTAAAATTTCCCCAATGGACGATGAAATCCAAATAATTTTGTTGTTTCAAAATAACCATTATCCAATGGGGTTATAAATATGGAACATATACCCAATGATAATGGAGACATCCATGTTGGATGATGTTCCAATACTAATCCCATATATCAATAAATAGTTCATGGATGAAAATCATGGATGCCTCGATCCCGAAACATAAAATTTCCGTTTTGTCATGGGGCTACCTCCAAATCATCCAAGTCATGAAAGGCCATTTTAGTATTGAAAACTATGGTGAATTGGGGATCCCCTATGTTAAAAAACATTTTTTTTTTGAGAAACCACATCTGGTTGGTGGTTGACCTACCCCTCTGAAAAATGATGGAGTTCGTCATTTGGGATCATGAAATTCCCAACTGAATGGGAAAAAAATGTTCCAAACCACCAACCAGTATATATCTCATTAACCATTATTAACCACCATTAACCACCATTAATCACCATTAAACAATGGTTCCACGGTTAACAAGTTTCCCAGAGGATGCTCTCGTAGAATCCACTGTCGCCCTTCTTTGTCAAGCGAGCAGCCTCGAGCGGTTCCGTTCCAGGTTCACTGGTGGAATGATTGCCGTGCGTTTTCCAACGTATTGCCATAGTGATACCCATGAATAACCCCAACATCCCCACACAAGTAGCATTTTAGCACGTCAACACAACGGAAACTCATATGGTTTTTTCCCAGTCGCATCCCAATTTGAGTTGCGAAATGATCAATCACTTATCCCTTTTTAGGATCATTCAACCTCGCAAAAAAAATGAAATATCAACCGTTAGTGAAGCTCGCCTTCGCCAGCATATCCCATGCCCGTGGGATGAATTTATTCCCCCTGCACTGTTGATCATTGAAGAGGTACTTAGTAGCGAATGATCACCTGGAGAATTCTGCCACTTCATCAACCAGAGTTTAAGTTCACCTGGGGTTAACCTTAGATATTTAGATGTCCCTCAAACACGAAAAACAGTACTGCGGTGAAGCCAATAATTCACTAAACCATCCCCAAACAGGGTCTAATATCCTCATGGGCCTATCCCCATGTTGGTTCAATCCCGATTTTGCTGATGATATTCACTGTTTCTGAACATCAAGTAGCAAGAATTAAAACAAAATCATATATTACAATAATGCATCATTTATATTGTAGGAGCAGTAGTAGAAGTAGAAGTAGAAGTAGAAGTAGTAGTAGTAGTAGTTGTTGTTGTTGTAGTAGTAGTAGAAGTAGAAGTAGAAGTAGAAGTAGAAGTAGAAGTAGAGGTAGAAGTAGAAGTAGAAGTAGAAGAAGTAGAAGTAGAAGTAGAAGTGGCAGTAGAAGTAGAAGTAGAAGTGGCAGTAGAAGTAGAAGTAGAAGTAGTAGTAGTAGTAGTAGTGCTACTAGTAGTAGTAGTAGTAGTAGTAGGAGGAGGAGGAGGAGGAGTGGTAGTAGTAGTAGTAGCAGTAGCAGTAGCAGGAGCAGGAGCAGCAGCAGCAGCAGGAGCAGTAGCAGTAGCAGTAGCAGTAGGAGTAGGAGTAGGAGTAAGACTAGGACTAGGACTAGGACTAGGATTAGGAGTAGGAGTAGTAGGAGTAGTAGGAGTAGTAGGAGTAGTAGGAGTAGTAGGAGTAGTAGGAGTAGTAGGAGTAGTAGGAGTAGTAGGAGTAGTAGGAGTAGTAGGAGTAGTAGGAGTAGTAGGAGTAGTAGGAGTAGGAGTAGTAGGAGTAGTAGGCGTAGTAGAGTAGTAGTAGTAGGAGTAGTAGTAGTAGTAGTAGTAGAGTAGTAGGAGTAGTAGGAGTAGTAGGAGTAGTAGGAGTAGTAGGAGTAGTAGGAGTAGTAGTAGGAGTAGTAGGAGTAGTAGGAGTAGTAGGAGTAGTAGGAGTAGTAGTAGTAGTCGTCGTAGCAGGAGTAGTAGTAGTAGTAGTAGAGGTAATCGAGTATTTCGCCATCATCAATTCAAAACAAACAAGCCGTAGTCACTTCACCCCAAGACTGAATGCGCCCAATACGGGACCCAGATCCAAGACTAAACGCAGCACTGTGACCCTTTTGCTTTGCTCAAGTCAGCTAGATACATGCTATGGGAATCTATGGGACCTCAATTCTACTCATTGTTTGGGATATCATATATATTCTAATGTCATTTTGTGTATATATATAATATGTATTAATTATATATATATACATCCCATTTCAGAACGATTACTAAAGCTATTAAACCATCTTAAACCACCATCAGTTGATGGTTACCCTCCCATCTAAAAATCGGTATGCGGTCAGTTTTCCCATTTCCGGATTGTTAAACCCAGTTGATCCCATCATGAATCCCATTAGTACAATCCAACAAATAACTGGCTGGTGGTTTCAACCCCTCTGAAAAATATGAGTTCGTCAGTTGGGATTTTTATTCCCATTATATGGAAAAATAAAACATGTTCCAATATATTGAACCTAATTCAATGGCCATGCAACAGGAACCAATTTATTGGAGGGCCGCCCCTCGTTTCTTGGAAGAGTGTGTTCTGGAAGCATTCAGCAAGGCTGTCCAGCTCAGACGCAATCTCATCTGCGGTGAGATCTATCTCCCCGTACAAACATTTGACGGCGCCCAATATGTCTTGCTTGCCAATTTTTGCGGCATTCCCTACATCTTTCATAATGATGGCTTTGACGCACAATGGCAAGCTGCAACCCTTTTGTGGATGCGTCCATTCCACTGCCACAGATTCGGACAAAATGAGGAATGCTTGGCGGGGGGAAGTGAACCCATTGAAGTAAGAGTTCAACACATCCTTCAGCGTTGGGGCCCTCGTTAACTCCCAGTCCGTGAAGTGTATCCAACTATGCAAATTCTTGGGCATTTTTTTCCCCAGGTGCAAATCCTTCATGCCTTGCATGCGCTTAGCGGGGTTCCAACTGCCAAGCAAACTTTGCAAACATCTGCCAGCAAATGCACTTTCCCGCGACCGCCAGCTTAAACTTTCTAGCAACCTTTTGTACACATGCAAAGGATCTTGTCCTATGTGGATACCTCGAGTTTGACGTGTCTGCATATTGATAGCCACTGGCCAATGCTCAACGCACGGCGGCCAGGAAGGTCCAGAGGTCAAAAGAACTTGCCCTGGAAAGGCTGCTTGCAGCACCCTGGCAATCTGGCCAAAAGAGCTCGCCCAATCATCGACGCAAATCCCTATCGGCCGCATCCGGGCAACATTGTGGAGCCTGCAACACGTCAGAAGCAAATGCTCCTTGCTGACATGGTCCTCGCCATCTGCAAACAAGGGAGGAAGAAGGAGGCATGCGCTGAGCCCGGTGACGCCGCCAAAGGTCTTCTTGTTTTTCGATGACCGTCTTTGTCTGTGTGCGCTATAAGGCCTATTTTTTAGGACTAAATTTCGGGGAATATCCCCACTAAATATGGCCTGAAAAATAATACTAACGTACCTCCATTTTAGGATCCTCAAATTCCAACACATATAATCTGATGGTTTTGATGGTAGGAGAACCCATTAGAAACCCTAAACCCCAACAATTCATACTTAATTCATGCTTAATTGCATGTGATCCCCTTGTCAATCCATTAGTAGAACGAATTTTGAGTAGTTATATGGGGGTTTCCATAAATGAATGGTTTATAATGGAAAATCATCTTAAAATTGATGATTTGGGAGTACCACTTTTAGGAAATCCCCATATCAACCCAGGATTCATAAACCCCTAGTTTAGGTTTGGGGTGGGTACCATTTATAAAGGGAAATATCACTGGGAAGCCACTCTCTGCCTTGGCCGTGTGCCACAAGCACTGCAAGGTCTCAAGGTTCGCCTGAAGTGGATAGTCGTGATTTTTTGTGGTGCTTAATGGGGGAACTAGATATAGAACCAACAATCAACAATCATGGGATATATCAAATGGGAATTTCATGGGATACATATGGCGATTCACCCAGCTTGATACAGGATGGGGCCCCATAGTTAGTTAAGTTGGTTTATAACTATAATAACCATAGTGTATGATACTTATAACTATATATACTATATTTGGATGGGGCTATTCAACCGACTTATAACTGGAGGGCCCCATCCTGTATGACACTTGCAAATTTTGGGGTTAACATGGCCCCATCCTGTATGACACATGAAAACAACCCAACATGGCAATGAGCTGGGGGAAAAATCCATCACCCCAGTGGATGGAATGGGGGTTCCTGGACAACTGGGTGACACCTGGCTGATCTGTGTTAGGCCACACATGTGAAAAACGCTTGCAAATTCATATGTGTTGCGGAAATTGCTTGAAACACCATTGAAATTCATGGCTTGATATTGAAGCTATCTGCAATGCTCAATTTCTTTAAGGATTTTATCTGGATAATTTGTGCAGGCAGGAACCAGCTAGTCAGTTCCAGGTCAACACTCGAGTTCCTGTGAGGTCGACCAGTGTCGCTAGATTTTTTCAAGAAGAATACCCTTCTAGTCCGTCCTTCAATTTTGGGTTAAATTAACCCCATATACTCCATGGTGCTGGAATATTTACCAACATTTACCCCATAAATGACCCAGTTTTGTAGGTAAATATACCATACATGGAGCATCTGCGTAAGTATTAATATTAAAAGGTTTATACCATTATTCCCTTCATGGTTGAAAACATGGGAAATTGGAAATATTCACCACCCCATGGGAATACCATCAGGTTAAAAAACCACCATCAATCCAGCATCTGTGATGGTGAAATCATAAACTATGGAAAAACACCATTGTTCATTGGTAAATCAACTATTTCTATGGCAATTTTCAATAGTTATGTTAGTTTAGCAGAGGGTAAATTTGATGGTTGTATTCCCTTGGCTTCCATGCCCCGGAGTCATAACTCATCCGCCTGGAAAAAACCGGGTTCGTGGTAGTGGATCTGGTGCTTTTTGCCTCAGCGCACAGTCTTGTCATCTGGGAATCATATGGAGGGTTCACCCCAAAAAAACATGTTGATAGTGTTTGAATGGGAAAATAACCAATGGAGTTTTGGGCGTACACCCTGGTGGAAATCATTATATAGACCCTTTTTTGGAACTGGCTCTCCTTCCTAGCCATCACTGCCAGCGCGAGGCCGTTGCTGCCGAGCAACACACCTCCTTCACCAACCTCCGTGCTTCGCCTAGGCTTGGCCAGGCTGAAACGAGGGCAGTGCTCCAAGGGTATGGGTAACAATGAGCAGGGAACATGCGGCATTTTGGAGCACATGGAAGTGTACAAACAACATGCCAACTGATTATACACAGCATAATTATATGCGACTCTATGAAGCAGCACATGGATTACTACGATACCATCAAAACGTGAAGCATGCCCTTTGAAAAAAATACTTTACTTCGTGTGATCCCCACCATGACATTTATACATTTTGTTACTGGCAAATCTTCTGGCATTCTATCTGACATATCTTCTGGCATTCTATCTGGCAAACATTCTGGCACTTTATCTGGCATATCTTCTGGGATTCTATCTGACATTTTATCTGGCATTCTATCTGGCATACCTTCTGGCATTCTATCTGGCATATCTTCTAACATTCTATCTGGCATATCTCCTGGCACTCTATCTGGCATATCTTATGGCATTTTATCTGGCATATCTTCTCGCATTCTATCTGACATTCTATCTGGCATATCTTCTGGCATTCTATCTGGCTTTTGAGGTCCAGCGGTGCGCACTGAGCTCGGCAGGTCCCAGGTTGAGGTCCAGCAGTGCGCACTGAGCTGGGAAGGTCCCAGGTTGAGGTCCAGCGGTGCGCACTGAGCTCGGCAGGTCCCAGGTTGAGGTCCAGCGGTGCGCACTGAGCTGGGAAGGTCCCAGGTTGAGGTCCAGCAGTGCGCACTGAGCTCCGAAGTTGGCGAAGAGCTTGGCCAAGAGTTGGCAAGGCAACAGTGGACGTGGAAGTGGAGGCAGAGGTGGTAGAAGAGGAGGAGGAGGAGGAGGAAGGAGGAGGAGAAGAACAACTCTGATAAAATCTAACAACCCTCACCTGGCAGGTGGGGAATGATCTACAACAGGTTTCTTTTTTTCACGATCCCACATGAAGCTCTTGTCTGAATTCTTATCCCACATGAATCCAGGCATACCTCTGTGCCCTGCCCTGCCCCTACCCTCCTACCTGCCAACCCATGCCAAAGAATGCCCAATACTACGGTACTAATCTAATCTTGCCTTGTTATATGTATTAAAGTTATACTGACAAATAAAAACTATAGCTACCAAATACTGTACTATCTTACATATTACGAGCAAACTATAATCTATTGCATGCCCATACGCCTATACAGCCTTTATATTGCTCATATCATACCCATATACTGAACACTAAATACTAATCATAGAACCTATAAAACCGATGATATATATATGTATGTATGTATGTATGTATGTATGTATGTATGTATGTATGTATGTATGTATGTGTGTATGTATGTAAGTAAGTATGTATGTAAGTATGTAATGTATGTATGTATGTATGTATGTATGTATGTATGTATGTATGTATGTATGTATGTATGTATGTATGTATGTATGTATGTAGTATGTATGTATGTATGTATGTATGTATGTATGTATGTATGTATGTATGTATGTATGTATGTATGTATGTATGTATGTATGTATGTATGTATGTACATTGAAATATTTCCTGTTGCATACCTATATACAGCGTATAGATTGGCTGTAGCGTACCTACATACCTATTTCTAGTTACTTAGAAACATACCTTGTATAACCTAATACATACCTATAACCCATTGCATGCCCGTATCCCGAGAGGCCTATACACAACCTATATATTCTGGTTGGTGGTTTCAATCCCGCTGAAAAATATTAGTCAGTTGAGATTATTATTCCCAAAATGGAAAAATCAAAAATGTTCCAAACCAACAACTAGTATTTACATACCTACAAGTAGTATCAAGTAGTAATATCTGTTGAATACCAAGTTACATAACCACCGCCCCCACCACCACAGCCACTCCCACGGGGGGAGTGTCCAAGATGGTGGGGGGTTGCAGGGGCTGCTATGGGTTTGTCTGAAAATGGTAAAAACGATGATCATCTCTTGGAATGAGGGTACCCCATTTTCGAACTCACTCAAATTCCGAAGTTGCCAATGGCTTTGTCTCAAAATAGGCTAGCCACAAAACAAATTGATGGTTCAACACCTCACTTCCCAATTTAAAAATGGATGACTTGGGGGCATCCCAATTTAAGACACCTCCAGGAAACCATCTTCCATCGCACCAAACCGAACGTCCCAGGTGCGGAGGTTGTGTCGAGGAAGTCGAGGAAAAAGGTGATGTTCGATCCTTGAGGGAATTGCTTGGAAGTGCAAACCCCCAGTGAACTATATAAGTGGAAAAAAAAAAACATGATATCTGGTTGGTGGTATACCTACCCCTCTGAAAAATATGAGTTCGTCAGTTGGGATGATGAAATTCCCAACTGAATGGAAAAATAAAATTCATGTTCCAAACCACCAACCAGATATATATATATATAATAATAGGGGCCCCATATCCCAACTTATGGGGGTTTAGTTCACGATGGCCTGCGGGAATCAATGTGAATCCATCTGCAGCTCCTCGGAAAGGATGGAAACCAAAGCTGTCTCAGTCGGGAGCAAAGAAGACCATTCCTCACCGCGCCACGCACCACCCAGCAGCGCTGGAGAAGCGCTCAATCGAGCACTAAGCCGCCGGTTCCCCAGATTTTGGTCGTAGGTGCACCTCCAGCCAGGTCATGCGGGCCACTGCACCCGGATGTTCCACGGTGATGTTGCCCTGGGTCTGTGCCGTCTCCACGGCAGAAACAGGGATTGGTCACAAATGACCAAGTGATAGCGACGCGTGTCCTTGATCTCCTCGTCCCATGGACACCATACCTCTGGGTCTCCAAAGCAGGACAGAGATGCGTTGATGTCTGGGAATTCCCAGGGCTAAAAATGGATGATTGAAACGGGAAAATCATCTACAAAAAAACGGGATTTCCCAGCAAAGCGTGATATATTTTTGGGCCAAGAAAACAGAATCCAATAGTTGATCATGTTTCCCAGTGAACTTGCAGTTTGCTCGGTATCCCTGGATTGGGAACCTGGCTCAGGTTGGAGGTGACAAACAAACACAGTGCTTTTACAAATCAACCAACATTCCCTATGGATCCAAACACTGTCTGAGAAGGTACTTAACCCTCCAAATTATAGTAAATTATACCCCAGTCCCACTTCCTAAGAAGATACTTGGATCCTATGGGATTGACAGCAAACTGACAAACTAAAATCCTCTGATTGGCCAACTGAGCCATGAAACATACCCCTATCCCATGCCCTTTTCTGGTTCATATCATTAGGCAAACTAAATTCTGGAGTAAATATATTTATCCCCGACGTATTCTTTAGATTTCGGTAGTATAACCCCCTATAATCATGATGAATAATGAACAATAAACCACGATACCCTCTGGAAAACTAAAATAACTATGGAAAATCACCATGTTCAATGGGTAAATCAACTATAAATCACCATGTTCAATAACTTTTTGTATGTTTACCAGGCCGGGTCATGGTGTTTTTTTGTGGCTCAATTGGTGAGAGTACCCATAGCCATGGCCCTGTGATGGGATGAGAATCCCGCGACTCTTCCCAGTTGGGGATGAGTTTACTATTGGTTTTAGCTCAGTAGTGGATATTAATCCCATAGGATCCAAGTATCTTCTTAGGAAGTGTTTGGGGTATAATTTACTATAATTTGGAGGGTTAAGTACCTTCTCAGACAGTGTTTGGATCCATAGGGATTGTTAATAGGTCAATGATTTTTTGGGGGATATTCCCTGAAATTTAGGCCTAAAACATAGGCCAAAAATATATGGAATCGGTACCTCCAATAAATCGGTTCCTGAGATGGCCAGTAGTTATAATTCACCGACAATTCCGTTGCCACAACATTGCTGGGCTGGCCAATACCTACCACATCATTTGCTCAATGGTTTTGCGGCAATGAAGTCTCCAGAGCTACAAGTACAAATTGGTTTCATCTCCACAATTCAATGCCTTCCACTCAGAAAACCTCACAAAGCTCTCGGTTTGATGAAGTATCCATCATCCATCCCTTTCAATTTCCATGCACTGGAAGGCCCGAAATACCAGTTATAAATACTAAGTTACCCTTCCACAAATGGAATGTATAATCCCAAGTAATCCCATAGAAATAAGCAGTCATAACATGTTATAACATGTTATAACCAATAAATGGCCATTTGTTTGTATGGTTCCACCCTCAGTTCTTGGTGAATCCCCATGCCGAGCCGACTGCCGACCAGGTTCTGGAACTGCAGACCAATGTGAACCCAATCCAACCTTTTAGCTGCCGGTGCAAAATCATTCAAAGGCCCCCTGACCCTAAGGGATGCTGTTCAGCTTTGCGCCAGAGGCAGCTTGGCTACGAACAAGCAACAAAATGCACTGAGGTAGCCCAAAATGGAAGATATTGGTCATATTTTAGTTATAATCGCTTCCCCCTATTATATACTAACCCCCCCGAATAACAAAAACTAGGGTCCATCTCCAATTTTTGAACATTTCAGATTGGCCAATTTGACTTTTAATTGATCCGCTTTTCAAAACAATTTTAAAATAAAGCTACTATTTGTGGGTTTCACCCCTAATAATAAAAACTAGTCAACCCCCGGGTGTTTTATATTAGGGTTTTCAGTGTTTTTATTAAAGGTTTAAATTTATTAGGGTCCGCTTCGAAATCCAATATTTTAATTGCGTTATAAAAGGAAATATATATATATAGTTGATTTTGAGATCGAAAAAAAAAAATGTTTTATTAAGGGTTTTAATTTAATATTAGGATCCGCTTTGGTTCCCTAATAATAAATACCCCCCTAGTAATAAAAACTACCTGAGGTATCCTGAGGTGTTTATTATTTGAGGGGTTTAGTATTAGGGGGCGAGGATTAATAAAAAAGAAAGTAACATAACATAAAAAACAATAACATAATAATTGTTCAACTTTTTTGTTGGGTCGATTTTTTGCTTCCAATACTACTTTTAGAAGGGGGCAGGGCACCCTTCTGCTCAACGACCTCGTCCCACACCACCCCTTTGAATAGATCCCCAGAGATTTGGAGAAAGACGAGAAAGACTGGGATTTCACCAAATCTTGGGATGAAAATACATGTTTTCGAGATTGATTTTCACAAGTCCAAAGTTGAAGCCCCTTCCCATATACTCCATGTATGGTATATAAAAACCTACAAAACTGGGTCATTTATGGGGTAAATGTTGGTAAATATTCCATGCATGGAGCATATGGGCTTTAGAAGAAACACACTGAGGCCATTTGTTTGTTGTAATATGTAAGCATCCCGTTTTAATTTTCGCACTGACTTGACATGCCCTATAGTATCGATATTATCACCACAAGCACCACCCCCAAACCTCACATATTCCCATCCACTGCAAAAAACATTGGAGGCGTGTCGAAGTTCATGGTGGTCCTCAACTGCGTGATGTACCACTCATCCTTCTCATCGTTGTACGCCTCAGCCATGGCAGCTATGGAATGGGATGCAACGGATGAGGGGATTTCGGATGGGGATGCATCATGCCAAAAAATATATGAAACCGTACATGTATCAAGATTATTCTCAAACTTCTAGCAAAAACCATATCCAGAATACACAAAGGCATTTTGCCCACCATGTTCATGGTGTTTTTCTTGGAGTTCAAGCCGGTTCAAACCAAATCTTGGCCAATCATTATGGGGCTTGAGTCACTGGACACTATTCCCTTGATGTTGAAACACTTTGGGGCCACTCAGGGGTATGCCCACTATATAAAACCCCAATTAAGGATGGTTTCTCGTTGGTTTTAGCTCAATGTCAAGAACATTGCTTGAGCTCAAACTACATCAAATACCCTACAACTTCATACACATTCCCTTGATGTCCCGTAACAGATTAATCTCAAGCGCACTTTAAACACATTTGCCAATCGCCAGCCTCAGCGCCGTTCGAAGAAACGTTTCACAGCCAGGAGGCGTGACCATGGTATTTCTCCATGGAAAAGTGGGAACAGCAAATCTGCACCTTCCAGGTCGTCCCGTGTCAACCCGTGGAAAAACCACAATCTCCTGCAGTTCCCAAGATCCCAACATGTTTTTTTTTATGGCTTGAACAATCACTTTCAACACAAAACTAAACAAATAACATAAACATATGGTTAATGATGGTTAATGATAAATATATATAAATATATAGTTAATGAAACATTATAAATTCTGGTTGGTGGTATACCTACCCCTCTGAAAAATGATGGAGTTATAAAGTCAGTTGGGATAATGACATGTCCAACTGAATGGAAATGCATAAAACTCAAATTCCAAACCACCAACCAGATAAACTGATGTGAACTGGGTAAACCAACAAACCTAGGTGTGACTTCAGCAACGTGGCAAGCAGGCTTCGAGGCTACGCGCTGTGATGCTCCAGGCTAGGCACGTGGAGAAGCCCGGAGACGGCGTGGCTCACCAGCAACCAGCCGATCCTTGGGGTGAAACCATGTATTTAACCAGCCCCAAATGACTGCGAAGGTCCGAATTTTGGATGGTTTACTGCCCCAAAAAACATGCCGGAAAGTTGGAAACTTGGACATCATGCAGAACATGAAGAAACAAAGTCGAAGATCATCGAATGGGTGTGTCTGAAAATAGTGTACCCCTAAACCCAATGGTTAATGATCATTATCCCTATTAAATGGCTATTTCATTGGGAATATACCCTATTTTCAGACAAACCCGAATATCATCCTGGAAACACTGGTCTATCCTTTTTTTGGGGGGGTTACTGTATTCCTGGCAAAAAACAAAAAACAGTCGGCCAGTCGGTACACCCAATGTTTCGCGATATCTACGCTGGCTTTCGAAAGAGGGGTTGATTTTGAAAAGAAAACTCACCATATTATAAAGGGCGGTTGATACATATTATATTTTATTATGGTTATTTTGGGATATATATTGCTTAATGTTTGAAAAAATGCAGTTGATTGTTATTGGGCTTTGAGAAAGGGCAGCTTCCATAGTGGAGAGACAATGGGAGAAGTCACAAAAAGGGAACACAGTATGGGTTTGTCTGAAAATACTGACCCTGAATCCATGTGTTATCATGATTTTACCATATTTTCCCTTTTCAATGATGGCCATTATTGAGGATATCCCCCATTTTCAGACAGGCCCACATTCCAATATTTTCCGGGCGCGTTCGACCAAGGTTGTATGGATTTATTACAACCAATTGATCTGACAGTATAGATACCCTGGCCAGAAATGTTCTGCATGGCGGTCCCTTTAAAATCCTTCACATCGAAAACTCATCCCATGATAAAAAAAATGGGATGGTCTGAAGATTTGCAGTTTTTTTGGCCACGTGATACTACTTTTGGATTGTTTTGGATTATCCTAGGTTGATCATTGTCCACATCTGGTGGTGATGTGATTGCCACTACGGAGTAGGGAGCAAACAAACCAATCACAATCAACATAGCAAAAAGGACTGACTTCAAAAAACATCTGCCAGGAACTAGGAACTGGCTGGTTTTCGGCCCATCTAGAGGTTTGCTTGACATCTCCCATGTTTACCACTGCCACTGCTGGGGCGGAAACCGCCCGGCGTTTACCAAGGGACGTCTCCTTCCAGGTGGGAAGAGACAGGACCAGTTTTCCAATCCACAGGAAATAGACGGCGAAGCAAATCAGCTCGCGTTGTCCTGAGCTATCCACCCAGGCCCACCCAGGGCAGGTACCCGGCCTGGTAAACGTTTACAAAAAACGAACTGGAAAATCACCATGCTATCAATGGGAAAATCCACTATAAATGGTCATTTTCAATAGCTATGATAAATTACCAGAGGGTAAGCCGGCTAGCCAGATATACCAGAGCGGCCCGAATTTGGGGCACCTCTGCTGCCATCAATGAAATGCGGAGCAGGAGTATTGGCAATGTATTGGTAATGAGAAATTTTGCTGGTTTATATTTTGGCTTACAGTGCTAGGTGCAGGCAAAGTTGAACTGGGGGTGGCTGTAGAAAGTAGAAACCATGGTGAGCCAGTTCTGAAGCACTTGCCGTCCGAAATAAGCTCAGTGGGGACATGTGCCAACCGATTGCTAAGTGTGTCAACATCTCCGACTAGTATCCAAACATATCAAACATGGGAGTGCCATGTGCACACCAGCAATCCACTCGGGGGTACAGTTTCACTCATAATTCGAGATATTTCACCATATATAGAGGGTTTGAATCCCATGTATTTCCACTATCCCATCTCATAAAATACTAGTTGGTTGAAAAGGGGAAACCCCATTCATATGGCTTAGTTCATAATGCCCAATAAGTAACCATGTATGACTCCTTATTCCATAACCACTCAACAAGGATATGTTTAAAGGCTCAACTGTCCTTGCGAAGATCTTCTGAACCCAAATTTCCGAGATTCTCGCGTTGGAAGCCTGCAAGTAGTGATGCCCTTTAGATAGGCTTCTGTTGGTTTATAACTGTCATCACTGGGATTTATATGGATTTATGGATTTATCGTGTCTAAACAATGACAATCAACACAGTTCGGAACTCATCACACTTTTTATAAAGCCAGTTAGAAAGTTTTAAACCAATCATTACGGGCTAGAAAAGTTGCAGAGTTGGATCCAAGCTTCTATAGTGCAGAGGCTCCTGACAAAGACACCAGCCGAGGCCACCATAAAAAAAAGTCATGGGAGAGGTCATGCATCCACAATCCATCAATGATCCATTAATCACTTCTTCATATTGTCCAGGGAAAAAGAATGGCCGCGTTGGTATACTATAATATATATATATATAATATATATATATATCATTATTATATATATATATATCATTTTATATCTACCCTCTGGTTATTTAACATAGCCATGGAAACTGGCCCATTTATAGATGATTTTCCCAGCTAGAAACCTCCATTTAGTTCAGGGATTTTCCATGGCTATGTTAGTCATAACCAGAAGGTAGATATTGATATCTACCTATTGGTTGGTTTTCAGGGGAGAAGCCTTTCTTTGAACCAAATACCAAGCAGTGGGATTTCAGGAAATCATAATAGGAGAACAAATCCAGCCTTCCCCTATTTTTTATACCTTCAAGGGACTCAAAAAATAGGGGAAATACCCATGAAGTATGGATGATTCTCCGGAAATCTATGGATGATTCTCCGAAATTCCCAAAAATGAACACATCCCATACTTAGTCAAGGTTTCGTTTGGGTGTATTTCCATAGTGCCGGGGAAGGGATGCCATGAACATCAATGGGAATCCTCCCCACAAAAAGTCACCCATCCAGTCCTTGGCACATAGCTGAATCAATGACTGAGCATAGAGGTTGAACCTCGCCACCATCATGATCCTCAGCGTGCAGGCCCCCAATATTTCTCACTTGCACCAGGGAAAATTAAGAAAAGTGATGGTCTGATTGACTGGGGAAGCTTCGGCAGAGGGGAAAACACATTGGGGGATGTAGCAAATCAAAGTGTGGTTTGAACTTCTTACCATCCAAAATGCAGGATTGTCTGAAAATGGAGATGTACCCTGCAAATGGCCATTTTAATGGAAATAATGATGACAATCAATTGATCAATTCCAATTATGGGTACCTCATTTTCAGACAAACCCATGTGGCTTTAAAGTGTGTGTTTTTTCCCAGAAACTGCCAGGAACTGTGGGGCCTGACCCAGTTTTCAGGAGGCTCTGATTGATCAACCGCGTGTATTCGTGGGTCGGGGACTCGGGGACCGCAATTTTTATCCAGTCTTCTGAGGCGAAATCTGGCTCAAAATGTTTTCCCATATGCGAACCATGGTGCTGGTATATAAAAACCCAGAAAATTGGGTCATAAACATGGGGTAAATGTTGGGATTCATATTCCAGCACCATGGGTTGCATATGGGTTTGGACACCAAACTTGGCGGATGTCGACTTAAAACATACATTTTTATACATGTTCAACATGTTTGGACCATTTTTTTCGACTACCCGACTGTTTCCACTGCCACTGCATTGTCACTACACGTGGCTTTCCTCGACTATCACACTGCTCCACGTTTGAGAGTATCCTCTGATTTCTGGTGTGTAATTTTTGGTGATCTTTAGAATCACTGGCCGCACCCAACTCCACAAGTCTTGCCATGTTTCAGGCATGTTCTGTACAAACGATCCCAAGACCACAGATCCACCCTGAGTTTGGGGCGGATAGAAGAGAATGTGCTCGAAGCTCACTAAGAACCTGCTCCGCCAGACTGGGGCCGCCCAGCTGGACTTTCAGTTGGAACATGTTTCTACATAGAAATTGAACATGGGCTATCTAGGGGACTAAGGGTATGGTCCAAAGATGAAGTATATACCCTTATAAACTATAAAGGCTAATTCAATGGCAAAAATGATGAGTAATATTGATTATATAACCATATGGGATTTAGGGGTACCAAATATGTTCGAACAAACCCGTTTCTGGGGGTATGGACAGGCAATACAGCAATGCTTCAAAAGAAAAGACTGAGCCAAACATATAAAACATGTTTGCAAAGGAAGAAACACATACCCTCTGGTAAACTAACATAGCTATGGAAAATTACCATTTTATAGCTGGGTAAATCAACTATGTCTATGGCCATTTTCAATAGCCAACCGTTAAATTACCAGAGGGTATTGACAGTGAAGCAACTTCTGGTATCAACCTGGTTGGTGGTTTCAACCTACCCCTCTGAAAAATGATGGAGTTCGTCAGTTGGGATGATTTTTCCATTCCCAACTGAATGGAAAGTCATAAAACATGTTACAAACCACCAAGCAGCAATGCATCTGTCAAACCTTTTCTCCTGTGTTCCCTAGCCCGGAAATGCAGCCATCTACGGCTACGGATGAGAATCTACAGATCCAAGGAATCCAAGGGCCGAAGTAAGCAATGGTGTAAGTTGTACTGAACTAACCCCATTCCCATAGAAAGCACATGAAATAACCAATGTAATAGCATGCAATAGCTATAGCCACAACTGTAGACAACAAACTACATCAACTACCTCGAAAGCCAGAAATTGAAGGGCCACCTGAAAGCAACAAACCTTCAGTTGTTGACATGAATCCATTTCCTATGGCGCAAGCGTCACAATCCATCGATATGGTTTCTCATCTAGTGGAACATCAAGAAATCGATGTTTTGATGTTCACATTTTTTCCAGGAAAATATTCATGGATAGATGCTGCAAAGGGAAATCTACAGGGAAACCAGGCCGGGGATGCCAGTAAAATGTTCTCATCATGAAATTCCCATAGGATCCAAGTATCTTCTTAGGAAGTGTTTGGGGTATTTTTACTATAATTTGGAAGGTTAAGTACCTTCTCAGACAGTGTTTGGATCCATAGGGATTAATTAAGGATGTGAGACCAATCACTCTAAATCTTATCTAAATCTACCCCTCTGTGATGATAAAAAAGAAGCGTCGCTCAAGGCTGATTTTCAAACTTGAAACAGATTCACAATCAATGGACAATTACCCTCTGGTAAACGTTTACATAATTATGGAAAATCACAATTTCCAATGGGTAAATCCACTATAAATGGGCCATTTTCAATAGCTATGTTAAATTACCAGAGGGCAAGCATGCTTGATTCTTTGGAATTTCCAGCGTATCTAAGCGCTACTTAAACTAAATCGTGAAACCACAGATCTTCAAGGCCTGCAAGGCGTTTCCAAGTCTGATGAGTGAGCCAACCCATCCTTTCGACCCTGATGCAAGTCGTAATTTGTGGCGACTGGAAAATATGAGCCGGGCTATTTTTGATGGCGCAAAATTCCATGTTGTTTAGGTTAAATCATCTTCCCATTTTTGCTTGGCCTTTTTAAAAATTTTCAAATGCCATAACTGCTTAAGATGAATATGATATATGTCTTAATCATGTTTTTTTTTCCATTTTTTTTTGGTGGTTTCTCATCATGTTCCGCGTTCCGCTAGCTATTGGGGATGTACATTTTCATGGGCCATCGATGGCCATCGGCCCTCCGCCTCGCCACGGCATCCATGGCTTTGAGTTCATTGTAGTAAGTACTCCAAAACCTCAACGGTGCTGGAAGAATCTGGCAACTTGACCACTTCTTAGAAAGGTCATGTTTAGGATGTTTATGTTTATGTAAACGTGATGTGACATGTTGCTAGATTTAATCCATAGCTAATTGTTTCATATGTTGGTATACTGGTTGGTGGTTTCAACCTACCCCTCTGAAAAATGATGGAGTTCGTCAATTGGGATCATGGAATTCCCAACTGAATGGAACGTCATAATCCATTCATGTTCCAAACCACCAAGCAGTATATATATATATATCATTAACCACCATTAACCACCATTAACCACTATTAAAAGCCATGAAAATTGGTTCATATGTTGGTACTAGATGTATTCCACATGGAGCACCATGGAGTCCATGGAGCAAAACCTGATCCCTCCGGGAAGAAAAAATCACACCAAAAAACGGCTGGGAAAATCCCATCATGGTGGCAGCTTCTTTTCGGATCCTACCCTGAAATGCGAACCATGGTGCTGGTATATATAAAACCTAGAAAATTGGGTCATAAACTGGGGTTTTTATGTTGGGATAAACATATTCCAGCACCATGGGTTGCATATGGGCTAGGGAAACCAATGAAAACCATGGGGGTTTTCATAAGTCTTCCAGATTTTGACTTCCAATTTCGACAACAAGCCTGACGCCTCACACAGCAAACCATGTACTTTCGCCGGAATAATGTAGATCCATTTCCGGCACAAGTTTAAATAAGTCCAACCGCTATCTCAAAATGTGTAACCCAAAACAGTGAAACATTAGAAATTATTCGAAAATCAACTGTAGATCCATTGTCATTATCGTTCAATCTCCATTTTTATCGATATTTTTCTGTGAATCCAACGAATTTCTCTAGGATTTCCACGACCCAGCGGCGGTTTCTTGAAGATCTCCGGCGTCACCGCAAGGGCTGGGAGGTGCTGGATGTCCGGATCGTGCCTGGGATGGGATGGTGGATTTGTTTTTAAGGGATTGATATAAACATGGTGGTTTTTAAAGGGATATAATAGCATCTTATATCACATCTTAATGGATATATAAGATGGTGGATTGATATACACATCTTCAATAGTCTTCAATCACACATTTTTATGATATGTTAATTAGCTGACATGTATATCATACTATATAATTACATATGTTGGGATATTTTTAGGTTTTGTTTTAATTAGCATATGTACATCTGTTGGGATATTTTTAGAGTGGCTAAAAACCATCCCAATCTATCCCCATCATCTGGTAACATTTCACCAGTCATCGGAACCACCGGAACCAGCCAAGGCGCTCGATCGAATTGCACACAATGTGATGGGTATTGTGATTTCCTGAGCCAGAAGGTGGTACCAGTACCCATTGGTACCCGCCGCTGAAAAAGCCGTCGCTTGTTTTTACCCCCACTAACTAATTATAGATAAACCCTAGCTATTATGGCGTTATAAGCCAGGCTCGGAGGAATCCGAAAAATAACGTTTTTTTTTTTAAAGTGCCATGCTCAATGCCACTGCCTCCTGTGCATTCCTCATCCTCAATTTGTGTACACTCCGTAAGAAAGAGGACGTTGAAAACAAGCATCTAACACTTAGCCAATTTTGAACTGAAGACCTCAACAATGTTTTTTGGAACATGTTCTGTTCGTGCACTTTCTTCTCCCACGGAACATACTACCATACATATATATAACTACCTATTTTTTTGGTGTGCATTTTATTGCATTTTTGGGGCTCATCAAGGGTTCAAGATTTGCCAACCCACCCTTCCTCCAGCTGTTTTCCTGGAGTGTGGAGCAATGGGGCGATACCGTTATACCATAAGTTATACCAATTGTTTGTCCTTGATCTAGTCATGAACTGGTTGGTGGTTGACCTACCCCTCTGAAAAATATGACTTCGTCAGTTGGGATTATTATTCCCAACTGAATGGAAAGTCATAAAAAATGTTCCAAACCACCAACCAGTTGTCCTTGATCTAGTCATGAAATGTCATGAAAAAATGGAGTCGTACCCTTTGCCAACCCCGCAACGTTTTTCTGTATCACTGCTCCGTTGTCCCTTTGTGCTTGGTGAATAGGATTATCCGTGGATGGTGATCATCTCCAGCTGCTACCCCAAAAGAGATCAAAATAGCATGTTCTTTTCGGACTGTGTTTTTTCCCAACAAATCAGACGAACCACCTATCTGATGTCATGAGTTTTGATATCTCCAGCTGTTGTAGACAACCCACCCCAACGCATAACTGGCGCTACCGAGTGTCTCTTCCACCAACAAACTGAGATGCCCATGAAAGCCACCAGGGTCGAGCAAAATGAATGGTCCTTGTTGTGTCGTTTTCAATTCTCATGGCCGAACTTGATGGTAAAGGCTATTACTTTTGTAAGTTGATCTCCACTGTATTTCAACTCAACAAGCAGGGAAAAACACTTCAACTCAGACCGATTGAAAGAGTTGAACGGGGGCCCACCACAGCAGGGAAAGTGGTTCAAGGGACCAAACCTAAATGTTCAATGTATGTTGTGTTCATTGACCTAAAGCATGAATAAGAATGAATATGACGCATGACACATGCGGGTAAATCTACCAGCAAAACTCACTTGTTGTCACCTGTGAGGTGGTGCCCCAGTCCGTGGAAAACTTGATGAACATAACTCCAATTAGGGTTTATGAATGTTTATGATACATACAAGCGGAGGTTTCCTAATGGCTGGTGGTACCCCAAGCTCACTGGATGGTTTTGCCGATCATGGAAAATCCGAACATCAACTGGATGAGAACTGGGGGTGCCCCCATTTTAGGATAGCTCCATATCTACTGGTCGGTGGTTTTAACCATCTTGAAAAATATGAAAGTCAGTTCGGATTATTATTCTCAATATATGTAAAAAAAAATCAAACATGTTACAAATCACCAACCAGACTATATAATATCAGTATTTTGGTGGGATTTTACCTACTTTTTCTATTTTTAGGGGGTTCCAATACGTTCATGGGGATTGTACACCAACTTCAACTTGCGGGGGAAAAGAAAGTGCGTCATGTTGTGGATTATCCGTCCCAGTGGAGCTTGGCTTGCGCCACCCAGAAAGCCCATTTCAAGACTTACAGGGTCCTACTTGATAAACCACAATAAACATCATGAAACATCATCATTTAAAGAATCAACTATGTCTGGCCATTTTCAATAGCAAACCGTTAAATTACCAGAGGGTATTGACAGTGAAGCAACTTCTGGTATCAATCTGGTTGGTGGTATAACCTACCCCTCTGAAAAATGATGGAGTTCGACAGTTGGGATGATGACATTCCCAACTGAATCGAAAAATAAAATTCATGTTCCAAACCACCAACCAGATCATGAAACATCATCATTTGAAGAATCCCTAAACATCATGATAAACCCCACCAAGCTTGACCATTTGTAGATTCCCAGCTAGAAACCACCAAATTTATGGGGTAATTATATATATATCCCTACTTCCCCTCTGGTAATTTAACATAGCTATAGACAATGGCCATTTAATATCATTTGATTTAGATATTGACTAGTAAAAATGGTGATTTTCCATAGCTACGTTGGGCCCTAAGCCACCCTTCAACGTCCAGGCTGCGAAGTGAAAGTTGTGGGTGATGCCGCTGTGGCCCATGTCATGGCCGATTCCGGCCAGCTGCTGCCAGAAGATTCCCATGACCTTGGGGATTCATGGGAAATTGCTGGAAAAATGGAGGCAATTCTCATGGGAAATCCACCAATTCCCATGGATGTTGTTGATCCATGGGGATTGAAAAACTAGACCAAACACCATTTTTTAGCTTTGCGAAAAATCTTCAGTTTACCAATTCTGTGGTATCTTCAAAACATAGAAATGCTGGCCGAAATGCTGGCCGATCCCAGAAATCTTGGAACCATCATTGGTTTCTGGGAACATTTACAGGAACCCCCAATCATGTTCATGGTTAAAAACAAAAACACATGCTTTCCGGTTTCGATTTTCCCAACAAAGCCAATCCAAACACTCCGTTGAAATCAGATGATTCTTGGTTGAAATCCTATATTTTCCAATGCGTTCCTTAAAGATGTCCAACTTTGGCGGGTTCTCACATCCAGCCAAGCATTCCCAAAAGATCAGCCCCCTTCTGGCGACTCTTTTTTTTTCCATATCTCGTGGATGCTTTTTGTTCTTGCTTGGCAAGAGTGAAACTCCGATCTTTGTCGGGCCTGCGCTACGGAAGGCCCGAAAAAATGGGTGTGACTGATACCATGGGGGATATCCGCATAATCAGTGGATGGAATGTGTTTTTTCATGATTTTCCCATCATGTTCAGGTATCAAACTCATATTACAGTCCCATTGTTGATGCTTAATCCCCATTATCACCATTACCCCCACTAGAATCCCTACTGTTATGATGGGTTTTCTCAGTTTTCTCTCCATTAAAAACTCCTAGCCCATCAAATATCACATCATTCATGGTAAAGAATGCACCAGGGCCCCATCCCAATTGCTTAAATCCCATTTTTGATGCTTCAACCCCCAACTTGGATGATTATCCAATCCCATGAAATGTCCCATTCATGGTTATCCCCTACAAGATGGGATAAACCCCAGTTGTAAGTTGCGTAGTGTAAACCCCATGGCAACTAGTTAACTAGTTCATTATGAATCTACGCCGTAAATCCTAGACCATAGAATTGTTTGTTGGTTTATAAACCCCATGAATACTATAGTTATATCTACCACAAACCATAGAATCATAGAATTCAGCCACTTTTCTAAGGCCCCTCTGAATGCCATCGAACCGGTCCTGAGGCCACCTCAGGCCGCACGCAGCGCGGCCAATTTGGCCAATTTGTCAGCCTCAAATGTCACGCCAGATTCCCAAGTTGGATAGCTAAGTTGACGCACCTAACTTGGTTAATGTTTGGGTTTATGGAGGATATAACTATCATTCATGGGCTTATAAACAGCTCAAACCCTGGGAGGGGCACCACCTTGTGAGAGTGATTTAGTGGGGAATGTTTGTTAAAAGATTGGTCTAGCCATATCTAACCCGAAATAAACCACTCGAAGAAATCAGAAGAATGTTAAAGATCTAAGGTTGATTGAAAAAAATAACCAGGGTTTATGATTATTATGAATACAAGGTGGTGCCCCCAAGATAGCTATACCTAAGTTGGTTCCAATAACTATGGTTTATAGATATGTCTATACTTAGTGGGGTTTATAAACCAATTTAAAACTAGGGGGCACAACTTGTATAATATATAATATATATAATATAATATAATATAATATAATATAATATATATAATATAATAATATAATATAATATAATAGAATATAATATAATATAATATAATATCAAATAATATAATATAATATAATATCAAATAATATAATATAATATAATATCAAATAATATAATATAATACAATATAATATAATTTGTTTTTCATATAACATAATATGATATAATATATAATATAATATAAGTTAATATAATATAAGTTAATATAATATAAGTTAATATAATAATATAAGATAACATAATATAATATAATATAATAAAATACAATATAATATGTATAATATAATATAATATATATATACACTATATAATATATAGTGTATAATGTGTATATAATAATAATAATAATACAAATATATACATATATACATAATATAACAGTATATATATATAGTATTATTATTGTTATTATTGTTATTATTATTATACATATATATATATTAGTGTATATATATATATATGGTTAGATGGCTAATAAACCAACAAACAAAACTAGGAACACATTGCATGGCTACAAACCATGCTGAGTAAAAATCAAGCTGCCCCCCCCCCCCTCCCCCCCCCCAAAAAAAAAAACAATCCACAAACAAGTCTATTTTAAAACAACACTGTTAACATCAGAGACAATCTCTCAGTCAAAATCAGCATGCAACTTCAACATGTTATATGTATATAATATAATGTATATATATATATAAATCTATACTACTCTATAATGAATCATTGTAATCTAAGTCAATATATAATATAATTATAATGATAGATACACTGATACACCATACTGATCTATCAATCTAAGTCAAGCAACTCGTGATCCCGCCCATTTGGCTTTCTTCGCTTTCAACTCCTCCTCATCGCCGTTCAGCGCGTCAAAGCGCTTGAAGAGCTCCTTGAGTTCTTGGGACCTTTCGTGCTCGTCACGCATGAACTCCACCACGTCACAGAAATAATCCGCCTAGGTGGTCCATGATGATTGAGTTTCCCCTGAAAACTATGGATGTGAATGGGGATTCTCATCCGATTTCTTGGACAATTGACAACAACAACTTGGTGCCCCAGTTTGGCAAACAAAACTCCAATAGATGCTGCGTTTCTGTGATATCTGTAACTAGTAACTAGTTGTCATGGAAAGTTCCACCAATCACCGTACCTGGCACCATCATCCCATTTTTGCTGGATGGAACATCAACCAAAAATGTGTGAGCAGTGTTCCAAACCCGCAACGTCGTCCCTTTATACTGCTTGATCAATAGGGATTCCCGACTCATGGATTATGAGTTTATCCACAATTGCAGGGAAATTCCCTGTTAGTAATATTCAAACAACAGGGGTTTAGCAGCCACTCATGCAACCAATATTAAACAACCACCAACCAGCGGCAAATTCGGCGTGCTGTTTGATGGCCGCTTCGGCATCGTAGGACGGATATGTTTGCACGATCTCTTTCTCCAGCTCGGTCATTTCCTTCATATAAGGGCCGTCCGGAGCATACTTCTCCAACCAGCTATCGAACCTTGGATGTGAACCAAGGGAGCCATTCGAGTCACCAGAAACAGACGTTTTTGTCAATGGAAATTTCAGGATCCTAAAATGGAGGTACTGTACCATATAAGGCCATATTTTGTGGTGATATTCACTTACATAGGCCTTATATATGGTAGGTACCTCCATTTTAGGATCCTGAAATTTCCATTGATTTTGTTTGTGGATTACGATGGGAAAACGTCCAAACTCATCAGGTTCAACAAATACAGGTAGAGTAACCGGTGCGGAGTTACTCACACATCATATACCATCTGGTTATGACTAACATAGCCATGGAAAGATCCACCATTTTTAAGAACGGTAAACCATCTATTTCGATTAGGGCCATCTATACCATGGCTATGTAACAAATAACCAGAGGGTATCATCATCGTATTGAATATATTATATTTATATCATAGATCATATATCATCATATTGTATATTAATATGATGGCTTGACAATATTTATAGAGTAATATCATATATCATCATTTATTAAATATTACCCTCTGGTAAACTAACATAGCTATGGAAAACCACATTTTTTAATGGGCAAATCAACTATAAATGGCCATTTTCAATAGCTATGTAACAAATTACCAGAGGGTATCAAAGCATCATATTGACTCAGCAGTGCCACCATGGAATCCATGAATCAAAATCTATGAATCATAGGCATAATGTGGTCCCCAAAAAAGATGCAGAAAAGATTCGAATCACTACTGGTTGGTGGTATACCTACCCCTCTGAAAAATATGAAAGTCAGTTGGGATGATTATTCCCAATATATGGAAAAACAAAAAAATGTTCCAAACCACCAACCAGACTATATAATATCAGTATTTTGCTGGGATTTTAACATATTTTACCTACTTTTTCTATTTTTAGGGGGTTCCAATACGTTCCAATTATGAGTCCTCATCATTGACTCACCAGTCATGGCAAAACCCGTCGAAAACCCATGGCGGGTCCGTCATCCAGCAAACCTTTTTGAGTTGCCAATGGGAAGCAAAGTGTTTTGCTTATCATCTATGACAATATGAAGAGATTATATACCCATTAAAACTTGTCATTTATAGTGGATTTACCCATTAATAGCATGGTGATTTTCAATAACTATGGTATAACTATGGTATATATAGTTATATCTGGTTGGTGGTTTTAACCATCTTGAAAAATATGAAAGTCAATGGGAAGGATGACATCCCATATATGAAATGGAAAATAAAAATGTTTGAAACCACCAACCAGAAATCATCTATATATGCCACGTGAACAGTGTTGATTCTCCACATACTTGTCAAATCGATATCAGATCTATATATGTTTTTCATACGTAATAAACATCAGATCATATCAGATCTATATAAATTCGTCTGTGGGTAATAACATAATAACATAATAACGTATATATATATATATTATAATAATTATATTTAATAAACATTTGGATCTATAATTTATATCAAACATAACCATCATGTTTTGTTAAAACATGACCAGGTGTTCCAGGTAGCTGCGCTTCCTTCTCTTCTGGACTCATGTCCTTGAGACTTCCGAACTTCTCCTCTTGATTCACCGCCTTCTCCGCCATGGCTTGCTTCGTCAAGGGAGTGGAGCCCAACAACGTGCTGGCGCGGCTGGCAGGCATCCTTAGTGGGACCATAAAAGATGACCTGGCCCAAAATGGAACTCTCAAATGATCTGAAAGGCCAAGTTTGTACCTCATAACTGGCTTAGTTGGGTAATTCTAACCAAGTCAAACTGTTTCAGACATCAAAATCTATAAAATCTGATGTTCCTATGGCGTTTTTCAATGTTTTTCACAATTTTCGTTCATCCCAGCATCAAATGAAGCGCTTGTTGCAGCTTGGCGCGGTCCTCCGCTGGCAGCTCTGCCAGCGCCTTCGTCACCTCTTCGGCCGACGAGACATGGAGCGACTTTGAAATCGACTGCATCGCGGTGCGTTGCGCGGCGCGACTTGAAAATCTCAGGATTCAAAACAGCTATGGCGACGGCGAAAACTTGAGGCCTTCATCAATGACTCAGGGGAACTGATGGGAAATGATGCTAGATGATGGTACTGGTAGTGAGTTTTTTTTCTGTAAAATCTGTAAATCTCCAGCAAATCAACGGAAAAACAAAAACATGAAAGAGAAGTTATGTGCAAATCATTTTCCACACGGGAACAACATTGATTTTTACACATGCTCGGCGCCCTTGGAGTCATAGACATGGATAGTCATGGATACATCTGGGTAAACTATCTGGTTGGTGGTTGAGCCACCTACCCCTCTGAAAAATGATGGAGTTAAAGCCAGTTGGGATTATGACATTCTCAATATGATGGGAAAAATAATCCATTCATGTTCCAAAGCACCAGTCAATTTTATGATGTCACTACAATCTTGCGGCCATTTTTCAGGGGATGATTTCCCTATAAAAACAAAAAAAACATCTGGCTGGATTGTAATTTCCCATCTTTCCAGTAATCCATGAAGTATCCCAGAGCTATGTGATGGATAGAAATATTTATCTGTACATGATGTTCCCCCTGTATAGATATAATATGATCTATCCTCTGGTAAACCAACATAGCTATGTCTATGGAAAATCACCATCTTTAATGGGTAAATACCAAATAAATGGGCGATTTTCAATAGCTATGTAACAAATTACCAGAGGGTAGTATGTATACCATTGTACACCAATGATTGACATCCGAACGCAACATGTCCCAACAAGTCTTCCAGTGTCCAGTCTCCTCATGTGTTGGATTAAATTCAGGAGTTTCATGGCGGACACTTCCAAAGTTTGATCGACAAAATATACCTGGTTGGTGGTATACCTACCCCTCTGAAAAATATGGAAGTCAGTCAGCTGGTCCCAACTGAATGGAAAGTCATAAAATTCCATGGTTCCAAAGCACCAACCAGTATACATCAAGAACCAGAAAAAAACAGCATTTTTTTGTTGGATTCGCTGAACAAAAACATCACAAAAAAACATGGATGTGCTGAAAATCGGGGCCCCAATTGGTGGATGTTCCATTGGAAAAATGATCCATTCAGGGCTGACCAAGTCGTATTCGACTCCATGATATCCCAATTATCCATACCATCTGGTTGTGACTAACATAGCCATGGAAAATCACCATTTTTACTAGGTAAACCATCTATTTCTTTGGGCCATTTTCCATGGCTATGTTAAATAACCAGACGGTAAGTAAAAAAATACCATCAATATGATCATAAAATTCACACAGTATATGTTGACAATTCTTATCCATAAAATCAAGATATTCAAGTTGTTTTTAAAAAATGCAAACATTTGCTAAACGTCCCACTATAGTCACTAATAATGTCCTTTTGGTAAAATTAGAGGGGCCGGGAGCTGGTATACCATCTATCATCATTTACCTGTTGTTAAAGGGGTAGTTTCAAACCCCTCTATTAATCAACTATAACCAATGGGAAAAGGACATCCCACTATAGTCACTAAACATCTGGTTGGTGGTATACCATGGTTCCAAACCACCAACCAGAGGGGAACATATGGGACATGGTGAATACATTGAACATAGACGGAAATATCATGGCAATATCACATAAAACACCCATGGTTCAATAAATACAAACAATCCCACTATAGTCACTAAACATAGTCTGATATTTGGTGCATCTTTTCTCCATCTTCGAGGGTTATACTCTCCGCTGCGGAAGTTTTTTTTCAAGGCACGGCCGCACCCAGCATGTGCGAGGTGCTAGAGGTGCAGCCTGGCGGATGGCTGCACCCATCATAGAAATAACGGAGTTTTCTAGGGAATTCTAGGGATTTAGAATGATTTACAACTGTTCAAATTATAGGATTATAAGATATTATAACTCCTACAACTAAGGTTGTATAAACTTATATCTCATTAGAATCCCATTTTAAAGTGTTTTTAGGGCCATAACTGATAGGGGTAAACATTTACAAAGATGCGGGACAAACGGCCACGTTTTTGTGATGGTCATCCCGGTCATCCGCCATGTTTCGTGAGGCTTTTGCGAGACATGGTGTTTTGGAATCTGATTCTTGGAAACCTACCATTGTGGTTAATATACTGTTAATAATGGTTAATATGAATGGTTATTATATGGTTAATCATGGTTAATTATTCCTTACTGGTGCTAAGCGCAGGGAATGGATGGGAATGGATGGGAATGGAATAAATGGGATGATTATTACTATAGTGATTATGGATCATTCCCGAAAATTCCCTGCGTTTAGCACCAGTAAGATTCTTGGAAACCTACATTTTCTTGTTGGTGGTTTCAACCTACCGTCAACCTACCCCTCTGAAAAATGATGGAGTCAGTTGGGATGATGACATTCCCAACTGAATGGAAAAATAATCAAAATGTTCCAAACCACCAACCAGATATTGTAATTTGGGAAATCCATTCATGTGCCAAAATCACCATCGGTATTAAAACATACCCATCCCGAAATGGCGAGTTAATCATCCAGGATCCCACATGAAAATCGCTGTGATGAGAGCCTGAGAATGGTTGGATGACCATCCCCCGTTTGAACATCGAACTGGGTATGCAATCCATGGTTTGACTCGACGCATGAACCCCTCCATATTTTGACCATGGCACACTGATTGGGTGCCAGCTGGGTAAATCAACACGCTCACAAGCACGTGCCACGGACTTATGGACTTTCGGGGATAGATTTTGAATACCCACTCTGAAACATTTCTCAATCTATCCCCGATGGTTTTGTTTGGATGTGTCCTGAAAACCCAAACATAGAGACTCGTAATCTATCATGTATCGGTTTCCTAAAGCGGGGGTACCCTAAATCATCAATTTTAATAGGATGTTGCATGAAATAAACCATCCAGCTATTGTGAGTCCATCTATGGAATCCCACATCTATTTTTGTTTGAGGTTACTCAAGACCTTGATTGAGAGACCAAAAGAGAGGCAACCAGGGTCAATTTCGCTTTGTCTAAACATCGGCCACCTTGAATTCCAAAAAGATTCTCATCATTTTCCAATCATTTTCCGTATGTTCTTAGATTTTCCCATCAATTTCCCATATGGCATGATTTTTGTGAAACCATCCCCCAGTTCGGTGAAAGCGCCATCCGCCCACCGCCTATCGAAAGGTACAAAGAAAGCAAAAAGAGCGAGATGAGCCTCGCCCAGGGGTCCACTGGGATCAGACATGGTAACAGATAAAACCATGGACACTTTTATTATATGGTCAACTCTGACAATAACATATATACAATAACCATAATGGGAAAATTAATAATTGAATAATAATAATAATATTATATATATATATATTAAATATATGGGGGTTGTCCAAAATACCTTTTCCCGGACAGCCCTCAATCGCTCAGCCAATCGCGTAGCAACCGCGGTACCACAGTGAGCAATCGCGGAAGGGTTTGTTCTTCGTTGATCAGATCATATACATTAAAAAAAAAGTTATGTATTATATAATGAGGATCCATGCGTGAACGCATTCGATTTCAAATTTGGGAACAAAATAAGCTCGCGCGGTCCGGAAACGGTCCGGAAAACTCACAGTAGTACCAGCAGCAGTAGTACTAGTAGTACTAGTAGTACTAGTAGTACTAGTCGTAGTAGTAGTAGTAGTAGTAGGAGGGGTAAGAGTAGGAGTAGGAGTAGGAATAGGAGAAGGAGTTCTAGTAGCAGGGCAAGGGAAGAAAGGGAGAGGGAGGGAAAGAGAGAAAGAGAGAGAGAGAGGGAGGGAGGGGGAAACAGATGGTTGCGTTTGACCGGTTTCTGACGGGTTTCTGACTGGTTTCTGACTCGTTTCTGACCCTTCAGCGGAACTCGTGTCAATTGGATTTAAAAGCAAGAGCAGAAATTCCTAGGTGTACTAGTGGTAGTGGTGGTGCAGTAGCAGCGGGTGTGGTGGTAGTACTAAGAGTAGTAGCAAATCTAGTAGTGGGAGTAAGGATCCATGCGTGAACGCATTCGATTTCAAATTTGGAAGCAAAATAAGCTTGCGCGGTCCGGAAACGGTCCGGAAAACTCACAGTAGTACCAGCAGGACTAGCAGTAGCAGTAGCACTAGCAGTAGTGGTAGTGGAAATTGCAATAGGAGTAGGCGTAGGAGTTCTGATGGGAGGGTGAGGGAATAGGCAAGGGAGAGAGAGAGAGAGATTGCGTTTGGCCGGTTTCTGACGGGTTTCTGACTGGTTTCTGACTCGTTTCTGACCCTTCACACGAGTGCAATTGGATTTAAAAGCAAGAGCAGAAATTCCTAGGTGTACTAGTGGTAGTGGTGGTAGTGGTAGTAGTAGTAGTAGTAGTAGTCGTCGTCGTAGTCGTACTCGTACTAGTAGTAGTAGAAGTAGTAGTAGTAGAAGTAGTAGTAGTAGTAGTCGTACTCGTACTAGTAGCAGTAGTAGTAGTAGTAGTAGTAATAGTAGTAGTAGTAGTCGTAGTAGTCGTAGTAGTCGTAGTAGTAGTAGTAGTAGTACTAGTACTAGTAGTACTAGCAGTACTAGTAGTAAAAGTAGTAGTAGTAGTAGTGGTAGTAGTAGTAGTAGAAGTAGTAGAAGTAGTAATAGTAGTAATAGTAGTAATAGTAGTAATAGTAGTAATAGTAATAATAGTAGTAATAGTAGTAATAGTAATAGTAGAAGTAGCAATGATAAGAGCTGAGGTGGATGGATGGATGGATGGATGGATGGATGGATGGATGGATGGATGGATGGATGCTAGGCAAGTGCTGCCTTTTTGGTGTTTCTGACCTGTTTCTGACCTTTCCCGGAGTCTTCTTCAACTTCAAAAAAATCAGCACGGGCAGTCAAACTAGGAACAATTTTAGTGATCGTCAAAGTAATATCATTACTAGTGCCCCAAATACTAGTACTAGTGCTAGTAGTAGTAGTAGTAGTAGTAGGAGGAGGAGGAGTAGAAGCAGTAATAGTAGTAATAGTAATAGTAGAAGTAGCAATGATAAGAGCTGAGGTGGATGGATGGATGGATGGATGGATGGATGGATGGATGCTAGGCAAGTGCTGCCTTTTTGGTGTTTCTGACCTGTTTCTGACCTGTTTTCAATTGGAGCTAGCTTGAATGTCCTTCTGACCTGAAAACATCTGCGCGGATTCCGCGCGCGCGGAATCCGCGCGGCCATGTCAATTATTGGCATGGTTCTGGTCTCGAAAGTAGTAGTAGTAGTAGTAGTAGTAGTAGTAGTAGTAGTAGTAGTAGTAGTAGTACTAGTAGTAGTACTAGTACTAGTACTAGTACTAGTACTAGTCGTAGTCGTAGTCGTAGTCGTACTAGTAGTAGTAGTAGTAGTAGTAGTAGTAGTAGTAGTAGTAGTAGTAATAGGGTGGTAGCCGTATAACCAATCGCCAACCAATCGCTCAGCCTATCGCGATGCAGGTTTTAGCAATCGCGCAAAGCAAAGTAAACGCATCAATTCATAAATTTGTGACCTGCTTTTACGGACGGCTCCCATATATATATATTGACAATAACCATAATGGGTAATAATTGACAATGGAAACTTACTTAACAATTGAATTTGGTCAATGGTAAGAATATTGTCAATTGTGGCCAATTAATGCCAATTCTGGATCCGTAGATTTTAGACAGTAGCCGGCCGGTAGTTTTTGGCCGATGATCCAACATCTTGCCAGCATGGCTGGTGTACCCCTTCTAGGCTGGCTGAATCCTTACTCTAATTTACTGTAAACAGTGTTTTAACCCAAATTCTGGATTACACTGTTTCAACCATGGACAAAACTAACTGGCTGGCTGAATCCTGATAATACTCTAGTGTTACACAACCCATTTACAACACGTTGCAACCAATTTTTGGTTGGTTCAATGCCCAATGATTCAGAATGTGACCATCCCGAAGTCGTCACCGACATTTCCAATCCATCCCCACATGATAGCGCAGCTTTGCGGGCGGGTTTCCCACGATGGATCCACGATGTCAACCCGAAAATGGATTGATGACCATCCCCTGGGCCCCATAGGATCCCATGTAATTATGGTATATATATATATATTTACCTAGAAAACTGGGTCATATAAAATGGGCTAAATGTTGGGATAAAAATATTCCAGCACCATGGGTTGCATATGGGCTGTTTGAACATCTAAGAACTGGCTATGCAATGTATGCAATCCCTCCGAAATCTTGTCTGAAAAACTTCGCTATCTCCGAAATGCTGCGTGCCCAGATGCCATGCAGCCATCTTCGCATAGAAACGCATGTCCTTGGTAGAAACAGAGCGCACAAAAAAATATGATTACCAGTAGGCATGAAAACGAAGACCGAAAGGAGGTTAGGTAGCATAATAACAAAATAACTATTAAAAACACAATTGCAATTTTCTATGTCCAATGTGATTTGATTTCCACAAAACAAAACACATGGCTTTGCACAATGCACTTGGTTGTATCCACCTCATTCACGCTCGTATATACCTGCAGTCAAGCAACATGAAAACAAACTAAGTAAACAATCTTAAACATTATAAATTAGGGCGAAACCATAGTTATCCTCAATAATTCTCCCCAACACACCAACACATGGTTAACAATGGTAAACATTCATTTGGGCTTGATACGTTTTCCTCGTGGAGTCCCCCACTGCTTTGGCGCTCGCTGGTGTTGAGGTCATGGTCTTGGGAATGGCAGTGAGCACTGCTGGTGGAGATAGTCGTCCTGGAGTAGATAGAATATGATAAACAGGTGGTATTTTTACTGGTATAAACCATCACTAATGTATGGGTGGTGTATTGTTGCTTTACCGTCACATAGGAATATCATCTGGTTGGTGGTTTTCACCATCTTGAAAAATATGAAAGCCAATGGGAAGGATGATCCCATATACTATGGAAAATAAAACATGTTCCAAACCACCAACCAGTGGTTTATTTGAAATGTCCGTATCCTATCTACTCCAGGATGACTGTAGATGAAAGAGCACTCATCACCCTATATTTTGAGGCAGTCCATTAGTTCATCAGTCCGTGTTTATTCAGCCAGGAGTGACATGACATGACAGAATGTCGTGTACAGTCTACCACCTTCCAACGATTTGCAAACAGCAAAAGCCAACTCTGACAGCCATATCGTATGGTTACCATGTTTGGTAACATCTCCCATTTTCACGTGGGCAGTAAATCTGCGATAAAACTTGGCATGTTGAATCTGCAAATGGAAGCAAAAATGATTGCTAAATGTTATTGCCTAGGCCCTCAATTACCCACAGAACACGGTTGACTTGACGATCTCGGAGTGGACACTCAATTTAGCAAGTATCCCGAAGATGGCGGCCAGGGGGAAATTGATACCGGCACCCCGTTTCCAAGTTGCGCCATAGTGACCACATGTGCCGGAGTCAAGTGACACGGTATATGGCATAATTGGCATATGATTCATTTTCATCCATCCCACAGTAGAAATCCTTACCATGACACAATAGTATCTATTTTCATAGGGATTTTTCATATGATTATGAGTTATGATAAATCCTTACCCAGATAGTATAAAGCATTATTTTTTCATCCTTTCATTATATATAGTATAAATCTCTATAAATCCCTATGAAAATGGATTGATTAATGATGCTCATCCCCCCAAGAAGTGTGTACACGACACAGATTGAACTGATTTAACCATGGTTTCTATAATTTGATACACGGGTATCCCTAAAAGTGAGATACCCCATATTATATATATATGAACTGATTTAACCTGCTGATATTTTTTTTAGAACAACCCAACTCATCACCGAACTCGCTAGCCATAGGGTCGGTTTCGAAAAGCCCGCGACGCAAAAGTTCCTGCCGCACCTGGTGGGGGTATCCAGGGGGTTGACCACCCAAAACGCGAAAACCCCAAAAAATGGTTGTGTTGTTTTGGTACGCTTCGAAAAACCTGAAAGTTCTACAAACCATCAACATCTCATACCCCATAGGATCCATGGTGCTGCTATATATGGTAACATGGATCCCATCAATATACCCCCAATGTTAGCATATATACCATACATGGATCCTATGGGTACAGAAAAACGATATTTTTGACCGACAAGAATGGTCGCCGTTTACTGTTTTTCCTGGGAGACCTCCGATGATTTGGAACCATGGTTTTCAGCCACGGAAAACTGGTCTCAGTAGTAAGCCTGTATCCCCTTTGGGTTGGTTAGATTGCTTCATAAACCCGTACACATATATATATATATTATAATTTATAATCAAAGATAAGTAAGATTAATTGACCAATGAGAATTTCATAATATTATCATTATAAATGGCAATGGTATAACCTCCAGTAAAATAACCTCCGTAGTATTAACAGAATCCAATGAGTATAACCTTCATTTCATAACCAATAGGGCACAACAGACCGTGTTCATCCCATTGGTCTGCTCACCATGGTTATTTCCACCACTGTTACCACTGAATTTTGAACTTACATTTATATAGAAATTGAAGTATAATTAGTATCCAAATAGTACATTTTTTTTCATGCACGTATATTTATGATACTAAATTATACATTTATAATGTTCTTACCAAATTGAACTTACACATGATATTGTTCTTACATATCAAACGACTCGGGCCTGCTTTTTCAGAGTCTATCCACACGAATGTCACAGAAGTGCGCCGGTAAATCCAGGTAAATCCTGGCTGAAAATCCCCAGTCTTGGTGGTAACAACATGTACCCGGCCTGGTAAACGTTTACAGTTTGCGAACTTGAAAATGGCCATTTAGTTCGTTGATTTACCCATTAGCATGGTGATGTTCCATAGTTCTGTAAACGTTTACCAGAGTGTAAAACAAAAACAAAAAACTTTGTGAACCAATAGTTGGGATGGGATTTATACGGATTTACGGTTTGCTGGGATGTTCATCCCCCAAAATTCCAGGGTTGATTCACACGCCTCGCGGAAATCCTGTACATGTGGAGGCACCGTGACGTTCGTTGCCTGGCGAACCAAACGTACTATAGCTATAGATTGGTGAAGATAACATATATATAAGTAGCGTTTCACCCTCCAACTAGCCTCAACAAATCGTAAGAACTACTACAATATACTACAACTATGAGGTAAAACACCATTTGTGTTAAAGGACGTTAAAGGCTACAGGGTGTAGGTAAACAAATGTTGGATCTATAGATCTATAGTGATGTATCTATCATGATAGGTATTTCATGATTGTGGCAAGTATATCAAACTACTTGGATGATGTGAGATAATGGTATGGATTCAACCAAAAAATGTCTCTTCCCCCAAGTTAAAAACCACCCTACATACCCTCTGGTAATTTGTTGCATAGCTATTGAACATGGTGATTTATAGTGGATTTAAGCATGTTCATGGTGATTTTCCATAGTTATGTAAACGTTTACCAGAGGGTACTAGACCATGCCGGGTGACAAGGGGGCCATTTGATTTGTCGTTTTTGAGCGGAAAGGTGTTGTTCAAAACCAGATTGGGATGCGTTCTGAATGAATTGGCTAATTATCACATCAATTGTTTAATCTGAATCCTCTATTTCCCAGTGATTCATACCAATGCACAAATACTTCGAACATCTTCTAACCCCAGTTGCCAACTGCTTAGAAAATATCCTCAAATTCTTTGTCCCAAACAACAACGATAATATTGTCCAACAACAAGATCAAACAAAAAGTAAGAGGTTATGAATATATCTAGGTATTGTCAAAAGATAAATATGTCCAACAAATAATCTGCATATAGATCCCATATGCTCCATGTATGGAATATTTACCAACATTTACCCCATAAATGACCCAGTCATGTAGGTAAATATTCCAGCACCATGGAGCATATGGGGATCATCAATCCAAAAGGCCTGATCTCCCAGGAAAGTGATAGATCCGAGCCATCCGGACATCACAGAACTGTGATCTGCTTGGCCCCACTATTCAGTGCTTGAGCTACCAGGAAGTCAGAAAATCTGAAGGACAGATACAACCAATATCAACCAATGCATTTCTGGTTGGTGGTTGACCTACCCCTCTGAAAAATGATGGAGTTCATCAGTTTGGATTATTATTCCCAATGTATGGAAACATAGAAAATGTTTGAAACCACCAACCAGATTTGGGTGTGTCTGATAACTTACCCATTTCTCGCCATAGAAGCGAACATGTTAATCAGCCACTGCATTTCTGCGGGTGCTTCCCCAAATGTTCAGAGCCAATCCAGAAACCTCCATCTAGGCATATCTAGGCCGCTTAGACAACAACAAGACCCGACTGAGAAGCCTCAGTTATGACTTGGGGCTCTCAAAATAGTCATACCCTCTGGTAAACGTTTACATAACTATGGAAAATCACCATGAACATGCTTAAATCCACTATAAATCACCATGTTCAATAGCTATGCAACAAATTACCAGAGGGTATGTAGGGTGGTTTTTAACTTGGGGGAAGAGACATTTTTTTGCTGAATCCATACCATCATCTCACATCATCCAAGTAGTTCGATACACTTGTCACAATCATGAAATACCTATCATGATAGATAGATCACTATAGATCTATAGATCCAACATTTGTTTACCTACACCCTGTAGCCTTTAACGTCTTTTAACACAAATGGTGTTTTACCTCATAGTTGTAGTATATTGTAGTACTTCTTACGATTTGTTGAGGCTAGTCATAATTCCAAGAATCAACTCAGTACAGCACCCTTTCTTCATCAACTCAGGGATACTGTACTGTCAAGAAACATCTTGGGTTGACATCAACATCACCGGAAAGGGGTCCCGAAACGATGGGTAACGTTGGCTTAGAATAACCAATGTAATTGGACTAAGCCAAATATCATCCATATCAGCTGTTGTTAACCAAATAAGCTTAATTCATCCATCAGATCAGACTTATATCATGGGTGGATGAAAATTCAGGGCTCTGAAACCAACATTTCGGAAAGTTTTAACTGAATCCCACGCTTTTTTTACTGATCTAAACGGTAGATGATAATCTAAAAATCACCACTGTAGCTGGGGTTACCCTCTGGTAATTTAACGTAGCTATTGAAAATCACCATTTTTCATGGGTAAATCCACTATACATGGCCATTTTCAATAGCTATGTTAAATTACCAGAGGGTAGTTCAACCAAGAACGTCACCCACCCCGGACAGCCCGGCGCTGCCGTGTCCCACCCGGCGCCTCGCCAATGAGCATCGGTGGCCTCGGGACAAAGATGAGACGGGGGATGAGACGTTAAAAAATCACCTGAAACAAACCCAGGGAAGATACCCGGCCTGGTAATTTCTTACATAGCTATTGAAAATGGTGATTTAGTTCGTGGATTCACCCACCCTACATACCTTCTGGTAATCTCTTACAGTGTGCGAACTTGAAAATGGTGATTCAGTTCGTGGATTTATCCATTAAACATGGTGATTTTCCATATCCATAGTTATGTAAACGTTTACCAGAGGGTATCCTGATTTTTGGACAAGTTGAGATGGGACTGGTTTCATGTGTTTCAGCTACTCTTTTGGGATTTTTGGATTACGTACCAGTCAGAAATGATGGCTTCCCAACGCATGCATTTCCTTGGAATCCTCCATGACATGCTGAAGCAAACACTTTATATTTTGTAGTAAATAATTATACATGATATTAATATATATATATATTACACATTATGTATATATATATAATACATTATGTATAATATATATATACACATTATATATGTATATATACATTATGTATATACACATTATGTGTATATATAATATACATTATGTATAATATAACTGTGATTAACTACGTAAGTGGTTTGTTAAAAAAATGTGATAACCTAATACCGGACACATGTTTGTCCTCCACCTCCTGGGGAAAAACATGAAGTCCTTCAAAGTGCGTAGACACAAATCCCACGCAGTTTTTCTTCATGAAAAAACGGCAAAAATCAAGAACAACTAATGGATATAGATCTATTAATCAATGGATATTACTGGATATATTATTGGATCTATCAATTGATTGATATAGATCTATTAACCACTATTAATCATCATCGTTTCAACACCCCGAAAAACTATGAGTTCGTCAGTTGGGATTATTATTCTCAATATATGGAAAACTATATTCGAAATCACCAACCAGTCATTAACATCATTATATTCCCCATCTTCACTAGTTGATACTCAACAAAAAAAAACAACTCTAGGGAGACATACACAATTCCAGCCACAGCCCCATCCAGGTCCCAAGCAGAAGCTGTTTGTATACACGAGCAGAATGGTAATTTGCAAACACGTCCGTGCCTCAGTTGCCGCCAGTTGCCGGCAGCATGTCTGAAGTTTCAGGATGATTAAAAACCAGGAAGTGGGGGATAGCCAGCGCCAGTGCGGGTAGAACTTGTGGCATACGTAGCATCATACTGCATCATACTTTGCTATACTTGATAAAGTGGTTTGTTAACCCAAGTACCCTCTGGAAATTTAACATGACTATTGAAAATGGCCATTTATGCGGAGATTTCCTAATAAAAATGGTGATTTTCCATAGTTATGTTAGTTTACCAGAGGGTACATGGATGTATATATATATTATATATTATATGTGATTGTCTGTCATGTTTGTGTGCAGAATTCACGTATGGGATTCACATCCTTAGTCAAATGGGGGGCACAGTTGTCATGCATGGCTGGGGTGTAGAACCAAAGGGGGCCATAGACAAAAAAATATCCGAATGAACACCTGCTTGCAATATGTTGCAATATGGATTCGTGTGTTTTTCACCACCACTGAGTCAGAAAGAGAGAAATTTTGCTCCTTCTTCAAAGACAGGCCCTTGAGCGAATTCAAATGAGGACGAGCCATGGCCCTGACCTGTTCGGGCATCATGTTCTTCGCTCCTTTGACCCTCAATTTGACCGTCACTGGTCTGAGATGTCGGACAGAGGATCGCGCCCTCGCCAGTGGCGGCTTTACCGTAATGGTAGCCAACACTACCACTGGATCCACGAGGGATTCCGGAGTTCCCATTGATGGAGGACGCTCCTTCATGTTCAACCACCAAAATACTCTCCAGGTGCCCATGCGCCGTCACAACCTGTGAATTGCTGCTCGTTACTGAAAGAGAGAAATTTTGGAAACTCAACCAGAGTTCACATTCCAGATTTTCTCTTCTTGGATATCTGTTCCAGTTGTGTCCAGAATGGATGTTTGGATATGTGTGGGACACATCATGGAACATTCACATCTTGCTTTCACACATCTATCAGCATCTTGGCCCAAAACCTCCACCTTAAAAAAGCCAGGGCTTGATGCTGAAATTGGAAAAACAACATCACAAAACCACAAGAAATCGCTATGGAAAAAATATGAAACGTGTAAACTTCAGGGCAAAAGAATATGTGTTCCTTTCGTGATGGTTTTCAAGTTGTGGAAAGTCCAAAGTCTTGTCAACAAACAACTTAAGCAAGGTGGATTGAAAGCCTCAAATTTCTAGGCATTGCCAACAGGAGTTTGTGTCCCCAAAAAAATGATCCACACGAAGAACATGATATTGTTTTCCCAACAATCACTTGTCGGTGGTTCCAACCCCTCTGAAAAATACTAGTCAGATTGGATCATCATCCCAACTAAATGGAAAAATACAATTCATGTTCCAAACCACCAAGCAGTAGTTATATCCCATAGTCAATGGGAAGGATTATCTGATTATGGAGAACAAAAAATGTTTGAAACCACCAATTTACAGATCACCTTCCCCAAACCATCAGAAAGCTTCGGCATGCCACCCTGTCCGAGCAATCCGAGCAACAGTCCTTGCCTGCCATATTCTCCAGCATCAAAGGACCGCCAGGATGTTTGTCAATGTACCTGGCAATTCACCATAGAAAAATAGTAACCCAACAAACATCCGCAAATAAGGAATGGCAATGGCCATTTAGGGTTACTATATATGGCAATATTAAACATATATAGTGTCCAAATATCCGGTTATATAGAAACTATAATATATCGAAAGTCGAATCCGATTTAAATTGGACTTGTTTATCTAACATGGAGGCAATCTTTAGGAGGTGCATAGTATGTAAAACATAGTCTCTATACATAAATCCCAGGACATGTTAATTACTCTTGTGCCAACATATCAAAGTATAACTGTTTCTATCTTTCGGGGGGGTGCTATAACCATCGATCTAACCACAGATCAACACACATATTAGGGGTACAGTATAATGGACATCTCTACGTATAATGAGATGGCTTATCCAATATAGTATGGAACATAAAAAATGTTTGAAACCACCAACCAGAACATATCTGAACGGTGCCTGAAAAGAGATGTTTTAAGTATGTAAAAAACAACTCATACAAGGCTAAGACTCCATGATGATCAGCCCAATGCATAATTACACCGTTCTTAATGGATCCTACCCCAACTGGCCCATTGGGAGACTCAATCGGATCAGTGCCACGTTAGCAATCACCAATAGGCCAAGTAGTAAGACTATCTGGGTAAAGAATAAGAATTCACTAATCATCATACCATCTATCTGGATAAAAAATAAGAATTCACTAATCATCATACCATCTATCTGGGTAAAAAATAAGAATTCACTAATCATCATACCATCTATCTGGGTAAAAAATAAGAATTCACTAATCATCATACCATCTATCTGGGTAAAAAAAAAATAAGAATTCACTAATCATCATACCATCTATCTGGGTAAAAAAATAAGAATTCACTAATCATCATACCATCTATCTGGGTAAAAAATAAGAATTCACTAATCATCATACCATCTATCTGGGTAAAAAAATAAGAATTCACTAATCATCATACCATCTATCTGGATAAAAAATAAGAATTCACTAATCATCATACCATCTATCTGGGTAAAAATAAGAATTCACTAATCATCATACCATCTATCTGGGTAAAAAATAAGAATTCACTAATCATCATACCATCTATCTGGGTAAATAATAAGAATTCACTAATCATCATACCATCTATCTGGGTAAAAAATAAGAATTCACTAATCATCATACCATCTATCTGGATAAAAAATAAGAATTCACTAATCATCATACCATCTATCTGGATAAAAAATAAGAATTCACTAATCATCATACCATCTATCTGGATAAAAAATAAGAATTCACTAATCATCATACCATCTATCTGGGTAAATAATAAGAATTCACTAATCATCATACCATCTATCTGGGTAAAAAATAAGAATTCACTAATCATCATACCATCTATCTGGGTAAAAAATAAGAATTCACTAATCATCATACCATCTATCTGGGTAAAAAATAAGAATTCACTAATCATCATACCATCTATCTGGGTAAAAAATAAGAATTCACTAATCATCATACCATCTATCTGGGTAAATAATAAGAATCACTAATCATCATACCATCTATCTGAAAAAATAAGAATTCACTAATCATCATACCATCTATCTGGATAAAAAATAAGAATTCACTAATCATCATACCATCTATCTGGATAAAAAATAAGAATTCACTAATCATCATACCATCTATCTGGATAAAAAATAAGAATTCACTAATCATCATACCATCTATCTGGATAAAAAATAAGAATTCACTAATCATCATACCATCTATCTGGGTAAAAATAAGAATTCACTAATCATCATACCATCTATCTGGATAAAAAATAAGAATTCACTAATCATCATACCATCTATCTGGATAAAAAATAAGAATTCACTAATCATCATACCATCTATCTGGGTAAATAATAAGAATTCACTAATCATCATACCATCTATCTGGGTAAAAATAAGAATTCACTAATCATCATACCATCTATCTGGGTAAAAAAATAAGAATTCACTAATCATCATACCATCTATCTGGGTTAAAAAATAAGAATTCACTAATCATCATACTGATAAAAAATAAGAATTCATCTATCTGGGTAAAAAATAAGAATTCACTCATCATACCATCTATCTGAATAAGAATTCACTAATCATCATACCATCTATCTGGGTAAAAAATAAGAATTCACTAATCATCATACCATCTATCTGAATAAGAATTCACTAATCATCATACCATCTATCTGGATAAAAAATAAGAATTCACTAATCATCATACCATCTATCTGGATAAAAAATAAGAATTCACTAATCATCATACCATCTACTAATCATCATACCATCTATCTGGGTAAAAAATAAGAATTCACTAATCATCATACCATCTATCTGGGTAAATAATAAGAATTCACTAATCATCATACCATCTATCTGGGTAAAAAAATAAGAATTCACTAATCATCATACCATCTATCTGGGTAAAAAAATAAGAATTCACTAATCATCATACCATCTATCTGGGTAAAAAATAAGAATTCACTAATCATCATACCATCTATCTGGGTAAAAAAATAAGAATTCACTAATCATCATACCATCTATCTGGGTAAAAAAATAAGAATTCACTAATCATCATACCATCTATCTGGATAAAAAAGAAGTCACTAATCATCATACCATCTATCTGGATAAAAAATAAGAATTCACTAATCATCATACCATCTATCTGGGTAAAAAATAAGAATTCACTAATCATCATACCATCTATCTGGGTAAATAATAAGAATTCACTAATCAACATACCATCTATCTGGGTAAAAAATAAGAATTCACTAATCATCATACCATCTATCTGGGTAAAAAATAAGAATTCACTAATCATCATACCATCTATCTGGGTTAAAAAATAAGAATTCACTAATCATCATACCATCTATCTGGGTAAAAAAATAAGAATTCACTAATCATCATACCATCTATCTGGATAAAAAAGAAGTCACTAATCATCATACCATCTATCTGGATAAAAAATAAGAAGTCACTAATCATCATACCATCTATCTGGGTAAATAATAAGAATTCACTAATCATCATACCATCTATCTGGGTAAAAAATAAGAATTCACTAATCATCATACCATCTATCTGGGTAAAAAATAAGAATTCACTAATCATCATACCATCTATCTGGGTAAAAATAAGAATTCACTAATCATCATACCATCTATCTGGATAAAAAATAAGAATTCACTAATCATCATACCATCTATCTGGATAAAAAATAAGAATTCACTAATCATCATACCATCTATCTGTGTAAATAATAAGAATTCACTAATCATCATACCATCTATCTGGATAAAAAATAAGAATTCACTAATCATCATACCATCTATCTGGGTAAAAAAATAAGAATTCACTAATCATCATACCATCTATCTGGATAAAAAATAAGAATTCACTAATCATCATACCATCTATCTGGATAAAAAATAAGAATTCACTAATCATCATACCATCTATCTGGTAAATAATAAGAATTCACTAATCATCATACCATCTATCTGGATAAAAAATAAGAATTCACTAATCATCATACCATCTATCTGGATAAAAAATAAGAATTCACTAATCATCATACCATCTATCTGGGTAAATAATAAGAATTCACTAATCATCATACCATCTATCTGGATAAAAAATAAGAATTCACTAATCATCATACCATCTATCTGGATAAAAAATAAGAATTCACTAATCATCATACCATCTATCTGGATAAAAAAATAAGAATTCACTAATCATCATACCATCTATCTGGGTAAAAAATAAGAATTCACTAATCATCATACCATCTATCTGGGTAAATAATAAGAATTCACTAATCATCATACCATCTATCTGGGTAAATAATAAGAATTCACTAATCATCATACCATCTATCTGGGTTAAAAATAAGAATTCACTAATCATCATACCATCTATCCTGGGTAAAAAATAAGAATTCACTAATCATCATACCATCTATCTGGGTTAAAAATAAGAATTCACTAATCATCATACCATCTATCTGGGTAAAATAAGAATTCACTAATCATCATACCATCTATCTGGGTAAAAATAAGAATTCACTAATCATCATACCATCTATCTGGGTAAATAATAAGAATTCACTAATCATCATACCATCTATCTGGGTAAATAATAAGAATTCACTAATCATCATACCATCTATCTGGGTTAAAAATAAGAATTCACTAATCATCATACCATCTATCTGGGTAAATAATAAGAATTCACTAATCATCATACCATCTATCTGGGTAAAAAATAAGAATTCACTAATCATCATACCATCTATCTGGGTAAATAATAAGAATTCACTAATCATCATACCATCTATCTGGGTAAAAAATAAGAATTCACTAATCATCATACCATCTATCTGGGTAAATAATAAGAATTCACTAATCATCATACCATCTATCTGGGTAAATAATAAGAATTCACTAATCATCATACCATCTATCTGGGTAAAAATAAGAATTCACTAATCATCATACCATCTATCTGGGTAAAAAAATAAGAATTCACTAATCATCATACCATCTATCTGGGTTAAAAATAAGAATTCACTAATCATCATACCATCTATCTGGGTTAAAAATAAGAATTCACTAATCATCATACCATCTATCTGGGTAAATAATAAGAATTCACTAATCATCATACCATCTATCTGGGTTAAAAATAAGAATTCACTAATCATCATACCATCTATCTGGGTAAATAATAAGAATTTACTAATCATCATACCATCTATCTGGGTTAAAAATGAGAATTCACTAATCATCATACCATCTATCTGGGTAAATAATAAGAATTCACTAATCATCATACCATCTATCTGGGTAAAAAATAGGAATTCACTAATCATCATACCATCTATCTGGGTAAATAATAAGAATTCACTAATCATCATACCATCTATCTGGGTTAAAAATAAGAATTCACTAATCATCATACCATCTATCTGGGTAAATAATAAGAATTCACTAATCATCATACCATCTATCTGGGTAAATAATAAGAATTCACTAATCATCATACCATCTATCTGGGTAAAAAATAAGAATTCACTAATCATCATACCATCTATCTGGGTAAATAATAAGAATTCACTAATCATCATACCATCTATCTGGGTAAAAAATGAGAATTCACTAATCATCATACCATCTATCTGGGTAAATAATAAGAATTCACTAATCATCATACCATCTATCTGGGTAAAAAATAAGAATTCACTAATCATCATACCATCTATCTGGGTTAAAAATAAGAATTCACTAATCATCATACCATCTATCTGGGTAAAAAATAAGAATTCACTAATCATCATACCATCTATCTGGGTAAAAAATAAGAATTCACTAATCATCATACCATCTATCTGGGTAAAAAATAAGAAATCACTAATCATCATACCATCTATCTGGGTAAAAAATAAGAAATCACTAATCATCATACCATCTATCTGGGTAAAAAATAAGAATTCACTAATCATCATACCATGTTGGGGATCATTTCCCTTATGATTTCAAGGGCTCGGTCGCGACGTGAGGCGATGAAATCTACCCAGAATGACATCCAGGATTTTGGGATGAGATTCTTCATGGCTCTCCAGTTCTGAAATCTGACCCTCTGGTGGTGGTTTCAACCCTACCCCTCTGAAAAATGATGGAGTGAAAGTCAGTTGGGATGATGAAATTTCCAACATGGAAAAATAAAAGATGTTCCAAACATGTCCAAACCACCAACCAAATAACTCATCACCATTTTATAGCTGGGTAAATCAACGAACCTTCTATGGGCCATGTTCAAGTTCGCAAACTGTTCGTCATTACCAGAGGGTAATCGCCCAACATGCCTGGTGGCATCATAGACCATGTCGTCCACGATGATCCACAAGCTATCTCGGCTGTTGTGCTTTGCCACCTGCACGACCACGGGGGTCCCAAATAAACATGAAGACATACCAAGACATGGATAAACATGGCGATTAAACCAACAAAAACGGAAAGTTAACTCACTAAAATTGGACTACTTAGGATAATTTGGGATTTGGATGCGAAAATATGGGATTTACCAACAACAATTACAAGTTTTAAGGGAACAAATATGATAAACCATGGGATGTGGGGTTTATAATGGTTTATACCCCACGTCTGGATAATCTGGATTTCCATGGTCGCTTTCGAAACACTCCCCATCTGCCAGTAAGAATTACATAGAATTACTGGCTTCCCTCAAAATGCCAGAAATAAAAAACGCGAAAGCCTGTTGAATCCACATAAACAAAGCCATGTTGGTGTGTGTGTGTGTATGTGGAAATGGATGGAAATGGATGGAAATGGATGGAAATGGATGGAAATGGATGGAAATGGATGGAAATGGATGGAAATGGATGGAAATGGATGGAAATGTGGTATATCCCCAGCATATCATGCGTGAACATGATTATATATAGACCATGGGATACTTCGGGATACTGATACTACTGATACCCGACCTTTAAACAGACCCGCACATGTTCAAAATGTTTCAAAGACCTATACTTCTTTCGGTTTGATTGATTTACTCATAATTATCCCGATTTACCCGGTGGTAATCAAACGTGGCAACGAAAAATCAATTGTTTGTAGATGATTTGTCCAGCTAGAAACCTCTACAGGGGATTTCCAGCTAGCCACGTTTGATTACCAAGGGGTACTACTAGAGTTTCTAGTTTCGAATTCTGGCTGGAGCACAACAAATCCGAAGGAAAATGGAGGTGTCTAGCTGGGAAAAATCTGAAAAAATGGTGGATTTTCCAGCAAACCATGTTTGGACTACCGGAAACTTATCAATTTCATTCAATTTCCCATGGCCATTAGCTATCTTCTCTAATTAGCTTCCGACAAAAAATCACCGTTTTGCCATGGTTGAACTACCATTGCTTGGGAACCTGGAAACGCTGAGGAAACGCTTAACCCTCGTCTCAAAGGGCCTCGTCCAGGGTGAATTTCTTCAGCTCCTGGTCGTTGAGGACATTTAGGGTTGAACAGTTAAACACGCGTTTCAACTACAGTGTATATATTTCCCTCTCTCTCTCTATTTATACATATATATATATATAGTATGATATAATCTAATCTATAAAATATAAATAATATAATATAATGTAATGTAATATAATATAATATAATGTAATGTAGTGTAATGTAATGTAATATTATAATATAATATAATACAATATAACATAATATTTTTTAAATAGTATAATATAATATAATATAATACAATATAATGTAATGTAATATAATATAATATAATGCAATGTAATATAATATAATATTATAACATAATATAATGTAATACAATATAATATATTTAAATAATATAATATAAGATAACACAATACGATATTAAAAACATATAATCATATAATATCATATTATATCATATTATATTATATCATATAACGTGTGCGAACCCCCCATCCCCAACTCGCGATGATTTACTGTTTAGTTGTTTTGGATAATTGGGTAGAAAACGTCTGAACTAAAGGCAATGATTGCCCCCTCTTCCAAAAAAACTTCTATCTTTAAGGCATGTTATATACATCTTTGAAAGATGTCCTCAGGTTCTTGCTCAGGATTGCTGCATCCTTTCAATAAGCAATCTATCTTCAAACACAGCCCACGTATATACTCAACTCTTTGAAAGCTACTGCGCACTTTCAATGAAGGGCTTAAAAGGCAATTGCATTTGTTCATGAAAATAGTGTATCTTCAATATGCAAAGAAAAATGCACTTCTTTGAACGACTACTTCAGACCTGAACTATCTTAACTTCGCTTTGTTGAAAGGAAACACCATCCAAGATTATAGTTGATTTTCCCATTAAGACCTTCATTTATCTTCATCATGGTCCTACATGATCCCCTCATTTTCCCATGCATCAACTGCTGCTTCCCAGCCAGCCACGCTGGCCTTCGAGCTGCTTTTTGGATGCAAAGGCACCAACAAAGTCTTGCCCTCCTCCTGCATGGGATGGGTCAAAACTGACCATCAGCCTGACCAAAACTGTCCATGACAAATGGACCGTCATCCGGAATAAAACTCCGAGTATTTCGAGGTAGTGATCCTTTTTCGATTTTCCCTTAAACCAATCCATTGATCCTTGTAACACATGAGAACCATATTCTAAGCCAGTTATTCTTCAAGATTTTTTTAAACACACCATCTTATAAACCAGTTCTAGATGGAATCCCAACCCCGTTTATACTTGGATAGGCAATCGAATTAATTCACTAGTTAGAAAATTGATCATCATTGAGGATAGTTCGTGGGTTATAGCCAAAGAAAAATTATGAACCAATGAGCTAATTCCATGGCCCATCAAAGTAGATTTCACCATTATATTCCCATTTTCCAATCATATTCCCATGAATCACCATCAATCATCAATTAAATAATCACCACTAATTCCCATTGAAAATATGGAGGTTTCCTAAAATGATGGTACCCCAAAAAGAATCATTTGTTTCAAGGATTTGCCGTTATAACATTTTTTGGGGGTACCCCCATGACTTAGGAAACCTCCATATCGCATCGAACGCAAAGGTTGGTTGCCATGGCTATCCAGTGGTGATCAACCTTGCAAGATCTGGAGATGGGTTACCCGGCCTGGTAAACGTTTACAGAAAACTATGGAAAATCACATGAAAATCACCATGTTTAATGGGAAAACTCACTATGTCTATGGCCATTTTCAAGTTCGCAAACTCTTAGTTTATCAGAGGGTATATGGGTTCATCATCTCCCAATGGCGCGATAGATGGCAATAGGATGATTCTTGGCCTATCTCTCTGGCAGCTTCGACGACTTTTTTCCCGGTTAAGGCGTCCTCTCTGAAGACCAGGCTCTTGTCCTCGTTCTTCTCGAGGACTTTGGATCCTTGGGGAGTCCGACTCCGTTGAGGGGATCTTGACACAGTTGTTTCTTCGAAAAGAACATGGGGTACACTGAAAAATACCAAGTTATTTATCTATTGATTGGGAAGAAAATACTAAAGATTGAGTTTTAAGGGACATTTCTACACGTGTGGAATCCAAAAACCATCAAACTTAGCTAGCTTTAGGAAGGAATCAAATGTTTGAGGGGGTTCCCCAATTGAGAGAAACACCCACATGGATGTGGATGAAAACAGTGGTATGTTGGATTTCACATCTAAACAGCTTCTGCTCATGTGTGTTCATTCCCCTAGTCAACATGGGAAAAAGAACATATAGCTTCTGACCCAACCCACTATCCGAAAGAGACATGTGACCATCTCAATCAAACATGGAACAATATCCTAAGCACCATTGATTTAACATATGGAACATGCAGCATTTATGGCATTTTTCAAGGAAAACCTTCGGTCCATAGTGTCCTTTTGGGAAACATACACGAGCCGCTTTGGTATATCTTGTACCTATGGCTTGGTGGGGAAAAAAACCATCTAATCAACGACTGCAACCAGTGGGATTGCAGGATATGCCTTGGTTTCTCCATAGTAAAACAAGCATCTTTGACTGCACCCTCTGGTAATTTGTTACAGTTCCCTATTGAAAATGACCATAGAAATAGTGGATTTACCCAGCTAGATAGCATGGTGGATCGTTCCATACCCATAGGATCCATGGTGCTGGTATATATGCTAACATGACTGGGGTATATTGATGGGATCCATGGAGCACCATATATAGCAGCACCATGGATCCGTCATGGGATAGTTTTTTGTAAACGTTGACCAGGCCGGGTTTTTTCACGCCCGGTCACCTTTACCCGCTCGCTCGAAAATGCAGATTTGCACCTGGCGACGGTTTTTAGGGGAGGAATGACCAGGAGTCGTAGCTGCTGGTCATTCCCTTTAAGTCAAACTGTCATGACTCATGGGATTCAATTAATGGTTTAATGGTGGTTTAATGGTGGTTTTTCATGGGATAAAAAACCCAACAAAAAAATGGTGATTTTAATGGGATTTAACTATGAACAATGGTGGTTTAATGGGATAAAAAACCAACAAAAATAAGGTGATTTCTAGATGGGAATTCTATATATATATATATAGTGGGTAAAACAATGTCACAAACCAACCATGACTGGGAATGGTCAACATACCACCTATAAACATGGTGATGATTGGGGGATGGTGCAGATTGAATTGTTTCACCAACAACATTATGTTTGATCTCTGATATTCTAACTAACCTTGTAATTGTAAAATCCGTGCTGAGGTATAGTGATTCACTAAATTGGATTTGTCGTTTACAAATTGTCCAATGAAATTCGATGGTTTCTCGGTTTCTCATCAATAAACATTGGCATTTTTGATAGGGGCATGAAATCAAACTAGAAAAAAATTTGGATACAATCCAGATGTGCTCAGCTGCTTTGTTCCGTCACGTTCCGTCTATTTGAAAAACATGACCGTCACAGTCCGTCACAAAAAAAAAACATCAATCGTCCATCCCCCAAGTCCTACCAGGGTCTAAGGCAGGGTCAGTTGGATCCAATCCCATCCGAGTTTTCCACCGGAAATCTGGGATGGGAATGATGGGAGTTGCGCAAGACCCAAAGCGATTTTCCCAGACACGGCTCCAGTCTGATCCACTCTCCATCAGTTGCTGCTTTTCCCAGCATTTTTCATAGTGAAACCCCACATATGGAGGTTTCCTGAAATAGGGCTACCCCGAAAAATCATCCATTTTGATAGGATTTTCCATTATTAACCAACCATTTTGGAGATCCCCCGTTTATGGAAACCCCACATAATTCGCTGCTTGAGACAAAGCCACAGCCAAAGCAGTTGCTGCAGCTGTGCCTCCTGCGGGATAGACCATGGCAGTTTTCAGAATCAAAAATAATGGTTTAACAAAAAAAACAATGGACTTCCGAACTCGAAACTAGGATTCAACAACTTGAGATGGAGAAAAACTATTCAACTGGATTTAGTGAAAAGACGCGGAGCTTAAACATGTTTCAACCAGCAAAAGATGGTAAATCGATGTTTTTGAAGTGAATACATGGTTGCTGAACTGGATTGTCTCAAGCGAAGTATGTGAAAAACAACTTTAAACATCGATCCAAACCCAATTGCAAAGCAATGAACCTTGAAGTTTAGATTTGTGGTTTTACCTATCAAGTCACAGCAATCTTCAGAAGTCATTTGGATCTTGGAACTCCACCAGCAATTCACCAGGGTTGACCAGCAAATACCCGGCCTGGTAATGGAGGTTTTAATGGGAAAACCATAGGAAAACCACAGGAAAACCATAGGAAAATGGAGGTTTACCCTCTGGTTATGACTAACAGTTTGCGAACTTGAACATGTAAACAAATATAACTATTGAATATGGCCATAGAAATAGTGGATTTACCCAGCTAGATAGCATGGTGATTTTCCATAGTTATGTAAACGTTTACCAGAGGGTACTGGTGGTTTCATATAGATCCCCCGTTCTTGGATTATTGTAATCCCCAGTATATGAAGGGTAGTATATCTCCTATTTTCATCAACCACCAGGCTTTTGAACACTGCTCAATTGTTGGCAACCATGAAACGCTGTAAATAATGGGATTATAACCGGATGTTGACCATCTCAATGCAGGATTTCACAACCATCCACAGTATGTTGAGCACACCGTCCAACCAAACTCACAGAAAACTCGCTACTAAAGCGATATGATTGCAGTGGAACTTTGATGGTTTTTTAAAGTTGAGAACCAGTAACATCCAACTTATTAGGTTTCCAGCCTGGATATATAATATATCATATCTTTGTTGGACATGGATTTATTGGGTACTAAGCAAGGATCCAGCTAGTTTGCTCAGGGTTTCTATCCGTTTGCTGAAGCCACAACATCTTCCATTCACCTCTTCGGACAGGTTCCCTGCCAGTCGTCACTTTCATTGGATCGAAAGGGAAAAACACAAAAAACAGGACGCCGCAGTTATTTTTTTTAATGTGCTGTAAAGATAGGGAAAAAAAATCTCCTAAAAAAAAACCTTGAATAGGAAAAAAAACTTCATCATCATCATCATCATCAGCATCATCCACTTAAATCCACTTTGGAATATGAACAAATCATGGAAGATCATCTAATTTCCGTGGTTTATCCTCATGTTCCTATATTTTCCCTATGAAATTTGGCCCCAACAATGGGCTCTTCATCCACCAACCTTTTCGGCCAGTCCTAAGCGGAGCATGCGGGCCGTAATGCATTCATCCAGGATATCGGACCTTGCACCGTTGCTCTTCCGATTCATTTGTTGGATGCAGCAATCTCAAAAAAAAACTATAGGTAGTATATGTATGTATGTCATGTAATGTAATGTAATGTCATGTAATGTCATGTCATGTAATGTAATGTCATGTAACGTACTGTAATGTAATGTAATGTAATGTACTGTAATTAATGTTATGTTATGTTATGTTATGTTATGTTATGTAGGTAATGTAGGAAATGTATGTAATGTATGTAATGTATGTAACGTATGTAACGTATGTAACGTATGTAACGTACGTAACGTACGTAACGTAGGTAACGTATGTAACGTATGTACCGTATGTACCATAGGTACCGTATGTACGTATGTAGGTATGTAGGTATGTAGGTATGTAGGTATGTAGGTATGTAGGTATGTAGGTTTGTATGTGTGTATGTGTGTATGTGTGTATCTGTCTGTGTCCGTGTGTCTGTATGTCTGTATGTCTGTATGTCTGTCTGTCTGTATGTAATGTAATGTAATGTCATGTCATGTCATGTCATGTAATGTAGTGTAATGTAATGTCATGTCATGTAATGTAATGTAATGTCATGTAATGTAATGTAGTGTAGTGTAATGTAATGTCATGTAATGTAATGTCATGTAGTGTAATGTAATGTAATCTCATGTAATGTAATGTAATGTCATGTAATTTAATGTAATTTAATGTAATGTAATGTCATGTAATGTCATGTAATGTAATGTAATGTCATGTAATGTCATGTCATGTAATGTAATGTCATGTAATGTAATGTACCGTAATGTAATGTAATGTACTGTAATTAATGTTATGTTATGTTATGTAGGTAATGTAGGAAATGTATGTAATGTATGTAACGTATGTAACGTATGTAACGTATGCAACGTATGTAACGTACGTAACGTAGGTAACGTATGTAACGTATGTACCGTATGTACCGTAGGTACCGTATGTACGTATGTAGGTATGTAGGTATGTAGGTATGTAGGTATGTAGGTATGTAGGTATGTAGGTATGTAGGGGTGTAGGGATGTATGCGTGTATGTGTGTATGTGTGTCTGTGTGTCTGTGTGTCTGTCTGTCTGTATGTCTGTATGTCTGTATGTCTGTATGTACTGTACTGTAATGTACTGTACTGTAATGCATATCCATTGGATTCAAATCAACGCATTTTTTTTTTGCATGCCAATTCAGTTTTGAGACTATGAGCCTAGGAAACCATCTCAGCAGCTTTTTGACTTCGGGTTTACCACTTGAGACATGACTGTAGTTTCTGTACCAGTAATTATACAGTATACATCAGTATACCATGTTTAGACCCTCAATTTACCCGCAACAAACGGCAAAACGTACCAAATGGTGTTGTAATTCTATGTAATTCACCTAGTTACATTGTCTTTTACAAGTACATGGACAAAAATGGACAAATAAATGAGAACCTAGGCAGTTCTCAAACAGATCCTGACTGAGTCAAAAAGCACACCGCCCAAAATCTCCGCTATGCTTCCGTACGAGCCATTGCCTCAAAGATGTGCTGTCTGTTGCTGTCAGGATGTTGGGGGTCGACAAATAACGGAGGTACCCTCCGGTAATTTGTTACATAGCTATTGAAAATGGCCCATTTATCCATTTATAGTTGATTTACCCATTAATAGCATGGTGATTTTCCATAGCTATGTAAACGTTTACCAGGCCGGGTAACTGGAAGACATCGGACCGGATTTGACCATCGAAAAAAAATCATGGAATTTACATCCACCGATATCCAGCCAACGGCTACAGTTAATTAAGGCCACAGTTGTGCAAAATCAACCATGTTTTTTGTGGGATGTGACATACCTTGACTTATCAGAGGAAAAACAAAGGAAAAAATGCATCAAACATGCATCAAGTGTTGCTGTATTGTGATCTTCCATGTGGTGTCCAACGCGGCCCCTCGAGTTTTATTGCCAACAGTGTGTCACCAGACATGTTGATGGTCTTTCTCGCAAACAAAAACGCTTTTTGCCGATTTCAGTTCATGAACTTGATTTGCCAGCCAAGCCATAATTGATCTATTCATTTCCGGCCTCTTGTTGTGATATTTACCACTACAGGGAAGGGATCCCAATCATCGCTTAGTCTTGGACTTGCTTAAGGGGTTCCAAAAATACAAAACCTATTCCCTATGGATCCCCCATTCGTGGTGGATTCCAATTTCGAAAAACAACAAATCGTCTCAGCAAATCCATGATTATAGTTGATTTTCCCAGGAAAATACTGGTTGGTGGTTTTAACCATCTTGAAATATATGAAAGTCAATCGGAAGGATTATCCCATATATTATGGAAAATAAAACATGTTTGAAACCACCAACCAGTGGATAATAGAAATTGAAATATAGATATACCAGAAATTTACCATAGATGCCATAGATAATATAGATAGACATAAATATCTATGAACTTTTAACACCTCCATTGATGGATATTCTTCCTACAGTTTCCCACGATTTTCCTGGGAAACTCCTATGGGAACCCGCCAGTCACTGGGCCAGTTTCCCTGGGCAGTCTGGGCATCCCGTCCATAGCCCAAGGCAGTTCCAACACACCCAGCCTTGGATATTTCAACAGAGGCAAAACCAGGACGCCATGCATCTGAAATAACCATGAATCAATCATTGTTTTTTATTATCAAAAACACATATCAATATATCAAAACGCCATCAAGAACCATTCATATAACCATTAATAAGCCTTCATTTAAATTGATGTAAAACTATAAACATGAATAATTCACCAACGTGAAATGAAACCATCTGAAGCGATCTATTTTGGGAATGTTTTTTGGAGAGTTTATCCCCAAAATAACCATCATGCCAGCGACGGAACCGCAGGCTTCGTGATAATATAACCTGCATGGAGCCTTCACTGCTTGGTGGTTGAGCCTACCCCTCTGAAAAATATATGATATAGTCAGTTGGGATGATGACATTCCCAATATGATGGGAAAAATAAAAAATGTTTGAAACCACCAACCAGGCTTCAGAATTGGACGTTAACCAAGCAAAACTGAGATGGAACTAGCAACAACGGGGAGGCTTGCCGTCAAAAAGATGAAGGTCTAACGGTCGAACGATGTTCTCTCAACAAAATGGACATTCAGCTAGCAACAATGTGGACTTCTCGATCCGAGAAATGCCGGTCAACTCGTCATTCGTGGTGTTTTTCGAAATGGGTCAGATGGGACCACATTCATATGCTGGTCAGATTCAGCTTCCCAAGCTTTACCCTCTGGTAAACTAACATAACTATTGAAAATCACCATTTTTAATGGGAAAATCAACTATAAATGGCCATTTTCAAGTTCGCAAACTGTTAGTTTACCAGGCCGGGTAGGTCCAGTTTTAGCCATGTGAAGCAACCTGGCCAGCATAGCAAAGCATAGCGCCCCAAGATGAATTGGAATTACTGCTTGGTGGTATACCTACCCCTCTGAAACACATGGTCAGATGGTGATTAATGGTGATTTAATTATGGTTAATGATGATTAATGATGGTTAATAATGGATCTGCTTGGTGGTTTCAACCTACCCCTCTGAAAAATGATGGAGTGAAAGTCAGTTGGGATGATGACATTCCCAAGATATGGAAAGTCATGAAATTCATGTTCCAGTCACCACCAACCAGAATTAGAAACCACCCCGCTGCGAATCATGCGAATGATCATCCTTTCAAAAGAATCAGAAAAGGAATGGAACATCTTAAGACGTTTTTCGGGTATGTGGGTGAACTCAAGTCAAGTTTCATAAAGGGTCATCCGGCCGGTCTCTTTTCGTCCTAAAACTGAAAACACCAAAGGTGACCCCCAAAGATGATCATAGATGGTTCATAAACCCTTACCCTCTGGTAAACTAAGCTTTAAAAAAAAAAATATTCCATAGGCTAAACGATAAACTATGATAAACTCTAGCATCCAAATTTTCGTGGCTGTGCTTAAGCCTTCAATATATGTCACTCTTATTTTGGGGGTCAGCTTTATGGCCATGCTGGATGAAAGCATCAGAACACGGCACGGCCGCATGGCCGGCGCGGGAGCACAGCCCAACACTTCAATCTACTGGTAGCTGTAATATGTTCCATCAATATCAAAATATCAAAACATATCCAACATTCTCCATTTACTAATATGATGGTCCCATGACAACCCTGCATTCAAAAAGCTTTTTTTCCCATTGACTGATTGCCGGAGGGTATCCAGCCATCAAACAACGACCATCGAACTTCAGAAACGCCAGCCATGTTGGATTCCCAAGAAACTAACACAGAGCTGATCATGTGCCCTGCCCCGCCGCCAGTGGCCCTGGCAGATGAAGCAGTGGTGCATCCCGACCGACTCAAAAAACAGGGCGAAATTTTCCACAAAACCCGGGCGAATCGAAAAACATCTCTTAAGAGTGACTGAAAAGAGATGTTTTAAAATGTTTTAAATACTGGTTGGTGGTTGAGCCTACCCCTCTGAAAAATATTAGTCAGTTGGGATGATTGTTCCCAATATATTGAAAAATAACAAATGTTGCAAACCACCAACCAGAATATGTAAAACAAACTCATACAAGGCTAAGACCCCATGATGATCAGCCCAATCAATGCATACACCGTTCTGAATGGATCTTACCCCAGAAACTGGGGACATGTCTACGGTGGATGGTTGCGAAATCCTGCACCAGTTGATAGATGGTTTATCCTAGTATTTATAGGCTTTCTACATCTTTCTACCATCCCAGGTGGTGCAGGATTTCGCTGGCCCATCCACAGTATGCCAACATTCACGCAATGTTTTTGCGTCTTATTTGTTCTACTGGAAACCATGATCTTCCCACACACGCTTGGGATCCATAGAGAATGTGTTGAAAAACAATCAGATCAATCAGATTGTGCCTCTAGCAGTGGTTCGGAGCTGCTGAAACAAGTATGTGACAACTATGTGATTAAGAAGGTGCTATAGAACTTCAAGAAACGCGTCAGTGCTCAGAAATTTGTTCGGCACATTTATCTATAGTTCGGACAGTGGATACAAAAATAAAACTTGCCTGGTTGGTGGTTTCAACGTACCCCTCTGAAAAATATGACTTCGTCAGTTGGGATGATTTTTCCATTCCCAATATCTGGAAAGTCATTCAAAATGTTTGAAACCACCAACCAGTATATATATATATCATTAACCATTATTAACCATTATTAACCACCATGAAAACCACCATGAAAAGCACCATTAAAAGCCATGGTTCCATGGTTCCAGTCACCACCAATCAATGATGGGTTCTCTGGATGATCTTCCAGGAATCTGATGGGTTGCTCCCAACATTCCAACGTTAGGGATATTTTTAAGGGCCACATATCGAGGTAAAAACCATCCGATTCACCTGGTGTTCAAGGGAATATGAGCAATGACAATTTTACACCCCTGTTGTTTGATTGTTGTAAAAGGATGCTAATTTCATGTTAATTTGGAAAAAAAACATCAAATCATCAATTATATATATATAACAATTTTTGACTATCGAAATATGTGGGAATCAAATTGGTAAAAAAAATCGATGATGGATGATTACACGGGAAATCGCACTGTTTCTTCCTACACCAACTGAGGTTTACTGGGGAGATCGTCCATGATGGGAATCCCGTTACCAACCTGAAAGCAAATTTATTCAATATCTGGTTGGTGGTATACCTACCCCTCTGAAAAATATGAAAGTCAGTTGGGATGTTTATTCCCAGTATATCAAAAATAAATGTTCTAAACCACCAACCAGATATACTCTATTTCGCGAGTAATGATGAGTAATGACAGAAACATTTTCACACTTTCTTCATTCCAGAAACGAAACACCCACGTTCGTATCTCATGTTCATTCATGTTCTGATGATTCAATACTATCAATGTTCCTGGAGGATCCTCCCACTTAATGCGTGATAAGTAATCCTAGTAAGTCCCATAAGTGGGGTTATAAAGCAATAATACTTGCAGCATCCCTAGTTTTACTATATTTATGGATGCTATAAACCACCTATGGCGGCTTTATCATTGCTTTACCGATATTGCCTGGGTATAACTGGGTTATAACCACAGTCACCAGTTTCTATCGGATCTGCCTGCAGGCTTGACGATGGGATGTTTTTCAGCTACCGAGCCGAAAGGCAACATGTATACTGTATGTGTATGCAGATACATGAATATAAACGGCATCATGCAATGTAAAAAATATATATAGTATCATTTATATTTATGTATGTATAATTGTGTATATATATACATACAATGTATACAATCTGATATCAGGATTGTCGCATATGATGCATATGTTGTGCAAAAACAAAGGCTGCAAAAACAGAACAGCAGAATACAATGAATCATAATTGTAAAACATGTAACTTATCTTTAAAATAACACATAACAATATGCACATAATTTGAACAGCAATGAATCAATATAGAACATTCACAAATATAGTATATCTGGCAGGTATTTCAATTAGTAACACGCATTATACAAGTATCAAATATCATTACCCTCTGGTAAACTAACATAACTATGGAAAATCACAATTTTTAATGGGAAAACTCACTATATGTATAATATATATATATGTATATATATATATATAAATGGTCATTTTCAATAGCTATCTTAAATTACCAAAGGGTTACAAAAATAATATGATTGGAAATACCCCAGAACACAACGTTGGTGAAAAAACGATTCTTTTCCAGTGGGGTGATATACCCGTTAAAGGATTGTGCACTCTCTGAGACAATCTGGTAATTTAACAGTTTGCTGTTGAAAATGGTCCATTTATAATTAGTTGATTTTCCCATTAAAAATGGTGATTTTCCATGGTTTTTTGTATGTTTACCAGGCCGGATAACCAATCTGTTTATAGATACTCCCATCCCTCTACCGTCAAACTATTCTGGTTGGTGGTTGAGCCACCAACCCCTCTGAAAAATATGAGTTCGTCAAATGGGATTACTGTTCCCAATATAATATATATATATATATATGTATATATATATATATGGAAAAATAAAAAATGTTCCAAACCAGCAACCAGTATTAATGGGATTAGAATGGCTAAGAATGTGTCAGAAAGAGATTCCAAAATATTCTAAATGCACCCCACTTGAAATCAGCGGAAAACAATAACATACGGATCATACGTATGTGTTCTATCCCATTTTCCCGGCGTTATCTCATCTCTTACCATCTGGCCATAATATGGTGACACCAACATAGCCCAAGAAATTGATGATCATCCGAGAATCTCTTTGTGCTGGTTACATCCCCATTTCTATAGATTACCCTGTGGTAAACTGTTACATAACTATGGAAAATCACAATTTTTCATGGGTAAATCCACGATTTCAATGGGCCATATTCAAGTTCGCAAACTGTTACATACATCCCCCATTTCTATTGGTTACATCCCCCATGTCTATAGGTCTTGAAACTGAGAAATCTCAACGCGGCTCATCTCAACTTGCAACTCTCGCGGCAGCCATTAGGAAGTTACTTGCTCATTGGGCTATGTATGAAAATTCTTTGTATTGGACACACTTTTTCCGTGGCAGCAACAGCGCTTCTTGGAGCATTATTTTTACTGTAGCCACATTACGCCAAGACATCCTCAGACAAGAACCTTATTTTTGCTGCTTGGTGGTTGGTATACCTACCCCTCTGAAAAATATGAGCCAGCCAGTTGGGATGATCATTCCCAATATGATGGGAAAGTCAAAAAAAATGTTTGAAACCACCAAAAGAGTTTCTAATCAATTTGTTTGGTCTCTTACTGGTTGGTGGTTTTAACCATCTTGAAAAAATATTAAAAAATATTAGTCAATGCGAAGGATTATCCCATATATGAAATGGAACATGAAAATGGTTGAAACCACCAACAAGATTTTGTTATCGTGTAAAATGACATTTTGATTCTCCCTTCCTGCGTTTTCTCCGTGGGACATACAAATGATCTAACTCGGATATCGCTAGAATCACCATGCAGTTTCAGTAACATGATGTTGATATATGTTAACAGTTAACATAATTTAACATACATATTGTAATATAATTATGGTTATCGTTGTTTTTCTTCCTTAATTATCGTTTTTACAGTGCATGGGCTATGTCCAGTAAAAATGCGGACCCTCAGAACGTACCCAATATGACATCTTCTTTAAAAAAATCGAATCAACCCCCCGTCGGTATGGTTTACAAAAAAAGGCAAACGGATCCATCCAATCTGTGCTGCCTTCCACTGATCCCCACATGAGCATCGGTTGATAGGGGTTCCCACAATAGATCATAATTTCCATTAAACATCATTGAACTATACCCAGCAGAACTCCCTATCATAATCAATCAACGATAAGGGTTTTGGTCACTTCATATGTCTCCATTGTATCCCACGCATCCCACGCCGTCGCAGTTGTTTTTTTTCAGGAATTGCCCCAGAAAGAGGTCGCGCTCCACGATTTTGCATCAGCTTTCGACGCCTCACAGCGTGGCCGGCCACGCCTTTCTGGGGATACCCTAAATCGCTATGAAACCGGTTGAAATTGCCACTCGATTTGAGTAGTTGACTAAAATCGATGCTTTGGGTGGTTGCTTCCGTAGATTATCAGATAATCTAGTGGCATAATCTGATAATCTACGGATGCAACTAAAGTTTCTAGTTTCATCTGGTCTTCCTCTGCTTGGTGGTCATGTTCTTGGTGAATCGCTGAAGAACCCCAGCCGAGAAATATGAAAGTGTGTACCGATTTCAAAGATTTCAACCTGGCAACACAGACAGAATACATCCCAATTGATTGATGATTTTCTCATGAAGAAACAACATTGATTGGGATTGAACATGTTGTTTCGGAGCGCGTTATTGGGATCATTTGTAATTATAAATCCAGTAAATGCTTCATATCGTTTAACATGGTTTAACTACCACAAAAACAATCCATTTGAGAGTGAAATTCCATAAACAAATACATTCAATTTCAATCTAATCATCCAATCAGATCCCATTAAAGCCAAGTAATTCTATCAACCTCATGAAATAACCATTTGTGGGGATATTCCCTAAAAAATAGGCCTAAAACATAGGCCTTATTTGTGGTAAGTACCTCCAATAAATCGGTTCCTGTTGCATGGCCGTTGATATTTGTGCCAATCTACTCTGTGGTCTTTTCTACCAGCAGCGATTTTGGTCGAGAGGCCCTGTCAACATTGCGATGGTCTCGACCAATAGGTCGCATTCTCAGCCAATACCAAATACCAAAGGGTTTTGGCTGACAATTTAACAATGGTGTATCTGGTTGGTGGTTTTAACATGTTTTAAGCATCTTGAAAAATATGAAAGTCAATGGGAAGGATTAGCCCATATATTATGGAAAATATCAATGTGATACACATCTTTGGTGTAAGTTTAGATACCCTCCTGTAAACGTTTACATAAACTATGGAAAATCACCATTTTTTATGGGTATATCAACTAGAAATGGTCATTTTCCATAGCTATGTTAGTTTACCAGAGGGTAACAATGGTGTATAAAAAACTACATGATCATAAATAATGACAATTCGATGTCATAATCATAATTCATAACATCGATTAAGGATAAATACCCTCTGGTTATTTAACATAGCCATGGTATAGGATGAAATAGATGGTTTACCTGGGTTTACAGTACTTAATAGCATGGTGGATCTTTCCATGGCTATGTTAATTAACTAGATGGTAATACGAAATCATAATCTAAGGTTAACTATCCCGGGTCAACTTTGCTGGTCACTTACTAAGGCACCCTTTGAGTACTTGGGCACCCTGTCCTGCCACCAGGAGTGCTCCTCCATCTCCTGTGGCACATCCGAGCATTGGGACACTGAAAGATCTGAAAGAAAGGATTGGGGAGAAAATGGCGGAGATTCAAACTTTGAAGCCATCATACCATTATTAACCACTATTAAGCATTATTGACCATTATTAACCATGATTGACCAGTATTATATAATAATGGTAAATAATGGTTTCTACTGTTTTCACGGTTTTGGATCTATATGGATTTCTTGTATTTTGAGGCTTTGAGGTTCCATAAACTGTATTTCAATTCGCAAGGTTTGGGACATGACATTTTGACAAAGCGCTACTGTGCACGATACCTTCCTTATGACATTTAAGATTCAGTTTATCTTAACGTGGATAACTGGATAAGCTTGGACATTGATCACATCGATGCCCTGAGAAATATCAATGTGATACACATCTTTGATGTAAGTTTAGATACCCTCTGGTAATTTAACATAACTATGGAAAATCACCATTTAGTTCGTAAAATATTCCCATGAAAAATGGTGGATCTTTCCATGGTTATGTAAACGTTTACCAGGCCGGGTAAACACCAATGGACCGTTGACTGGTCAGCCTTGTTCCCTGCTCAGTCCTACCGGATTCCAACAGTAGATGAGTTGGTTGACAGTACCATTTACCCTCTGGTTATGTCAAACATAGCTATTGAAAATCACCATTTAATTCGTGAATTGTCCCATTAAAAATGGTGATTTTACATAGTTATGTTAGTTTACCAGGAGGGTATCCATTTCAATTTACCCGATGATACCCCCACATATACCCAATTATAAATTATATAACAGTAACTGGCTACATACCCAATGAATCCCAATTATATACCCGTCATATCCCAATCATATCCTCATAGTTGTTGCATCGTCAAGTTAATGGCCATGATTTCCAACTATGTACCACTTATAAACCAATACACATTGTATTTATATGTAATATAATGTGTATATATATAATATACATATATATATAATATTATATATATATGCACTATATAATATACATATAAATATATAATATTAAATATATATATATATATGTGCACTATATAATATTATGTATATAGGTATAATATGTAATATGCTATATAATTAGACTACATATATAGTATCGCCATTGTTTCCATTCATCGCCCTGTGGTCGTCCCCCGTGAGGCTCGCCGCACCTTGGATTCAACGGCTTCCGCTGGTCTCTCCCACATCTCTTTCGCTTTGCCTGAGACCGAAGAGACGTGTTTTGGGCTTGTGCCCCCCCAAAGGATGGGTTTTGTTGGGAAAATCTTAACCGGAAAAACCATGGTTTTTGCCATTTATAGGGGTTTAATTTTAACCAGAAACCATGGGTTTTGCCATTTATAGGGGTTTCCGGTTAAAATTTTCCCATCATCCAATTCTATGACCCAACAGAATGTAGGACAACATTGGGAAAACATTATGTTTTAAATACTGCTTGGGGGTATACCTACCCCTCTGAAAGATAGGAGTTTACTCTTTCTATCTTTTTTGTGCTGACTTGATGAAATGTAGAAGAGGTTGATGTTTAATAAGGGGTTTCTTGAAATGACGGCACTCCTGATTTTGTTTTGCAGAAGGACTTGATGAAATGTTGTACGGTTCAATGAGCTTGTTACACAGCTCCTTTAACGAACAATGGACCAACGATCCGCACCTATCCGCACTGACCATGACGAAAAACTATATTAAATTCTCGATGTAGACATGCTTGATTCATATCATCGTCCCAATATAACCCTTGCGAGTTGATAGTTATAACTCTCAGAGTTGACATCAGGATATGTTGCACGGCTGTTGTCAACTCTGCTATTTGGATCCTCGGGTCCTGACCATCAACTCCTTGATTCGTTTGTCATTGGGGCGATCAACCCCGCTGAAAATCGCTAGGTTTTTCCCCACATCTTTGTGTGGGGTTCTTGTTTTTGATTCTGTATCCCGGGCTCCTTCGCCTTCTCCTCGTCCTCCTCCCGCCGCCCGCCGCCTCCACATACCCAAACGTAACATACAATAACTTCACATACCCAAACTTAACACACACAAACTTCACACACACAAACTTCACATACAATAACTTCACATACAATAACTTCACATATCCAAACGTAACATACAATAACTTCACACACACAAACTTAACATACACTAACTTCACCTACAATAACTTCACATACCCAAACGTAACATACAATAACTTCACACACACACAAACTTAACATACACTAACTTCACCTACAATAACTTCACATACCCAAACATAACATACAATAACTTCACACACACAAACTTAACATACAATAACTTCACCTACATTAACACACACAAACTTCACACATACAATAACTTCACATACAATAACTTCACATACCCAAACGTAACATACAGTAACTTCACATACCCAAACGTAACATACAATAACTTCACACTTTCACGTGGTCGTTTTGCGTGGCAGGCGTGGCACTTGGTGACATCCACCTTGGTTTCACGTGGCAGGCACTTTGCGTGGCAGGCGTGGCACTTGGTGACATCCACCTTGGTTTCACGTGGCAGGCGTGGCACAAAACTCGCATCCACCGTCGTTTTGCGTGGCAGGCGTGGCACTCATGGTACTGGGTGGCGCGCTTGGTCCGGCTTGGGCGCCTGTGACGCCGCGGCACTTTGCGTGGCAGGCGTGGCACAACCTGACATCCACCTTGGTTTCACGTGGCAGGCGTGGCACAAAGTCACATCCACCGTCGTTTTGCGTGGCAGGCGTGGGACAGATGGCACTGGGTGGCGCGCTTGGTCCGGCTTGGGCGCCTGTGACGCCGCGGCACTTTGCGTGGCAGGCGTGGCACAACCTGACATCCACCTTGGTTTCACGTGGCAGGCGTGGCACAAAGTCACATCCACCGTCGTTTTGCGTGGCAGGCGTGGGACAGATGGCACTGGGTGGCGCGCTTGGTCCGGCTTGGGCGCCTGTGACGCCGCGGCACTTTGCGTGGCAGGCGTGGCACAACCTGACATCCACCTTGGTTTCACGTGGCAGGCGTGGCACAAAGTCACATCCACCGTCGTTTTGCGTGGCAGGCGTGGGACAGATGGCACTGGGTGGCGCGCTTGGTCCGGCTTGGGCGCCTGTGACGCCGCGGCACTTTGCGTGGCAGGCGTGGCACAACCTGGCATCCACCTTGGTTTCATGTGGCAGGCGTGGCACAAAGTCACATCCACCGTCGTTTTGCGTGGCAGGCGTGGGACAGATGGCACTGGGTGGCGCGCTTGGTCCGGCTTGGGCGCCTGTGACGCCGCGGCACTTTGCGTGGCAGGCGTGGCACAACCTGACATCCACCTTGGTTTCACGTGGCAAGCGTGGCACAAAGTCACATCCACCGTCGTTTTGCGTGGCACCACCTTGGTTTCACGTGGCAGGCGTGGCACAAAGTCACATCCACCGTCGTTTTGCGTGGCAGGCGTGGGACAGATGGCACTGGGTGGCGCGCTTGGTCCGGCTTGGGCGCCTGTGACGCCGCGGCACTTTGCGTGGCAGGCGTGGCACAACCTGGCATCCACCTTGGTTTCACGTGGCAGGCGTGGCACAAAGTCACATCCACCGTCGTTTTGCGTGGCAGGCGTGGGACAGATGGCACTGGGTGGCGCGCTTGGTCCGGCTTGGGCGCCTGTGACGCCGCGGCACTTTGCGTGGCAGGCGTGGCACAACCTGACATCCACCTTGGTTTCACGTGGCAGGCGTGGCACAGAGTCACATCCACCGTCGTTTTGCGTGGCACCACCTTGGTTTCACGTGGCAGGCGTGGCACAAAGTCACATCCACCGTCGTTTTGCGTGGCAGGAGCTGTCACATAATCTGTTACCGACGCGTGTCTCACGGCCCGACAATGAGTCAAGCAATCTATGACGTCGGGAGCCAGAGCTTTGACCCAATGTGGGAAGAAGCGTATGCAGATGCGTGGCGAAGCGACACTTATGTGGAAAAAATCGCGACGCCTGTGTGTTTCTGAACTGTGCGGTTGCTTGACATCTTTGGAAAAACCTGCGCAGTTAGTGTCATGGTGTTTGCCTGTGACTGTGACTGTGTCGTGTCTTCCATAGTTGCATTGACAACCAGCTACATTCGTGTTCAACACTTCTGCGGCCAGGTACCTTTCCTCTATGTCATCATCGTCGGATGCATACATACATGCATACATGCATGCATGCATGCATACATACCTATACATACATACATACATACATACATACACGATCTTTCACCACCTCCTTTGTCTTTCCTTCCTTCCCTGTCCCCGCTGAAACCATTGAAGCTCATTTTAGGAAGAAGTTGACTTGTGGGGTTATCCGGTCCTTTAATTTGGGTGTCATTATCCCAAAGATGGTTGGATACATTGGATACAAAATATATGACCTATAAACGACTAAGCAACTAAGACCATTCACGCATGTAGAAACCGGCAATAAAATACGCGTTTCTGTCATTTGGGGTGGGGTGGGGTGGGGCAAAAACGTTCATGCTACGCTATGGGTATCTTCTCTTGCACTTGCACACACGCGTCATGCTACGCTATGGGTATCTTCTCTTGTAAGCGTTCCTAGGTTACTCGTTGGTGTACCCTTTCTTTCTTCACTGCCTTCCAGGATTGTTCCTGGAACCTGGCTTGTGCCTGGTCTTCTCTAATTTGGCTCTTAGTCTAAGTCTTTTGATTTCTAAAGCTGCTCTGGAAGTGCGGCTTTCCAAGCGATGGCCAGCTTTGCCGCAACCAGGACATTTGCGAGTCATGAAAGTTTTCCTACAGATCTTGCCAATTGAACATGATCAACTTTATCTATCTCTGAAACATGTCATTACTTGCAACCTAGATGCCTAGATTGTTAGTTTTTCGAATAAGGAATGAAAAAAAAATCTCTCCGTCATGATGAATGTTACAAAAACATGGTAAAAGACAGGGAAAATGATCATGTAAATGGCTGCGACACATATACATGAGACAAGCATGTCCAAGTTCCAAAACACTTGATCCAGAAAACGACGCAGATTGCTAAAATCCCAATCACCATCTGCAGATGGTAATTAACATAGCTATGGAATCTATGGAACCTTGAAATATCAACATTCTCAATAGGTCCATATAGTGTACATATAGGTCCTATCATCGAAGTAAATGCTTCTACATGGGCAATGATTTTAGATTGTCCATTCCCCATAGGATCCATGGTGCTGGTATACTAACATGACTGGGGTATATTGATGGGATCCATGTTACCATATATAGCAGCACCATGGATCCTATGAATTCTAAATGGTTCATCCCAAGTACAACCGGCGCAACAACGTTTGCATCGACCCCATCGACCCTGGGCGCCAGCACTCTTCCACGTTCCGTCCTGGACATGGAGCTACCAAACGATTCGACTCTTCATGGTACTGTATATTGATGTATATTGTATATATATATATACAGTAAGTAGTCAATGGATGTCTGGTTGGTGGTTTTAACATGCTTTAACCATCTTGAAAAATATGAAAGTCAATGCCAAGGATTATCCCATATATTGTGGAAAATAAAAAATGTTTGAAACCACCAACCAGATGTTCATGGGGGTTATACAAACTTATACCAACTTAGATGGGAGGGAGGGGTTACCTTTCCAACATTTTCAGTTGTTGGCCGAATGCTGCAACAGCAGAGAAGACAGGACAGTTGTACGCGTGAAAGTTGTGGAAAACGTCAATTTTTAGAGATATTATGGAGATACGAATGCCTTTCATTTTTTGGGATGTATTAGCGAATCTAGCTACCCTCTGGTAAACTAACATAACTATGGAAAATCACCATTTTCAATGGGTAATTCCACTATAAATGGCCATTCTCAATAGCTATGTTAAATTACCAGAGGGTAGTGTGTAGCCAAGGGTTTCTTTTGTTTCAAGGATACTTATGGGGTGCTACTTAAATTCGTGATCTGATCCACTTGGCCCAGTGCCAATTTGGGGAAGTGGTGTTGAAGTGTTCTTTCTTGGTCAGATTCAGGGCCAAGATTGTCATTCACTTGCTTAAACAACTGAAATCTTTGCACACCTCGAGTTTGCAATGGTTCATGGAAATGTCAAGTCCTTCACCCAAGAAAATTACCTGGATTCTGAATACCCGGTAGTGTATTTCAACATAGAAATACAGTACTACATGTACAGTATATAGATGCTTTAAGATGATTTACCGATTAAAAAAACGATGTTCAATGGCGCATTGTTAAATTACCAAAGGGCGTTGAGGGAGGGGTGGCCACATTGCGCCACGTCCCCGAAAGGATAGCACAGTTTTTGTTTCGATCATGTCATGATATTCACCTGTCACATGATTTCCAGGTGTCCAAGTTTTCTATCTGGGCATCAACCTCAAACCTCAAACCATCCACCGCAACAGGGAAATGTGGGAAAAAAACATGTAATTCCATGCAATGCTGTTTGTTCGGTTCAGAACGGAATTTCAAGCTATGGATGATAAATACATATTATCTAATTCAATCCCCAAGATGTTATTGGATAGTATAACCCGGAACAAAATCATAACCAACATCATCAACCATCACTAATTAAACATATCCGCAGAGTTTCTGTTCGTAAACACACCTATAGTAAGTTTTAGATGGTGAAATTCACAAAAAATCATCAGCAATCAGCTACTTAGATCCCCATGAATGGCTGATAATCTGTTCCAGGTGTTCATCATGATAAATAGTTATATAATCCACATGTGTATATTATATTATATTATATAATAATATATTATATTATATTATATTATATTATATTATATTATACATGATGTAAAAATTTAGCTAAATCCACATTAAATCAGCTACATCTGTTCCATGGCGAGAGAATCAAATCCCCCAGGTTGGTGCCGTTTGTGCCCCAAGGGCGCCTTCCACGGGTCGTGCTCCTTTGGCTCTTCTGCTTTGACCAAGGACTGTACGGGGCGCTGCCAAGGGCCGCTTTTCGGTTTTTTTTCTGCTCCGAAGATATGAGAAGATCCCATGAAAATCCATGGTTTCCGAATAGCAAAACTCATGGAAAGGAAAAAAAACCTATGGGAAAACCCAGAGATGATCTAGATGTTTGTTTACAAGAATACCTTGGCATAGGAAAAAATAGATAAAATCGATTGCGAATGGATTGCCGACAAGACTGAAAAATCGTGGTATCAATGGGATGTTCACTCAATAGCAAGTACTACACCCATCCTGAAGTAGATAAACACCTGAGTTAGATCAATCCTAAGTCCGGACTGTCATCTCAAATTGAAATTAAGCGAAAAAACACCAATATGAGGACAGATTTCCATGAAGTAATATGACGTTTTTTTTTAAAGATTTACTAGCAATATGAAAATTGCGGGCCGCCGTGGGAGGTGGCCAGGGCGCAGCTGTGGAGGGACCCGTTGGCGCGAAGTAGCTGGGCGACAGGACAGCAAATGGAGAGGTTGCTAAGGCCAATCTGGGATCAACAAAGGGCGAGGCGGCAGTGGCTTCCTGAGCAGGAAGAGCCGGCGCCTTTGGATCCAGGGCGCTGCCTGGGGGTAGTGGGCTTGGAGGCTTGCTTCTTCGTAGGAGGTTGCTGCGAAGGCTCGGCATACCACTCCCAACTTGGCCATTGAGCAGGAGCTGCTCGAGGCTGTGCTCGGTTCGAAGCCGAAGCAGAGCGGGGATGCACTGGTGGGGTCCAAGTAGTATCCATAACTTGATGCCACCAGCCCCAGCAACGTGAACATCTTTCGTCTTTGCCTTTGATGGTAATTCTGCACACCGCACATTTCCAGGGCGCAAGCTTGGTCTTCTTCGGGGCAGGGCCACAGTTGCCATCTTGTGCACCTTCAGGCGGCGATGAGCTACTGCAAGGTTGTACAAGGGGCCTGCACTGTGATGCGAGGCCAAACGTCGAATCAAATCGGCTTGAACTTGGGGAGAAAGCTGAGGCTGAAGCAGACCCTGGCGATGTGCCCACAAGGAATGTCTGGCTATAGCCCGCAAGCGCCGTGTACGTCTCCGCCACGTAGAAGAGGGAATGATAGCAAAGTCCCAAAATCCACCAGCCGGAGTAGAATCGCATCAACCAAATGCTGCAACCAAGGGAGAACGCAGACAGGAAAATCACTGCTGCACACCACAAAGGAGCAAAGGTGATGCCCAAAGGGCAGAGCACAATGCACAACGGTGTCCGTCAGCCGATTGAACTGCAGTGAGGGAGCACCGAAGTAGCAAAGCCCGCGGGCAAGAGCCCGCCAAGGATATGGCAAACCAACAGCGAACGGTAAACCGAGGGGTGCTGATGAGCCAAACCTTGATCAACCCATAGAAGAAAACAAAAAAAACCTATGGTTGAACCACAAATCCAGTTCAAAACCATCATGACTTTGAGCCATATCCAAATCTCTCTCGCATCGCGGCCACCTTCTGGCCACTGCGCAAAGCGAGGAAGCCTTGGGTTTGGACGTCTAAACGTATGGTCGCCCCCAAATAGGTAGTCACCGATGAGCTTTTCCACTCTTGGCTCAACTGTTGGTTTCGGCACCTTCAGCAAAACAACAACAACAACAACCACAACAACCACAACAACAACAACAACAACCACAACAACCACAACAAGCACAAGCACAAGCACAACCACAAGCCACCCTGGCCACAACCACAGCTGTTAACCTATGGTCTCATCTCCCTGGCCACCTCCCGGGTCCCTCCCGAGTCGCCATCCATGATATTATGGAAATTATACATTGCCCTGCATGGTAATTTATAAGATAATAATCACATTATATAAACACCAAACAGATGGTAGCGGTACAGGTACTTTTTAGTGGTCGCAACATTCGTCGCAATCTGGAAGTATCAAATGGTGACACAGTAATCCATTCCACATGGTTTCAAGGGTCCATAGCCATAGCGTCCCTAGCTGAGCTCATCTCTGCAAGGTCACTAAAGATTGACATTCGAATATCACCACGAGTTGACGGTGTAACAAAATGTTTCAATCTATACAATGTGGTGCCCCCCAGTGATGTGAACGTTGGTTTATAAACATTAACTATAGTTATAAGTACCATAAACCATAGTTATTGGAGTTATGTTCACCAACTTAGCTATCCCCCTTTACCGGAATTTGGAACCTGAACATGAAGTGGGGATTTTAGACCCAATTCTGGTGGATGATCATCCTTTTCCAAACAAACTATTGCTATTTGGGGGACCCCATTTTCAGACATATCCAATCTGGTTGGTGGTATACCTACCCCTCTGAAAAATGATGGAGTTAAAGCCAGTTGGGATGATTCTTCCCCATATATGGAAAAGTAAAACATGTTCCAAACCACCAATCAGTATCCAATTGATTCTCTATATAGATTGTAAACACAAACCTTGACTGTGCCTGTAGACAAGCTCAACCTCCATTTGTTCACACTCAATGTGTAATCATTTTACACTGTGCATGCTCAAATTATCATACTTCCCAAATTGGAAATGTTGGTCCATCTTACTGTTTTTCACCAAATCCCAACCTTTTTTTTTGGTGACTGAGGTCCTTATATGTTTCCCCAATTCATGTCCATTCATTGATGTTCAAGTGTCACTGCTTGGTCATTGTAGTTTCACGCGTTCATTTTTTTAATCCCACAATTGATGTTTCTATCATCATTTTGAAAGTTGGATCACCAATTTTGATAGTTCAATCGCATTTTTTGATGGATGCAGCACTGTTGCTGATTCTGAACTGTTGATTGCCAAAACACAAGTGTTTCATCACCATCTTTAATTGGGTCAAATCCCAATGTAGGTGATTCATCCATATTTGTCCCCTCATGTTTGTTGATTAAATCATGCTAAATTCCTTATTGCTTTGGCACATCCCATTGTTCATCGTTAAAATGCCATGGTTGATGGCGAATCCCATCATTATCTATGGATTGATCTTAAAGAATGAAAAATCACTTTGTTGCTCACAACTTCTTCACTTCACGGGTCAATCCGCAGGTCTGAAAATGAAAATACTATTTCTGGTTGGTTACAAATCTCATGTTGTTGCTTAAATCATCTTAAATCCATGACTTTCTTGGATTTACCTATGTAACCCAACCACAAAAAAACATAACATGGATTTGCCTACTGTAACCCCACCAAAAGAACATAAAAACAAATATTCATAACATCTTCCGCATAGATTCCCAAGTCATGGTGTCTTTCCCAGGAAAATCGATGCCGCACCTCCGCTGGAACGCGGCTCAGATCTAAGAGCCACTTCCAGAGGTCCTCCTCTTCCGACATGTCGTCCTTGGAAGTCGAAGATCTCGAAGTTAGAGAATACATAGAGATTCTGAGATATTATACATTAATGATCACTAATGTATTAAACATTAAATCACCTAATGTTAGTAAAGCAATAGTATATAATAGTTTTCATAACCATCCCCAAATCAACAATGGCTACTGTTTTTTTACATTCGAAAAGATGGTGGTTCTTCGCCTCGATGAAACGTGGCAGGGGACTCTTTTCTCTGTTGATGGAGCTACGGCATCATAGTTTTGAGGTATACCCGGCCTGGTAAACACTCTCTGGTTATTTAACATAGCCATGGTATAGATGGCCCATAGAAATAGATGGTTTACCTATTAAAAAAACGAAATAGATGGTTTACCGTTCTTAAAAATGGTGGATCTTCCCATGGCTATGTTAAATAACCATATTGAAAATGGCCATAGAAATAGTGGATTTGCCCAGCTATAAAATGGTGGATCTTTCCATAGTTATGTAAACGTTTACCAGAGGGTAAGATGCTATATAGCGGCTAGACGGCTTGGAGGATACTGTATCATGTGTTTGATTTCAAGACCGTATCAGGACCAAACAAAAACGCTCTGTCAGGTCGGCCATATTTTCTGTCGATCTTCGCTGAAATTTTCTGTCGGTACCTCCAATTTAGATACTAGGATATACTGGTGAGTTACTACAGTCATGGTTTACCCTCTGGTAAACTAACATAACTACGGAAAATCACCATTTTTCATAGGTAAACCATCTATGAAGGGGCTATTTTCCATGGCTATGTTGAATAACCAGATGGTTTAGATTGGAAAGAATCGTGGTTTGACCTGTAAACATCCCGATGATAACATGGCGATAACATGTGAAGGGACCAGGCAGCTGGCAACGGTTGTCTTAACCAATAAACATGGGGATGTCATCGAAAACAATACAATTACCCAAAAAAGATTCACATTTCCAAGGGGCCAAAAAAGGCATCTGTGCAAGAACCAAAGCTGTCGGTAAATCCATCGGGCGTAATTAAGAAAATGGATATGCAATACAAGGGCTTATAGGATTTTTATTATATTATATATATAATATTTTATCTAACATGTAAATCAGGATTTTGAAAACTCATCAAATTGTTGATTATTGTTTAACATAAAGACATAGCCTGCTTATGTCTGCTTGGTTCATTGGGATTTTGATCCTCTGCAGTGACATTTCACATGGGAGTTCAACGCCCTGCGAATCAGTGAGCACAACAAAACAAACGCACACCTGGAAATTCTGACGCCAAAATATGCTAAAATCAACTACAAGGTGGTGACCCCATGAATAGCTATGTTGGTTAACCCGAAAAAAAAAAACAGGGTTAATGATGGTTAATGGTCATGAACACTATACTTAGATGGGGTTACACACCAACTTACACTGGTTTTTCCGGATCTGAAAACGGCGACCCCAGCAACAAAAGTGGCACCCAGAAGGGGGCCACTGAGCGCAGCTCTTGGGACCCCTGGGGACTCCTCTGGGACTGCTGGGACCCTGACAGTGCTCAAGCAGATCTTGTCACCGTTGGACAGCAAGAATTCCAGGCTCTTGCCATCCTGAAGCATCCGAAAAAGCAGATGATTTTATTGAAAAAACGGCACCGAACTTCAAACTGAACATCCAGATTTGTTCCCATTCACTGTAGATAGCCAACATATCCTCATACAGTATCCTTGCTTACCCCTTAATCCAATGGGATATCCCACACAAAAAAAAAATATCAGAAAAATACCACTACAATCCTAAACTTTTGACTTTTGACACGTTGCTTGATTTTCCCGATTCCCATGGCCAATTTTAGATACCAAGCAACCATATTTCAAAAAATGTTGGTTAATATTGGTTATAATAAATATGCGGCAATTGCAAAATATGTATTAGCTTGCCACACCCCACAATTTTGTTGGTTAAACTCGGTACATTAAACGATTCCAGCTGGTGAACCACCAACTTTCTGCCAGCCTAACACAATTTGTTCCTGAGTTTTTGGCAAAAAAAACGCATCATTTTACGCATTTTTTGCATTGTCAAAAAAGATGTGTGTGTGTGCGTGTATGTTTGACATATGTGAAATATGTGTTCCCCTCTCATTGTATTTCTATTAGAAAGAGTCTAACATCCGTTTATCGTTTTTGGTTGTCACCCTTTGGTAAACTAACATAGCTATGGAAAATCACCACTTTTGATGGCTAAAACAACTATTTCAATGGCCATTTTCAATAGCTGTAATCAATTACCAGAGGGTAAATCCCATTCAAATCACCATTTTTGTTGGTTTTTTATCCCCTTAAACCACCATTAAACCACAGGCTTCCCCCATGAGATCCATTGGACCCAGCTGCCTCTTTGATGGCCATGAGCTTGGTCGAACTCAGCAACCCCGTCATCCGGGCCTTTTCGGACCTCGAAACGGCGCCGGCGAAGGCCGTTTCCCGCGGAAGATGGTCATTCCAGCAGGGAATCCAAAAAATCGGTGGTTTCTGAAGTGTTGTTAGTGCTTTGATGCATGAAAGGTAGATCTAAAACGATACATGTATAGATACGCATTAATACATGTTATAATATATGTTATAAAATAATCATCTTATGACAATTGGATTTTGCTATGTCTAACGTAAGTGGACGGTTGAAAGTAAGCCAGCGACCGCAACGCGTTGTCGGTCATCATTTTGATTCCCAAATCCGGGAAACATTTTGCTGGATTCAACCGATGTTTTTGTGTATTTATCTGGGTTTCATATATGGTTTCAGCATAAATTTCCTACGATTCGAAGCTGGTTCTGGTTGGTGTTTTCAAACAGACCCACAAGGCCATAGCGAACAATACTATGGTCATCCAGGAGTCATCCCGACTGGAAACCTCCGCATGATTCAAGCGGTTCAAGCATCTGTTTTCCCTGACTAAGCGACAAAAACTGGTTGGTGGTTTCAACCTACCCCTCGGAAAAATGATGGAGTGAGTTAAAGTCAGTTGGGATGATTTTCCATTCCCAACTGTTTCTGGAAAGTCATTCAAAATTCCATGGTTCCAGTCACCACCAACCAGTTCGCCATTGCATTTCCCAAAAGTCCAAGCCCTGCCACGATATCACGGATGCCAGCGCGCCGAGTGGCCATCGGACCATGGCGCCCAACAAGAGGGCAACCTCCTCGCGACGAAATTCCTGGACCGTCAGTCGAGCCGATGAGCCATCGGGTGATTTCCATTCGGGAGTCATGGGGTGTCAATAGCAACAAAATGATCAACAAATGGTGATTGAATGGGATTGATTGGTGGTTAAGTTGGCTTACTCTTGTGGAAAACTCTGGTTTATGCTAGATACATGACGTTAGAGAACGATAGTTCATGGGCTTTATACGGTGTTTATGTTAGGGGTTTCTAAACCAACTTAAAACTGGGGTTCCCCACCTTTGATACAATTAGTTTACCATGATTTTCCATGATTCTAACCATCAATCATGGGGTTTGAACAAGATTGAACTGCCCACAATTTTGATTGAACTGCCCACAATTTTTATCTGGATGAATGATATTCACCAACCTGACACCCAAAAAAAACGGCAATTTGATGACTCCCCCAATCCAATTCGCCCATCATTTCGAGCGACAGAGGTCGCTATGAGGTCGAAAAAAATCAGGTGGGTTTCCTTGTAATGGGAAAACATGGTATAATTTCGTTAATCTAGGGATATCTCACCTGTTGTGTTTTCTGGTGAGTTGAAGAAACACAATAGCGGTGGAACCATATTTGAAATCAGGGAAATGGGAGACCTACTGTGTCTGTAAAACATGTGAATTGACCATTCAACATGAGGCTTGACCATAAACATCCCGGCGGATTCGAAACCGCGCGAGCGTTTTAAGGGTTTGCTTTATTGGACCATCAGAATCCTCTGCAATTTCAAAACAAATGCTGTTCCGCAATCTTGTGACATCTCAATTTGGGAGAAAAACGGGGTTTCAAAATCCATTGAATTGTGACGAAACCCTGTAAATACCACGTGTATCAGGCGTGGATTCGATTATTTTTTTCCACACCCATCGCCGGCTCAGCGATCCATCAACCTGGAAGCCGTCTTCGACAGCAAGTTGCCAGTGTGGCACTCATAACGCCATTGCCAGCAACGCAGGTACAGCATGACATCTTTGTTATGCCCTGCTTTTGTCTGCAAATTGCTAGGCACATTTTTTTTGGCCAAATTCCATCAAGAGCGTCTTAGAAATTCGCTGAAGACGTGCAGAACGTAACATCAAGAGCGTGTTAGAAGTTCCTAGCAAAAAGCGCAGAGCGTAACATCCAGAGGGTGTTAGAGGTTGCTATAGGCAAAAGTGCAGAGCGTAACATCAAGAGCGTGTTAGAAGTGGCGTCGAAAAACTGCTGAGCGTAACATCAAGAGCGTGTTAGAAGTTCCTAGGAAAAGTGCAGAGCGTAACATCCAGAGGGTGTTAGGCAAGTGATGTTAGGCAAGAGCGTGTTCCACGCACTCTGCACATGACGTTAATACCTCACCCCACCCCCCCGACCCCACCCCACCCCAACCCTAACACATCCCAAGGAGACAGAAGCATCTTCCCTACCAAGCTACATCCGTGCAAGGCCAATTTTGACCCATGAAGAAAACTGTGTCACAGTCGAAAAATTCTACCCAGCTACGTCCATGCATGGCCAATTTTGACCCCAAAGATCTGTTGCCAGAGACGGCCATCCCCGATCTGAAGGTCAAGGGCAACTCCCAAGGGTCGAAGTCAGCGAAGGCCAAACAGCACTGCTGCGGCATTGTCACGAGCTCCTAAGTACTCGGTGATTTGGCCCAGGCGGTTCCTGAGGTTTGTCAACGCCACTTCTTGTCTATTGACTTGTCGTTGGAGAACTCTACATTCTTGTTGAAGGGTGATGACCTGAGCGTCTCGCTGAAGAAGTTGAGCCTGCAGAGCCTGGATGGCAGTGTGCTGTTCGCTCTGCAGCTCAGCTCTGCCATGTTGACAATGGACAGCTCCACAGAGAATTGATCCCATTCAGTGCATCCGGCAGGAATCCAGTCAAAGATGTTTTGATTGCCCTGCGCCAGTTCGATCGCCTCCTTGAACAACTCCTTGTCCACAAAGGTCACCCATGCTGGGCCAAAACTCACATGAGATGTGATTCAGATGAGTTCACCAAGTCAACTGACATCACTGAAAACATGTTGACAAGAACTCGAATCAAATTCAAAGGTAAAAAGGAACAGTTGACGAACATCACATGTTCTCAATTCAGAATCCGTGATAAGGTGTTATCATTTCGTTACACTCCATGAGAAGCAACATTGAAACGCTTGAAAAATCCCTATTCCCAAAGGATAGGAGACATCCAAGTTAGCTGTGGCCCATGTTGGCCCCACTTCCCCACTTGGCTCCGGCCTCCAACCCATACTTTCCCGCATTCTGCCACACGTACTCCTGGAATCCGAGAAGTCTGGGTGCGATCTGGAACAGTGAAACACATTCAACATCCATTAACATTCATTAATGTCGAAAATCCATGAACATCCATAAAAACCAACAAACATCATCAAAATCCATGAGCACCATTTCATTAGAAAAACAAGAAAAAAAAACATGAAACACCAGAATCCCACGTTGCGTATAGAGAGTTTGGACGTAGGATTTAGATCGCCTGTGAAGAGTTTGGCTTTGGATGGGGCCCAATACAAAAACGCCTTGATGAATTGACCATCCAGATAAAACAGGTTGCCCTCTGGTAAATTAACATAGACCCTGGCAGATAGGGGTTGGAAGACTAGTGTCCATTAAAAATTAGCTATTTTCAGGGTCTATGTTTATTTACCATAGGGTATATCAGGTTTATATTTATAAACCAACTGAGAACTGGCTTTATAAACCAACTGAGAACTGGCTTTATAAAACAACTGAGAACTGGGTTTATAGACCAACTGAGAACTGGGTCTATAAACCAACTGAGAACTGGCTTTATAAACCAACTGAGAACTGGCTTTATAAACCAACTGAGAACTGGGTCTATAAACCAACTGAGAACTGGCTTTATAAACCAACTGAGAACTGGCTTTATAAACCAACTGAGAACTGGCTTTATAAACCAACTGAGAACTGGCTTTATAAACCAACTGAGAACTGGATTTATAAACCAACTGAGAACTGGCTTTATAAAACAACTGAGAACTGGCTTTATAGACCAACTGAGAACTGGGTCTATAAACCAACTGAGAACTGGCTTTATAAACCAACTGAGAACTGGCTTTATAAACCAACTGAGAATTGGGTCTATAAACCAACTGAGAACTGGCTTTATAAACCAACT